TATATATAGTATAAAATAAATATACTATTATAATATAAATATAATATATATACAAATACATATTATTAACGTCTAAACTGTGTATCTAAAACATTTAAAATGAAAGGTATGTACATATTATGAATTTTTTTTATTTAAATCGCAATTTAATTTTACTAATTAAGTATCAATTTCATATTTTATCATTGAAAATCTGAAAAGCGTTCCAACAGAGCTCAGAGTTCATGATCAATCCATATGAACGCATGTGAAGTAAATCAACCACGGATTAGCCGGCAACTAATCCCAAATTCCGTGTTGGAACAAACTTAATAGAAGGCAATTCTACATCGGGACCACAAAGAAGCTGAACAACCAGCAGTCTTTCAACTTCTCAACTTCTATCTAATACCTGATACTCCATCGGAATTAATCACTCAATCAACAATAACGTCAATCAACACTTGTTTGTAAGCAAAAATTTTTTTTGTAACAACTATTTTATTTTGAAGTACATAAAAAAAATTTTAAAAATTTTGTAAAAAAAAAAACATTCTAACTTCATAAAAAAAAAAAAAAAACCATTGACTCCTAAAAATTATAACTAAACATACCCACATTATTATTGAGAATTATTATTAGATTATTATTGAGTTATTATTGAAGATTATTGAATTATTAAAGGGGATCCCGAGATTATTTTAAGATTATATTGAGATTATATTGAAATTATATTGTTATTTTGAGATTATTATATTGAAGTTATATTGAGAATTATTATTGTGACATTTATTGAGTTTATCCGGAGAGATAGGAGGCTCAATATGGTAAGAAAAAAATATTATTTTGTTGGAGTTATTACATGAAGGGAATATTATTAAAAAATATTTTAAGAGATTATTGATTATTAGATTATTAGAGATTATTAGATTATTGAGAAATTATTGAGATTATTGTTATTGAATTTATTGAGAATATTATTGAATTATTGAGAATTAAAAGTTAATGGATTAAAAATTCGAAATTTAAATTTAATGCTTAATATGACAGCTTATAGTGATAATAATGATAATAACTTTAATTTAAAATTAGTAATAATGGGAAAAAAAAATTATTATATAGTACAAATATAGGTAGGTTAACTAAGAATGGTAGAATGTTAAATTTATCGGAAACCCATAATCATATATGTAATGTGAAACACGATATAACTGATATATTATATTCGATAATAATAATATTTTTACCATTTATTAATGACAATATAATAATACTGGTATTTACTAAATCATTTAACTAAGAAAAGCAGTATAGCTAGAGGTGATAATAAATATTGTAATAAAGTGTTTATTAGATACAGTTGCAGTTATATAGTTATATTTTTTGTTAATATTTAAGAGGATACCGACAAATCTTCATGCTTGCAAACTTATTTACTGATAAAATATCAACACAAAATGTTATTTAGGTAATGTTTTAATAATTTCAATTATCAAAAATAGTTTATCATTATGAAATATGAATTACTGTTAATAGGCTAGCAGCGATGGTTAATAAAAGCTGATAGATAATAAAATAAAATTATCGTAATTACACACATGTTGCATGATAACGATTTACGAATAATCGCGATAAGGGATATTTTAATAATTTTGTAATGTAATGTCTCATGTTTTTGTTTTGAAATAAGAAGAAAAGCAAAATATTAATTAAAAAATAAAATATATTGACGCAAACCACTATCAATAATTTTTTTTTTTTTTTACTTTGCCTTTGTTCGCACATTACAGCAACTATCAATAAATTATTCAAGCCAAATTACTACAATAATGGATTTTAAATACGCAAATGTATACCTTGCGCGGTCCAAATGACGCCACTGACCAGTTGTTAAAGTGGGGGGACAGAGTCCCCCTTCTTATTATGGTAAGATTATGCGTCCTTTTTAATTTAAGTCGCTTGAAGTCTGAGTGGACGCATTGGTCACTAAAATACAATATTGAATAAACAATACTTATAATTAGGGATGTGTAGTTACAGTGGCGTAGCCAAGGAGAGGGCTAAGGGGGCTATAGCCTCCCCCATGGGCCGTGTTTATATGTATAATGTATCTTGACTATTTAATAGAATCAATGCTCGTTTTAATCAAAGGCTTATTGATGTTATGCCACTTGAAGGACTGATTCCGGCCAATTTAAATATGTATGACGATAAAAATATTATAAAAGCTGCTAAAATATATGTCCAAGATCTCCATGATGATACCTCATCTACAATCAGGGCTAACCTGTTCATATGGAGGCAACAATGGAGTCAAAATACTATTCCAAAACCGAATTTTGCTCTTGATTCACTCTCTCATCCCACAAATCTTCGACCTAACATTAAAATACTTTTACAATTATTCGCCACGTTACCTCTTTCACTCCGGAAAGAACATTTTCAGCACTTAATCGCTTAAAAATTTTTTTAAGAAGCACCATGTCGGAAAACAGACTGAATGGATTAGCTATGGCTAATATAAATAAAAAAGAGCAATTCCATGAAAGTGAAATAATAACTGAATTTACCAGAAATTCGCCTAAGAGAATGCAGTTGTCAGAGTGGAGCAAGTGACTGAACACTGAAACCAAAATTATTATTATTATTATAAATTATATATTAATAAATATTTTTAAAACTATATTAAAATGCTACTACTAAAATGCGTTTAGAAACTTGGTGGTAAATGGTGAGGGGGGGTTAAGAGTGAATTCTCATATCCTCTCTTACCTTACTTATCCAAAAAAAGTGGTTAGCCCCCCCCCCATTTAAAAATCCTGGCTACGCCACTGTGTAGTTATGAGCTAGTCGACTCTTAAAAATGAACTGGACGAGTCGAATCAGTGTTACAAGAGTTGGTGACTCAGTGACTCACTGACTCAGTTAAGCTCATAACTCACAATTGTACTAATGGAGATACACGACTCTCGACTCCCTTGATAACGGTTTGTGAATCCAAACGGAAAATGTAATACCAACCTAAACAATAGTTCCCCTCAGATTCGGTTATTAATATTTTCATTGTTTCTTAAAACATGATTTTCGACTTTCTGCAAAAAATTCGTAACGTTGTACTCTTATAGTCATAATTAGTTTCATATGCGATAAGCTAGTCACGAGTATAGACTGTGAACTTGTGAGTTGAATCAAGATTCGAGACTTGAAGAGTTGACTAGAGTAGTGGTAATCTGATTCAAAGAGTTGAAGAGTTGGGAGTCGAATCTTTGATTCAATGTATTACACTGAACTAAGTTGAAAGATTCAGTTCAGCAGAATGAGTTGGAATTCCCATCCCTACTTATTATATATTACAATATTACGTAAAATTTATTTATGAACAAGTTGAAAAAATTTTGAAAAAATAATATGTAGGTATAACGATAAGCAAAAATGGTAGATAATGTACACCATGGGTTAATTTAATTGACGTAGTGTCTAATTATTGATGATCCCCGAGCGGTTGTTACCCATAGCTCTAAAATTAAAGTGATAGTGATATCGCCTATTATTTAGAATAAATATAAACAGAAAAGAATAACTATAAATAGGTATAAATATTAAATTGTGATAGACACTATCTTATAGATAGTACACACCTTATGTGCAATGTACGTATTTGTTACTGTCTACGTTGACCAACAATTAGCAAGATTACTAATTGTTTCTTTTTAGTTATGTTAAGTTTAAGTTGTCTTTTTTTAACATTACTATGTATTTCAATTTATTTTTACTGAACAGTCATATGTATAGAATTATTTTTCTTAGGAAGAAATTTGTTTTTACACCCTATGATAATAAAGTTTTTATGAACATATAATATATGTTATGTGTAACAGAAGAGGTATAGACCTCATCGGTTTCCTAAAAATGGTTGGTAAAATTTAGAATTAGAGAGGGGAACGCTCCTCAATTTTTAATGAATTTAATCCTACAACATTTTTCCCACTTTAACCACTGCCACTGACGTACTACATATATATATATATATTGGTTTGTGGAGGGGGTTGAAGGGCGGAATTTTAAAATCTGCCCCCATGCGGAAAATTTATTAACCCGGCACTGACCATAACCATAATTTCAAAAAATAAATGTATGGTCATAATGCATGGTAGAACAAAGCATATAATATACCACTCTATAACTTGATAATTATTTACACAACTATTAGTCTTTTTTGATAACAAATTTATTTTAAAATTACCAGTAATTTACCAATCAATTGTTTAAGTGAAAACTGCGGCTGGGATTCTGCAGACACTAAAATTCTTAGCCCTAGTTAGTGATAACAGTAATAGTTATCAATTAAAATTCTTATGATGTAATATTTTGTCCTTGGTCGTTGAGCAGTTCAAATTTAACTCTGTTCAATCATAGCGACAGCGGTGAATAGATCATGGTTGTTAAATATTTTAATTGTATTGGTATTGTATTATGGAATTGGACTTAATTTAAACTTAATTCCCTGAAAGTAAAAATTATTAAAAAATGTATGTATAATATCAAGAGTAATACTCTATTATATAAGAAACATGTTTAATTCATCAACTGTATTGCAGCAAAATCTTCATCAATATTCAGCAATTCATTTTCCAAGAAATATGAACATCATGACTCATAATTGATCAATTTGGTAATTTATTTACTTAGTTTTCACTTATGCAAGTTTTAATGAGTTTTTAAACTATTAATTTTACCATAATTGAATTGCTACAATTATTTATTGAAATCTTTAAAACAAATAATATGAAATAAATTAGATAGTAATCACTTTTGTGACGTTTGCTTACAATTTCATATTTAGTATTAGTTTTTTCTAACTATATTGAATACTCAACTAAATGGATTCTTCAAATAAATTTTATCTGAATAGAATTGTAAGCATAGTTAATTTATAAAATTAAGTATATTTTTATTTTGTAACTCTTAGAGAAATGTATATTAATATTAATTTACATTTGTAATTTGTTGTTCTATGAAAAGAAGTTGTCAAATAAAAGAAGTTTAATTTCATCGTAGCAGACAAAATGAAATACTTAGTATCACTATTGTTGTGGTTAATAACTATATTAAAATGCACATACCAAACAAATTTCAGTATTGGTATGATTTTTCTATTGGTCTTATATTTGAATCTATATTTTGTATTAATATTCTTATTATATATAGCTATTATCGGTAGTGGTATTGGTGGAACATCTTGTGCATATTTCTTAAAAGAAATATTTAATGATTTTGTGGAAGTAGATATTTATGAAGGTAATAAAATAGGTGGAAGACTAGCTACAGTAACTATGAATGATGGCTATGAATATGAGACAGGAGGAGCAGTCCTACACATAAGGAACAAATATATGTCTGATTTTGTAAGCGATTTTGGTGAGTTCTCTGAAACCTTTTTTTATTTTTTCATATCTAAATATATTTATTTGAAATTAGGTCTTAAAAAACGTATGGAACTTTTTAATAATCAACTACTTGGTATACACAATGGAATAAACTTTGATTTTGTAGAAAATTCTAGCGAAATGATAAATGTCATTAAAATGTTATGGCAGTATGGTTACAAAGTTAAACATTTACAAAATTTTGTTGACAATATGCTCGAAAAGTTTGAAAAGTCAGAGATTAATAATTAAATATTAAGTAATTCATTTTAATTTGCTCTTTTTTATTTTATTGTCTCAGAATTTATCAATTACAATCAAATGGTAAAAGTTTTGATACAGTAAATGACTTGCTATCAGCAATGGATCCATCATTTGTTCATTACCTTAATGTATCTGTGAAAGAAGCATTTTTAAAAACTGAAAGTTTACCTGAGACACTCATCCAAGACATTGTACAAGCTTCCCTTAGAGTAAACTATGGACAAAATACTGGTGTTCATGAATTTGTCGGTAAGAATTTATTAACTCATATTTCATGCAAGTTTATTTTTTAATAACATTCAAGTTTTTTCTAAATTTGGTTAAAAATAAGAAATATTTAATTTGAAAAATGTATTTTTTTTTTAAAAAAACATATTTGTTCTTAATATGTTCATATGAATAGGTAATATTTATTCATGATATATATAAATAATTTTAAGCATAGCTACATTCTTTTTTATCATTATTTTCAATATTTGTTTTTGATATTTTAAAATATTTCAGGATCAGTTTCAATGGCTGGAATGGATGGATCATTGTGGGCAGTAAAAGGTGGTAATAAAAGAGTTGCTGAAAAACTTTTAGAAAAGTCCAAAGCAAGATTAATACATGAAAATGTTACTGAAATAATAAACAACAACAATTCATATACTTTGTTGACAAATACTGAAAAAAATGCTACCTATGATTATGTTGTATTTGCTGCACCTCTCTCTCAAAATCAGAAAATACCAATCAATTTTACTAATTTGCCTGTTAAGTTGAACATAGTAGGAAGATATCACCAGACTGTAAGCACATTGATTGCTGGCGAGTTAAAAAGAGAACGATTTTCACCTCTTTCCGATAATAGTGCATCATTTACAGTTATATCAACAAATGAAAGTGATTTTTATAATTCAATCAGTAATGTTGAAGGAGTCGATGAAACTGGAAAATCAAATGTTTGGAAAATATTTTCTCAGCAACCACTTTCTAACAATCAAATTGATGAGTTATTTTTTAGCACTAAAGAAGTTAAAGTTGTGAATTGGTTAGCATATCCTCATTATGAAGTCCCAACTAAACCACGAAGTTTTCATATTGCAAATCGACTTTACCACATTAATGCTATAGAATGGGCAGCAAGTGCTATGGAAATGAGTTGTATTGGCGCCAAAAATGTTGCACTTTTAATTAAGAAACACTTACAAAATAATACACAAAATGAAACAAGCCAATGGTCTCATAAGGAACTATAATGAATTAAAAAAAGTAAATATAATGTCAACAACAAAAATTATGTATTTAAATAAGACATAGATGTTAAATGTAAAATATACAAAAGATTTCATATAAAGAAACCTAAAATTAATTACTAATAGTGGTATTCCATGTACAATAATTATATAAATGTATAAAGATAAGATCTACCGCTGTTGAAATGTACCAAATCCAAGACCCAACCCTCGATGTGTATGTGTTGCCATGCGGGCAACTTCATACTGACTCTCCATTGAGTTAAACATTTCTTCCTGCTTTTTGATAATGTCTTTTGATTGCCCTTGCTGAGAAGTTGGACCATCAACACCTGAATAAAAAAAAATTATATATTTTTATACAGTAAAGAAATAAGCATAGAGATGAATGCTTCACCTTTTTCATTATCTTTGATGCCCATAAGTCTTTTGAACTTGGCAGTAACTTTACCATCTTGGTCACCAAATTTAGTAGACTGCCAAATAGTTGCAGTCTTGTTAATTGCAGCAACAGCTGGTTTACTCTCTTCAACTTGTTTAACAACATCATTGTTTTGTTTATTTCCCCATAAAAGTTTTCGTTTCTGAATTTGTTCAGCATATTTATTTGGATTTACGGCAACTGGATTATAATATGATGGTAACTCTATTCCTGTTTGCACTTTAACTTTTTCTACTTGTGCTTCCATAGATTTTTGTAATAACTGTTGAGGGGTGACTTGTGTAGATGGTGTTGTAGAACTTCCGATTGATGGAACTTTTAATTCAATTCCCAATTTATCTAAAACTAAAAATATGGAATATAATAAAAAAATAAAAATAAACCTTTTAAGTAAAATCATTAAGTATAATAATAAAATAATTACTTTGTCGTTTATTATTTGCCTTTTTTTCTAAGAAATAATTATGAGTTGTAAATTTTTCTTTACTTTTTGACCGACTATGCTTTTTGTGACTATTCTTTGATTCATGTCTAGAATATGGACTTGATCTTCGACTACTACCATTTCTATTTAAAAATTTAAAATAATTATTAATTGTATTTTAAATACTTTTTATAATTATAATTATTTGTATACCTTTCACTACGACTGTGTGATTGCCTGGATCGCTTTTTGCTACGACTATGGCTACGAGATCTTCGAGAACGTTTTCTATCATTACTACGACTTCGTGATCGACGAGAATGTTTCTTACTATGGCGATCCCTAGATTTATTTCTAAAACAAATTTAAATTGATAAGGCAATGAAAAATGTACACAAACAACAATAGATACCTTCTCTGACGACTATGACTTTTTATCTTTTCTTCATCAGAGCTGCTTGTTTTAACATCGCTATGGTTTTCATGTTTACTGGTACGATGTGATCGCGAAGTCTGGGATATAGAAGTAGGTGATGATGCTGAACTAGAAGGTGAAGTTTGATCTTTAGGATGAGATGATTTTGTTGAACTATGGTTTGATTCCTGCTGAAAATATAGAACTAAATTAATTATTGTATTAATAAGAGGTTATAAAATGTATTTTAACCAAGTTAAATAGACTTTGTTATCAGCCAATTATGTTTTTGTATGTAAATATATAATTGAATTGATGATTTATTATCAAATATAATTTGATAATTAAAATTATGACTATTAACAAATACATATTTTAAATATATACTGTTATAATAAATTAAGAAAAAATAAAGATGGTCAACATAGGCATTTTAAATTAATAATTGTTACCTAACAGTTAATGATAAATAAAAAATATACCTTCTTTAAGGCCACAGCTCACAGAGAATGACATCTAGCGGGAAAGGGTTTACCTGATTGTTTTTTGTTATTACTCACCAATGTGAACGTACAGTATTTTGGTACAGATTGGTAATCAGCCGCAAACAAATTTCCTCTTCAAGTGGCGCAAAGAATCAATGGCAAGAGACTCTCCCACAATCGACTGACTACTCGTGGACTATTTTATATATAATTTCAGAACAATGTCGTGTTAATATTTGTTTTAACCGGATTTACTTTTTTTAGAATTGCATTAGGTACATTAGCTTACTTAATTTTTTTTTTTTGTAATAGCCTACTTCAAAATGTGTTTTACCCACCTTCAGTCTTGGTCATATGAATTTAACCAGGACGACTTGTGTAATCATACTGAATGGCTGGTCTCTTTAATAAAATCTTCAGAACGAAAACAAAAATATCATTATGAGGATTTAGTGGAATTAAAATGAACGAAATCAAGATATGAATTAAAATTCTTCTTATTTTTTTGGTTATCTTCATAAAGCACAATAATAATATCATTGTTGTTGAAATGTATAGAAAATAAAAGGAAAATATGTTTGATAAATAATGGGTACATAATATACCTTAACATGAATACTCATAAATTAATGAAAACTATATAATTTACAAATGCAAAATAAAAATAAATTATTAAATTTTGAATGACCAATTTTTAGATAAATGTATTAACATTAATTTTAAAATCATAAACATTATAAAACTAATGATAGTAAGAACTTAATATCAAGGAATAGTTAGTACTCACTAACACTTATTCTGAAATATATGAAATTGGATTAAATGACATTTTAATAACTTATTTGATTCTGACTTTCCAATTGGACTGTTCGAAAATAACTGATTCAAATCACTATTTATTATATAACCATGAAATCTTAAAAATAGTTTCTTTAAACAAAATAAAGTATAATTCACAGGTACGTTAAATTATAGAAACTAGTCAACCTAATGATAATATAAGTCCTTAAACTAACATTAACCTGAATAGATTAATGTTGTACTTGTTCATACCTCACTCATTTCCATGGTAACTTGCTCATAATTTGCATCAGCTTCCATTCCATTAGTTCTGGTAAGTTTATTCTAAACATATTTAATATAAGATTTAAGTAACTGCAAGTATTTATTAGAAAAAATGTTTTGATTATTTTATTTTTAAAAATTACTCAAAGTCTTTAAGTATTTCAAATAGTAGAATAATTAATATATTTTTTTTAACGAATACTACACAATATTAGATTGGCGAAAAATACAGCTGGTGCTTATAATGATAATATTTACTACATTTCTATATATTAATTCAGTTAAAATCAATCAAGTCACAATTAGTCTACATTAATTATTACATTAATGAACAGCGCTTATCTACTACCTACATGAATACTGGAAAGTCATTAATCGAGTAAAAAAAAAATCCTCCACACACATTAACATATTATATAACTATAATATTATTGTTGTTGTTGTTAGTGTGGTCACCGTTTCGAGTTGTTAACAATCGGGTAGATTGAAACGAGTAAATAAAATAAAATTTAACTTACGATAACTTCTCTTTTAGGGCTAGGAGTGTTGTTGTCGTCGTCGCTTGCGTAATTGCATAGACTCTCCATGTTTCGTTTGGTTTTCTTCGATAAGCGTCGTGTTCGCTGTTGGTCTCACACTGTCCTCACAGTCGCTTATCAAGCGAGAGTAAAAACTAAGCACAGCTGCGATGTAACTCTGGAAACGTTATTTTCAGACCATCATGAAATAGCAGAAAAGGTTATTAGGAATAAGAAACGTCGGTCATACGAAAGAAAAAAATGACCGATTAAACTGCAAATTATTTGATATGGCAGACACAAGTTGACGGAAATGGAAAGTGAAGCGAAAAATGGTCGTTGTTACCGTAAACATACACTATCGTACACGTAAGAAAACAGATACCTACCAATACAACAAATAGTGACAACCGCAAACAGCGATCGACAAAATGGCGTCGTCCTTTGTTGACCTCGTCCCGCCACTCATTGTTTCACATATGTTTTTTTACGTACTTTAAGCACACCGTTATCGCACGCCATAACCGCGGTTGATAATAGTCCCCTATCGTAACTATAGTGATGGCCGTGTGGCGTAGATAAAATTAAGATTATCGATATCGTGGTGGGTAGGAATGGCATTTTTTTTTCGTAAACATCGATGTATCGATTTATTTATTACGAAACATCAATAGTGTCAATATCGGTAAACTAAAAAAACATCAAAGTCAAGAACTCGATGTATTTAGAAAAACAATGATGTTTTTTAAAATAAAACAAACATACATTTTATAGGACAAAAATTTTTATTTGCCATAGCCCACAAGCTAAATAAATTATAATCAGTTATGAAAATCTTTATTTTCGTTCATTTTATCGAAGCCACAATTTCACTTTTTTAATACTTTTTAAACGGTTTTATAAAAATTTCATGAAATAAAACTGTCATATTATTATAAGGCTGAAGAACATGATGTATTGATGTATTTTGTTTAAATATATCATTGTCTATTGATATTATTGTATGCAGGTATAGTAAAACAATAGTTTGATTATTTTTAAAATTATAACGGTTTCATCATATTGCGATTATTCGATTCATCGTATTTCCAATGCTGGAGCATACCCAGGAATTTTTTATGGGGGGGGGAGGTTCAATATTTTAATTTTACTTGTTCTCTAATTATAATTATACTTTAACTTAATACCAACAAATTACTGTTAATATACTATAGTATGGTTTATACATTATAGGTATATTATATAATCTATAAAATTTGTAAATTGAAGATAAATGAGAAATTAAAATACACTATATACTATTATTATACTATTTACTATTAAACCGTTGTGTATGTAGAAATTTCAATGGGAGTTCTGGACCCAAACCCCTCTTCCTAGGGTGCGCCCTTGTTATAATGCCTACAGATAAGATTATATATTAAATACAAAAAATAATGAAAAGTTCATTAAAATTATTAAAAAAAAATACCGTATTTGAAACCATAAATATAATAAATTATTTATTGTATGGAGAAAGAAACCTGTTAGATGATTTACCTAAAGATTTGGCTGTAAACGATTTGGTTTATTTTAAGTATGCTCGGCTCACATCAACCGACGTAGAACGATGTTTTTCAAAGTATAAAAACTTACTGTTTCCAAACCAAAGAACATTGGATTTTGAAAATTTAAAAAAAGTACAGATCAATACAAAAACATTTTTAAGTATATATTTTTTTATACTTCATTTATACATGCTTATAAATTGTAACTAATGAATCTGTTGTGTAATATATAAAATACAATAAGTGTATAAAATAAACGTAATTTTATGAATTATAATGAACCGTTATTTTTTTAGTGCTATTTTAGATTCTTTAAAATGCAATTTTTGCAAAAAAATTTTCGGTATATCTTAGTGCAATACTGCAATCAATTTTACTACTTTTTTACAACTACAACATTCGTGCCCAATTTATTAATATCACAAAAAAATTGTCATTACTTATCATTACAGAAAAAAACGTAGGGTAATAGAAATAAAGAAAATATTAAAAAAAAAAACTCCACATTATGAACCAAAGTGAAAATTGTCAATTTAGTATAAAAAAGAAGGTGAATAGTCGATAACACTAATATTGTTATATTAATATACAACACAATATACGAGTATATATTTATAAAGTAAAGTATATTATATACTGTGATACAATATGTAATATTGTAGAAAAAAAATTAGCATCTTAAAATTAAAAGTTTAGAGATTTAGAGAAAAAAAACCCCGTGAAAAAAGAAAAAAACCAAGACATGACAAATTATTAAATAATAATTTATTTAACAAAACTTATGAACATCATAAAAATATAAAATTTTTACACAGATAAAAGGTAATGTAGTAAAAATTATGAAAATATAAAAAAGTGTATAACAAAAAGTGAAAATTGTTAAAAAAGAAAGAGAAAACTTGGTAATATGAAAAAATAAATATGTTATGACAATGGTAAAAAAGAAAAAAACCCTGTTAGGGGAAAAAAAACAAAAAAATTTACAAATTAAATTAGGTAGTAGAATAAAATAGTTCCATACAACAAAAGGTATAAAAAAAAATATGTATAAAAATAATGTAAAAAATGTATAAAAATGTATAAAATGAGAAGAAATATAAAATTTATCTAATTGTTCCGGTAGTGTCAAAAAGGTTGGGAACTACTGCATTACACTATATACGCACATAGATCTTAGTTAAAATATATATAAAAATACGTTTGTATTGTATAGGAGTAGCTAATAATTTAGTATATTTACTCGTTTCCTTCTAATGGAAATCTGAAATTAACATTTGGCCGTGTATTCATTTTGATATCCGACTTAATTTTGCTTTTCCGACTATAATATATTAATTAGTACTTATTAATTATATAGCATTCATTATTCAGTCATAATGTATAGGTATCAGAAATTATTAAATATATTTACTTGCGTTATTTAGAACCCAAAGCTTTCTAGCTATGGATTTTTTTATAATAACTTATGTTTGGCTCCACCACGAAGTATGATTACAATTAAGTATACTGTTAATGAATTAAAGATGTTAATTATTTGAATTTTTTATTTGTTTGGAATATCCAGCATTACGTACTTTACAAAAAATGATAATATATATTCTTTGAAAAATGTAAGGTAACTTTCCAGTTGTTTTACGTCTACACCACAAATGTAGCTTTATTTAATCTCAATTTTTGAGAATATATCCACTGATATGACAAAATTAATGTATTATTAAATATCTATAAAATACATTTTCATCTTATAAGAGAATCAAACACATTCAATAAGTCAATAAGAATAAATAAGTCAATAACACATTCTTATGGTAACATAATGTGCATAAATATTGAAACTAGAATATTGATTGGCTCAAAACAATAAATCTATTATAGACGATACTAATGTTATGAAACCTAATAATATGTACCTACAAAGAATTAAAAATTAGATCTACCTATTCAAGTAATTAAATTAAAAGTAAATTTAAAACCTACCGGTTTTATTTATAATAATGAATTGTACTTCTTGGCCGTTTTATCTTTGTAATTATATATTAAATAAAACAATAATTGAAGGGTATATTTCTACTTTACGGGGCACCCAAAATTTTGGATTTTTTCTTATGTCAACTTATGTATTTTATAATCTTCTAGTTCTTTGCCACCTGAAAATGCCACACACTACAGTTTTATTTGTCCGTGTAGTTCGAACAATGTACACCGATAGTGTGTGGACAATATAACAGATGAAAAACACTGTACACGAACACGGAGTAAAAACTGAGGAGTTTGATTTATTGTCCGTGTTCGGTGTTCGAAATGAAGCAAACCGAAGGTGTGTGTCCATATACGGTGTTCGAACTAAAACCGTACAGTTCTAAAAAACTTTTCGGAAATGTGTATCTTGTTTTGTAATGAAAGGTCATACTAAATGAAGTAGTTCCAAATATGTGTATTCATCCATTCTCAAACAATTATGCCAATCATCTGGATGAAATCTTAATTCGTTCAACAAATTAATATGTGTATATTTATCTCTTTAAAAGCCATTTTTTCGTTCATTTTCTTTTTTTTAAATTATATGTAGTGTGGCTACTGAAGCGGCTATTGCCAAAAACTTGGTACGTGATACAGATCTCATATTGAAAGAAAAACGTATTAAAAAAATAAGCACTCAAAAGTTTAGCGTATTTAAAAAAACGTGGACGCTGGTAGATAACTGAACACAATATTGTGTAATTTGTGGATATACGAATAAAACGGTCCAAGTTGTTCGAACACTGTACAATAATGATACAAAACGAATAGTGTGTGTCGTTCAACGGTATACGAACTAAAAAAGTGCGAACTACACCGTACACGGACAAATAAAACCGTAGTGTGTAGCCACTTTAAGTATTATTAGTTATAACCACGGTCTAAGATATACTATCCATCTTAAACCGTGGTTATGGCTTTATGCAGGGGCATTGCTTTATGTCGAGTGGTTATTTGTCAGGTGGCTTTATTTCGTGCTTCGTTCATTGCGTATCGTTCAATGATAAGAATAAATTAAGTTCATTGAAGTAAAAACGAACGAACGATTTGTGGATTGTGAACGATGAACTAATTCAATTTAATGAACGGCTCATCGACGAACGTAGAATTCGTCATTGACCGATCGATTTGTGATTAAAGTGAACGATGAATGACTGAACAGTTCACCTAGATGAACGAGAATAAATTCTATGATTCGGAGAGTCAGAGGGATTCTTATCGTCAACCGTTGGGTATTCAGTATACCTTAATTCGTGATTTAATTGATAACACATGTTAAAGGCCACACTCTCATACTTCTGGTTATGACCACTAATAGGAGCGCTGCTTTCGTGATAAGGGTACCGAAAATCTACTGTTGAGTAGTTCTCGTGTCGCGCCGCCGTAAATGACCGTCTTGCAATCCCACGTGCGTATCCTGGCAATTATTAATAACCTTAAACATAAGTAAACAACGGTATCACTCTGCTGTTGCCATTTGAAGTGATCGTTGATGTGATTCCGCCGTTTTGTAATTTGACAAAAACTTTCATTTAATCAAATTGCCATACGAATAAATAAATTTTATCAAATATCTTTAGTCTCAAGCACTATGACCGAAGACAAAATCCTGAAAGAGTCCACGACCACCGCCGCTGAAAAAGTTCCCTACTCCACAAGAATAAAGTTTCTCAATGAAATCGCTAAACCTTTGGCGTCCAAAGCACTCACGAAAAAACTCTACAAACTCGTTAAGAAAGGTAAATTCATTATGAAGTTTTCGTTTCTAGTGTCGTACTGCAAAATATTAAATTTCTCTGTGTACTTATCTATTATTTTTTTTTACGGGATACGTTGTACACTAATTCCACACTCAATATGTTAATTATATTTTGGACCACACTGAATCAATGTTCTCTTATTGTTGAAATAAGTATTCAATATTTATATCCGATAAAAAATTAATCTTTATTTATATTTGACACGGCTTAAGTTAATACTATTAACATTTCTAAATACCCTGCGAGATGTGCAATAATCTATCATAACATTATTATAATTATACATACATACACATACATTTCCTTTCTAAAATATTTCTGTTTTAATTATGATTTAATCAATATGTGCATTTGTATATTATTTGCTAAAACTAAAATTATTTGGTATTGTTAATGATAATAATAAAATGTTTTTTTTTTAATTATAGCACACAAAGAAAAAACTTATTTAAGAGTAGGATTGAAAGAAGTTCAAAGAAGAATCAGGAGAGGCGAAACTGGCATTGTAGTTTTTGCTGGTGATGTTTCACCAATTGACATCATGAGCCATTTACCAGGAGTGTGTGAGACTAAAAATCTGCCATACTGTTATGTGCCATCACGTGAAGATTTAGGATCTGCAATGGGTGTTAAACGTTCAGCAGTAGTAGTACTTATAAAAAAATTTGAAAGCTATGCAGATTTATTTGATGAATGCCTAAGTGAAGTTAAAGCATTACCATACGACTTTTAAATTTTAATAAATAAGAATTGTATGTAACTATAATAATATAAGTATAATAATCTTCATACATTTTTAAAAATAAAATTTGTAATAATATTCATATTAAATATATATATATATATAATTATCACCGATATGTGTCACTGCTTAATGAAAAGTGTATAAGAGAATGATTAAAGTACATGTTACAATCACTCCACCTATAATAAAGGAATCACGTTTTTTACGCATGTTAATTTTTTGTACAAGTGTATTCAGAGCTGGAAATCTGCTTGACAAATCATGTAGTCTTGATTGTAATCGTTTAAAATGGTGACGTTGTGACACTAAGTGTTCTCTGGTTTCCATTGCAATTGCAATTTGATCTGATACTAAACGATCTGAATTACGTACATGTTCGTGTTCTTTGACATACAAATCCATACGTCGATTTTTAGTTCCAGAATTTTTGAAACCACTAAAAAATTCAAAAAAATCAAACAATTCAGATGGCATGATTATTATTGAATTATATTTACTCTATATCCTGACGAACACTATGTAATAAATCTTCTCTTTCCCTTCGAGCTCGGACATTTGATTGTATTTTACGAAATTCTTTAGTATAATCTTGCAAAATATCTCTATGACGCTGTACAGTGTGCATATTTTGTGAATTGGTAGATGGTTCGCCACTAGAACTCCATTCTCCCATTTTCTCATTTACAGTATTCAACTAAAAATCCATTGAGATATTATTGTGAACATTTGTGAAAAAGAAATTTTACCTTGGAAAGGAGTTCTTCAATTTCAGAAGTGGCTGTATCAAATCTATCGTCGGACAACAACAATTGTGATTCTTCATCGCTGTACATCATTGGATTATTAGTACTCATTTTGCTCAATGATACCAACATTGAGTCAATTTCTGTTTCAAGCCTTCTAGCTTGCTTCTTCAAATCTGCAAAAATAGTAACATATAGAATGGTAATAGTATTAAAATTAAATAATTTTATGTAACTGATCTAAAAAGCATATTTAGAATTTTTTTTTCAGTAAGTAACCAACAGCCAAAATCTTTCTATAAGAATATCAGTATTTTTTATGTAAAATACCATTATAAGGAAAATATAATTATACATGAAGTATTACAAAAGTATAAAAAAAAACTTTCTAATATCAATTATATTCAACTGTAAATAAAAAAGAATACATTGTCATTTGTGAGGTCTGCACTTGAAATTGTAATTTTTTATTATTATTATATATTTTCCATATAGGACTTTATTATCTCAAATAAAATGTAAATTTGTTAATTTTATTTTTCTTTCCATCAAAACTTTATAATGTAGAGCCTATTTTCCTTTCAACTCGGTGCAAAATATAACACTTACAATAGTAGTATTATATTTTATTTACCATCAGAATAAATTAATTTAAATATAGACTTATAATTGCAGTTATTTAATTTTGTACGAAATCCGTAGGATGCAAGATCAGCTCAATGAACTTTCACATCTGATCTAAAGCAACCATCGTAAACTGACTAAGTGAATATAATTGATGAACTGCTGCCAATCGCAATGTATAACAACAGAACCATTAATATCACATACCTTCCCAGGTCGACATGTTCTCCCGATATGTCTTGTACAAGGGTGAAGGATAGAATTTCTTCGACCGTGTTCAATACATCATCTGGTCGAGTCGTGACAAACCTTTAAACGATCAGGACGGAGAACTGTCTCCGCAGGTACGTGATGAAAATGACTAGACCTAACAGGAGAAATGTACGTGTAACGAGGATTTCTAGTTTAGAATGTTATATATATTGCAAAATTATTATATTGTATTTTGATGATAAGAATCTGACGATGACAACGATATCCGCGTGATAACGGGTTTACTCCCTAATCACAGGCATTGATTAAATATACTACAGGTTATATAAAACAACTATATTTTTATAGATAGCCGACTCGATATTATCATTGAAGCAGGAAAGCCGCTAAATGCTTACATTTTTAACTTCATCATAGAAAATATTCATAACATAAATCATAATTCTTAAAAATCACAAACTTTTCAACATTTCACATGCCTTTAGTCTTTACTCATGATCGTGAAATTGTGAAATCGTTATTTCCATTACACATACCTAGTATATGATATTGTGAATTTTAAATATTTAATCTACTTTGGTACCTAACAGTCCTAAAGCTTACACATAATGCCCGTTATTTAAGTCCAATAAATAATTAATTATTATACAACATTTTTTTGTAAAGTTTAATAATTCTAATGCTATACATGTGTACTCACACCCTCCTGGCGTCATTGGCGCACAGACGGGGGTGCCAGGGAGTGCTTAGCACCCCCCGAGTTCTAAACCAGTACCTTCAGTTTATCTTGAGGTAAAATTATTGTTTAAAGAGAATTATTTTGCATTTATAAGAATGAATAAACTCCAGTTTGCATTGATAATGCACTAATGCCCACGAACGTACTCATACTATGTGAATACATTTGATATTGGGTATTTGTGTTTATGTTACCTATACATGTGATACTATAATTATGCTAGAATTTATTGCTAGAATACTATTTAGGATTTTGGTTTTGTTTACCGTCTACAGGTTTGATTGCTTGTTGATAAAAAATAGTGATGTTTATTAATAATATTTTTAGTTATAATATATAAAATTGCTACAACTATAATTAAATAGTAAAACTAAAACATTTTATGCTAAGTAATTGTAGGGCAGTGGTTTCCAAGGGGGAGAAGTTAATTTTGGTTTGACTCGGAAGAAAATATGGTGATAAAATTACAAAAATAATTATGATATATTAAATTTTTTAAAATTTACCATGGGGCATAAGATGAAAAAGGTTGGAAATCACTGTTGTAAGGGGTTTGTGGTTTGGGCTTCGTCTTGGACGGATAATTTTAGCACTCCCAAGTTTCATACTGAATGTGCGCCTATGCCTGGCGTACGCGGATGATATAATAATATTGGGTGACACAAAGCAGGATATTGTAAATGGTATGTCAAACCTAATGAAAGAATGCAAGCACATGGGGATGTTGGTAAATCAGGAGAAAACCAAATATTTGTACATGACCAGAAAAGTATGCAGCGCTGAAGACGAATTAGATTTGCAAGTCGACGGAATGTCCTTTCAACAAGTTCATGACTTTAAATATCTTGGAATCAATATAAATAATAGAAATTGCATGTATAATGAAAACAAACTTCGTTTAAAAGCCGATAATGGGTGTTATTTTGCTCTGTTACATCTGCTAAAATCAAAATTATTGTCTAGGAAAGCCGAAGAAACATTATATACCACGTATCTCAGACCAGCTGTGTCATACGTTTGTTGTACCTGGGCTATAACAGCAGGAGATGAAAATAAACTAAGTATATTTGAAAGAAAGGTCTTAAGAAAAATTTATGGTCCCATGTATAATCCTGACACCCAAGTGTGGGAGAGAAGGTCAAATTAACAGATAAAGCAGCTATATGGGAAAGGAAGTATAACACAATTTGTAAAAGGTACAATATTGGAGTAGGCAGGCAATGTCTGGAGAGCACACAACAGTATTGTCAAGATGGTACTTGTAAATAATTTAAATAAAAAAAGACCGCGTGGTAGACAAAAGCAACGTTGGTTAAATACATTCAAAAGAGATATAAAGGAGCTGAGACCAGATTGGAATGAAGACATGAACCATGCGTATAATAGAGAAGAATGGAAGAATTTAGTATTGACAGCAAAGGGCCTAAATGGCCTGTAACGCTAAAAAAAAAAAAATACATGAGTACTATACAGTGTCGTATTTAGTAATTTTGCACCTCGGCGAAAAAAAAAAAAATTGGCGCCTCTCTAAGAGGCCTATCCACGGAAAATATAGGAGATAGATCCTCATGAACCTTTTAGATATTCTAAAATCAATTCTATTTTTGTGTAGTAGGCACTCCATCGCACGCCGCACACGATAACATAATACGCCGTATTATTAAAAATAACTTATGTTTATTAACATTATCACAACAAATTTGGGAACTGATAATAGGTATATTAATAGTATTCGAGATCGCTGATAGCTGATATTGCTATAAATACATTAAAAAAAAAAAAAAATAATAATAATTTTAAAAGTTCAATAATTCACAAGTGAGCACAAATTTCTGACCACAAAATTTCGGCGCCCCCAAAAAACTTGCGCCCGGGGGAGTTGTAGCCAGTGCCCCCCCTTTAATGCGACCCTGGTACTGTATAAGTTTTAATAATATTATTTTTATTGTATAAATAAAAACTTAATGTTTGACATTTGTTTTTAAATATTCACTATTTACTATTTTTGCTATCCTCACTTTACACTTACCCTCAGGTGACTGGAACAAATACCGGTCTCGTCGGAAAGCTCCCCACTACCATGCTCAGGTGGTCCGACCCCCTTCCACCCCTCCGTTCGCGCTATAGAAATTCAGTCTTGCTACTTAATGATCATACCCTGTACCTATCAATAGACAAAGAAGAATCTCTACGAAGATAGATTGCTCAAGTCATACACAACATTACTAAAGAACATGAGAATAGTCTATTAACAGTACCTACATTTAGAAATGTCATAAATTTATAAGGCGAAACCGGGACAAAATAAACACAATATTGAGTAATATACTTTTTATATAACTTTTAATACATTGAGTGGGCGTATATAAGGGGGGGGATGTGGAGGTCAGATCTCCCTAGGTCAGGGGCGGATAGGCATAATCTAACCAGCCCGGAAAAAATAGAATACAGCAGTCCGCATGATTATATCCAAGTTCTAACTAAACAATTAATTCAACTTTGAGAGAACCAATCTGGCAATAACCACCTTTTTTTTCGACGTTCTTAAATAATATTTAAAATTATAATACATATTATACTATTTAATTTTACACATGTTTTGCTCTCTTCTAACAACTCTACGATTTTTATCTCTTTTATTTTCTGCACCTCCTTTAATTTTTATTCGTTTTGAAGCATACAACATTTTACCAATATTATACTATTCACATAGTTCGCGTATAATTATTGTGGAAAAACATGATATATCAGTAATCAATTTTGCCGTGAGGTTTTATTATTAACTATATATGATAATTTAAATCTGAACAATCAGTTATCATTATAGCACGGAATTATATGCATTAAAAATCAATCAAATATACGCTAAAAGATCTTTAACATGCACTTTAAAAAAATAAATTTGCACTCAAAATTTTTAATAAAATTTAATTTTTAATCATTTAATTTAAATAATACATAAAAAAAATTATATTTAAAATTATGTAACCCTACTGTAAATACTTTTTTTCTTCTTCATTTTAAAGGAATTTACTATGATATTTATAGCTTTAAACTAGATTTAAATATATATTATTAGTATTATATTTATTTACTTTTATTTGTATATATGTATGTACATGTATAATAGTATTAGTAGTAATATTTATCATCGGCCCATTTTCGTCAATATAAGCAGCGGTCCACCGGAAAAATCCTAGTGTCCCGGCGGCCCTATCCGCCCCTGCCCTAGGTCTTATTTTAAATGTTATAAAATAATGTTTTAAATGTGCGGTAGAAACGTAGAAAAAAAATAATGATAAAATAAAAATAATGATTTGTTTGCAAAAGGTCCCCCATACAAAAGTTATGTATACACCACTGAAGAGGACTATTAATGGCCGACAATATAATATTTAAAAATATTTTTTATAAAATAAAATATATTTTGTATTTATATGTGTATAGTATAAACTATGTTTTTATTATATATCGTTAATCGATTACGATTAAAAATGTACTTTGAGATAAAATGGTCGAAATTAAGAATTAAACAATACTAAATTTCTTTTAAACATCTAAGATAGGACATATGGACGTTCCGAAAACATTTTTTGAGACACCGGGACGCGAAGTCCAAAACCGGTGACAATGTCAGTTTTCCGTGACATATGGCAACCCTAAGTACATTGGACAACATGATTTCTGCTTTAAAAATTTTGTTTTATTAAAAAACAATTGATATAATAAAACATGTAGGTATGTTATTAAACCTTCAAATTAGTAGTGATGATATTAATATATTAACAGACACATTTGATCTAGACAGTAAAGTATTAAAAACAGATATTGACCTACTAAAACATACTAATGATGTATCAAATGATGGAATAATAAATATTGATAAATTAATTAAAGGCCAACTGAACCTTATAGTGGAAGAGAAATTATATATTTTAATTTTTTTAAATCTTTCCAAATATTTATGGCTATTCCACTTACAAGTTGTACTTGTGAAAGAATTTTTCCAAAATTCATCATAGTTAAAACAAAGCTACGCAGTACAGTAAAGCAAGAACGTTTGGATGGACTCTTGACATTGTTCATCCAGCAAAAATTGTCAATTGAAACCATTTTTGATGTTTATTTGGTCCAAATAAGGCCAAAGAAAATTACTGAGCTCAGTAGGTATTCTTGTATGGTTATAACAAGACGGCGCTACTTGATACACTTCGAGAGAAACAATCACTCAGCTGCGTGAGAAGTTCCCGGACAGACTAATCTCGTTGCGTGGCCAAAGCTATCCACCTCGATCTTGCGACCTGATGCCGTGTGATTTTTTTCTTATAGAGATACACTAAGTCATGAGTTTTCTAGAACAAAGTTCGAAATGTCTTGAAATATAAGCAAGATAAGCAAGAAATTCGTTGTATCCTCAACGAACTTGATGGATCAATTTGTGATCGAGTCAAGGTAAATTTTATGGAAAGAATAATCGTCTGTAAGGCTAGTAGAGAGGGTCATATGCCCGATACCGCTTTCACTGTTAAAACTTAACTTCTCCTGAAAAGAATGATATATTTGTTATGGTTTTTGCAAAAGAAATAAATTTAATTTATAGCAGATTTAAATCCTGTGTTATTTTTGAGATACCCTATATGTGTGCAATAATTAGGGCTCGGATTTCAATGCATTTGCATCTTTTTTTTTTTAATGTCTTACACGATACTTTCCAAGCTACAAATGTGTTTCAAGTACTTCATGTTGTCATTACGAAATTTTTTTGGAGCAGTTTTTGTATTTTTAGCGGGTGTTATACTTTTTAAGGCATTTTTTAAATTTATTTAGACATTTTTGACCTATTTCTTGTAATATGACTAAAAAAAATTGACTTACTGAAATAAACATTGTACCATGTAATAAAAATAATTTTCATTTTGAACTATATAATATCAGACAATCTGGTTTTAAATTAGAAAAGGCTGAAATTGATCTTGATTCTTATCACATAATGTCATACTAAATTTGACAAAATTTTAAATAAAAATAAAGGCTTTAAACAAATTAAAAAAATGTGTCAAATATTAGAAGAAAATATTGTTCTAGAAGACTTGATTCCTAACGATATGACATTTTTTAATCACCTCAGTTGATGTAGAGAGGTCATTTTCAGTACCTACTCGTATATAAAAACTTGTTGGCAGGCAACCATCGATCATTTAAATTTCAAAATATTAAATAAGCTTTTACCAGTGTAATAAAATTGTAATTTGTAAAATTTAATTTTTTACTTGTTATTTGACTTTATTTTTATTAAATCATATATTTTAAACGTACCTATACAATTTTAAAATGTTGGATAAATAATAATAATAATAATAATAATAATAATAAATTTAACTTTATTTTTGTATTTCTTAGTAGGGAATTTATTTTGTGTTTTTAGGACATTTAAATCCGAGCCTGACTATAACCATGGTTTTTGCCTTCTATTAGTTTTATCCATGATGTAGAGAAAATGTAATATAAAAGACCATGATCCTCTTAGTCCGGTCGTGGTATACAACTAGTGGTAGTGGCGCCGAACTCTAAGGTTAGGTCAGGTCGTCAGTACGTGTTGGACTAGTATGAACCATGTATAATACTTGTAATTTGAGAGCACAAATTATTTTTTTATGCAAAATAGAAATATAGGCTGTTGGTCATTGTATTTTTATTTGGCCTGAGTAAAATTTTAGATGCTCGGCGCCATTGATTCTTGGTTCAAGATAAATTTATAAAATTAAATAAATAATAGTAATAATAATGATAAAATATAAATAGCCAATAGCTATTTATATGAAATGTCGGACTGTTTTTAAAACATTTTAATTGGATTATTATTGGATGCAGGGCCGGATTAACATAGGTGCAAAAGGAGTATTTGCTCCAGGGCGGTAAATTAAGTGGGGCAGCATAAATAAAATAGCCTCAAAAAAATTATTTAAGATCGTTATTAATACAAGAAAAATGTCAAAATTATCAATTTTATTCATAGAATCTGATTTGGTTGAGGAAATTAAATGATAAGAATTAACATAAAATCTTGTATCTATTAAATCCATAAAAAAATATAATTTAAAAAAAAAATGTAAAATATACGAGTATACATAGTTATATGGTTATAGTTTTTTTTTTAATTGGCGTTAATATTAAAAATTACTTTAATTTTTATCTGCATATTTTGAACCAATTTATTAATATTATAATTGTATTTTGTTAGTATTTTCCATTAGTTTAAAAAAATTCTTTGTAAAACTATTCAGTGACATTTAACATATACCTATTTATACTTCTTAGTTAAAGTAGATTAATTATTATATTAGCTACCTATATTTTATAATATATATATATATATATATTTATAAATAGTACCTATTTTATTTTTTAATTTATACATGGAAACCAGGATTTTTTTTTTGGTCTTACTCAAACCTTATTTCTTTGAGAGGGAGGGAGGCAAACATTATTTGCTCCAGGCGGCATCGGCCCTTAATCCGGCACTGATTGGATGTTGGACAGATCCTTAATGTAGGACAGTTGACAGTCTAGCTGAAATATGAAATGCGCTCGCAATGCAGAATCAAGCTCAGCCATTTAATGACTTTAACCACGAATAATTATAGTTTGTTGGGTTATTGAAGTACAACTCCCAAAACGACGTTCCAACAGGTTATGGTAGTTATTTTTCGTCTCATTTCTTAAGGAATGTAATTCCCAAGTAAGTCATATATAATGTGCCATAAAGAACAATTAAATATGTAACATAATATTGGAACCTTTAAATATACTATGATTAATAAGTTAAATTCTGTGCATGGTTTACTGATTTTTTTTCATCTAAATAATCTTCCTTGAATTGTAAAAGATATAACTTCATTTTATACTATGTAGAAAAAAATATATTTTGTTTTAGGTACTTGTTTTGGTTTTTATACATATATAAAAAAAAAAATACGTTTGTGCTCAAAAAATAGATAACTATAATAACAGTAACTTATATATTTATAATTAATAAATGTAACTAAAAGTTAATGGTTAAAAGTTAGTGTACAAATGATAAATGCAGGATTTGATGATTTATTTTCAACCCATTTTATAAAATATGGTTTAAATATAGAAGTGAATTTATAATACATAAGTTGAACAAATTAATAAATATATATTATTTTTAATTATGTTACACATAACTTGCAAAAGGTTGGTAAGAAGTTTATATTACTATGATCAACTTTGGTGTTATTATTATTTTTTTATTTATACACTTAAACTAATATAGTATAAACTATGTCGGTCAAAAACTCAAGAACAAATAATTTTTTAGTATAAACTTGAATCAAAAATAGAAATTTTTAAAATTGCATACAACTTTAAGCAGAAATGCTAAAAAAATATTCATTCAAAAGGTATGTAAATATCATAAAAATTAGAATATAATTAAATCTCAATAAATTTATACTTATTTTCTATAGAACACAATAACTTCTTAATAATACAATTCCATAAATATATGTATACAGTATATAATTTTAAAAACCAACTGTTAGTTAACTTAATTAAACAAATTCAAGAATGATTCTCACTAAGTTGTTTTTGAAGTTCTTCAATTTTAATTTTTCGATGATGTAACATTTTTTTCATCACCTGGTTATCATTTTCCAACTTAGTAATTTTTTCAGCCATGCTTTTATTCCCAGCAATCTAAAAAAAACATTAAAATATTAATCACAATTTGACTGTCATACTAATGCTTATTTTTAACTTGCCATAGCACTACTGACTACACTTTGTTCTTCAACAGTCTGAGTATATTGATCAAGTTTTCTTACGTTTGTAATTTCTTTTAACCGATGTACTTCTTTACGCAACATATGATTCTATAAAGATTAAATAATAATTATTATAATACATGCATTGTTAAAATGAAATATTGATTTTTTATAATGTATATTTTCATATGAATAAAAATTGTATAAATAGATAAATAAAAAATAAAAATAAAAGAATATATATATATATATATATGTAAAAACCAAAATGGTCAGTGACGTGAGTAGGCAACTACACTTTTACGACGAGTTTCATTGGGTATGAAACCTAACAGTTAATAACTCCGTAATGATGGCCAGCGCCTGGAATTAGTACACGATGACGGCGGTGTCGACGATGAAGGAGTGGATTACAAGTTATCTATTATTTTACAAGGGAAAGAGGAATAAGAGGTTGGTTAACAGAGGGGATGCTCTACTGTTCGAATCAGGCTAGTGTACCTTACCAGTAGAGTTCACAAAAATCAGACAAATACTCAATTCACAAATTACAAATATGGCAAGTCAACTATGATGGTAACTGCAGTTGCCCTCTCGACGACCTCGCACACACCCTCTCCTGGGTGTTGGTGGTCTTATGCGTATTGGACGGCGATAGGTTTCCCTGGTCGGACTCGTTGACCAATCGGTCCAAACAATTTGGACGATATATATATATATATATATATATATATATATATGATAAAAATACTAACTCAAAGGTGACGGAAAGGACTGAAGAGAATTCACGTTGACGATGATGGTGACACCACAGAATAAATGAAATGTCATTTATTCTGTGGTGACACGTAGACAAAAAAAGATTCAATAAATCACGTAGTACAATTTGGTAACTGTTTGATTTTCGTAAAGTGAATAATAATCAGTTAATATGCCGCAATGGCGAACAGAACACAAAAAATAAAAAAAAAAAAAAATAATAATAATAGTAATAATATTGCCTCGGTGGCAAATGGCACAGTATTATAAAAAGAATAATCAACGTTGCCTCAATGGCAGATGGACAAAAAAAAAAAAAAAAAACTATATAAAATTGATAGTGCTTTAATAGCGACCGAAACACGACAACGAATAGGTTGGCCGAATCTCGCGATCGACGTATGAAAACTTACAAAAACAAAAGTTACATAATAGTTTACAATATTAATTATTATGAACTGGAAACTCGAGGAAACAGATAAGGACGTGCCGCTGTGTAGCGTTCGCTACTTCACGAGTTACTCGTGAATACAAATAATATAAAATAATTATTGAACGAAAGGAACTAATAAAAATGTATTATATTTGTTCTAATAATGAGAAATAGATGAATTATTAAATAGTGTTAACTTATGTTGTAATTGTTTATTATTTTATAGTAGAAAAATTATTTAATATAATTTTCTAGCTGTTACCTCATCTCTAGCCCTCTTGTAGAAGTGTTCCAGTTCATTATTTTTCTTTTTTAGCTCGTCATTATTAGTTTTAGAGAAGAGTTCTAATGTAGAAATTTTGGCATTTTTATCAACAATACATCTATTCAACTGTTGAATATCCTCCTTTAAAGATTTTTCCAAATTCTTGGCAGTCTCTGAAAAGATATTTTTTATAAAATATTTTTTTTATGTATAAAATAAGTAACATTTACCTGATAGTTTATTATATTCATTAAGAAGTTCTAAATTTTTAGTATGAACTTCATTTAGTTCAGATTTCAGCTTTTTCATTTCTTTATCATGGGCCATAATTAGCTGACCTTTTTCTTTTCTTAATTGATAAATATTTTGCTCATAACCACATATTTCATCATTTAATTTTTTGATATCATCATTAACATTTTTAACTTGTTCAAATTTATTTTTTAAAAAATCTCTTTCTTCAGTTAATAATTCAATATTTTGTTTCAGCTCGTCTTCCTGAGTCAGAAGTTCTAATATTTTGCCGTCTTTACTTTTTATTTCAGTTAACATCAATTCACATTCTTCGTCCAAATTCATATTATTAAGCTTAAGTTCTTCCATTTCTTCTTTTAAATCTTCATATTTTGCCACTAATGAACTGAAATTTTCATAGAGCAAAGATAATGGACCAGTGCAATTTAGTGTTTTTCTAAATTTGTCAATTGTGTTATTTATTTCAACTGAGTTGTCATCATTAATTTTCGATTTTGTATAGTAATTTTTAATTTGATCATCTTTTAACTTTAATGTCTCATAACTATTTTCTAATTGTTTTTCAAGAGTAATAATTTTTAACTTGTTAAGTTCAAATTCCTGAATAACTTTAGAATATTGAGCTTCACTCTCTTCTAATTTAGTATTCTTTAATTTTAATTCTGTTTCCAAACTTTTAAGTTTTGTTTTATTAATTTCTGAAATAGTTTGAATATTAAACTCAAGTTCTTTTATTTTTGCACATAAATCAGAATTATCATTATTATGCTTATTTTTTAATACATTTGAAGAATTTTCTTCCAGAAGTTGGTTGTAATTTTTAGTTACTTCTTTGAGTAATTTATCTGTGTTATATATTTGTTGTGATTTATCATTTAATTCCAATAAAAGTTCGTCAATCTTTTTCCCGTGAATATCATTCATTTCTTTTTTTTGGAGAACATTTTTTTCTAATAATTTTTCATATTCTTCTGTTTTCAATTGAACCTGATCAAATAGATTTTTAATATCTTCATCTTTCTTTTCTAAAATAGCTTGAAGACACGCACATTCAGATTGGATTTTCTCTACTTGACTTTCCAGAGTAGAACGACTGTTTTTTTGATCTTTGTACAAATTTAATGATTCATTATATTTGCTGGTTAGATCTTCAAGTTTTGTTTTCAGTTCTTTTATAGATTGCTCAGAACTAGTTTTAAATAATTCAAACTCATTTGACAATGCTTGATAACTTTGTTCACTTTTCTTGTTAAATTGTGTCTTTAATTCTTGCAATTCAGATAAATAATCAAAAGCTTGATTTTCTACTTCTAATATTTTTTCGGTTAACTCTTTTATCTCAATTTCTCTATTAGGGAAATTATGTTTTTCAGACTTCAGAATTTCCAATTCTAAACAGAGTTTTTCATTATCACTTTCTACTTGTTCTTGCCATTCTTTTCCTTTTTTAATATCTTCTTGGAATTGTTTGATCTGATCTTCATATTGTTGCTTACTCTTATTGTGGCTATTAACTAAATCAGTTACAATTTGTTGTTCTTTAGTCATTATTAAACTGACAAATGTATCCAACAAATTTGACAAATTATGATGAGCAAGAACCCCAGTTATTTTTCCTGGTTCAAGAAGATTGATTTCATTTAACAAGTTCTTTTTACCATTTCTCAGTTCTGAATCAATGTCTAAACTATGATGAATTTGTTCTTTTATAGCCTGATTATGTTCTTCAAGTGTAGTATATTGTATTTTCAATTGACTCAATTCATTATTTAAATTGCTTAGTAAAGATTCTTTTTCCTTCAAATAATTTTCCATTAACGCCATATCATTAACTAATTTGTTATTCTCATTGGATAAATTTTTTATTTGGTCTTGAAGTTCGTTAACACTGTTCTCTACATTATTTTTATCTTTTTGAAGAGAGTTAATTAAATCTATTTTATCTCCTAATAACTTCCGTAAATTATCAATTTCTAAATCAATTCCAATATTAGGAGATACAAGAGGGGAGCCACCTTTCCAAACTTCATCATCACATGGTAAACCATCATCTTCAATAGACATTACTTTTGTTCTAAATAGTTTTTCACTCCGATTTCCTGATATCATAGCAGAATTGAGTTCAGTCAGTTTTAATTTAATATCATGTACATAATCAACAAGTGGATCGAATAATTGATTTCTTACATTATTACTTTCCAAATTATTTTTATCAATTTTATCATTTAATTTTGATTTGAGTCCGTTTAACTCATTTTCAATAAATTTAGTTTTAGTACACAAATTTTCATATTCTCTTTGTGCACAGTACAAATCACGTTCAAAATGTTCAACCATATCTCCAGTCATTATTATATCATGTTCCGCTTCATTTAAACGACATTCTAAATTCTTTTTTACAGAATTTGCATCTTTCAATTCAATTACTAAAACATCAATAATTGAGGCTAAATCTTCTGTTCTTTCTTCACTTAATTCCATTTCCTTGGCAATACTGGAAAGTTTTTCTTGCAGTTCGTTCAATTTACACTCAAGATTGGCTTTTTCTTCCAATAAATATTTTTCATTCTCTGTTTTCTTAGCTAATTCTGATTTAATTGAATCAAATTCTTCATTTAAATCCACTAAAACATTTTCCTCAAAATCATTAACTCTTGTTTGAAATGAATCGTTTCTCGAAAACAAAAACTCAACATTTTTCTTATACTCTTCCAACGCAATACATTTAGACTTGTAATTACTTTTTAGGATTTTTTCATTTTCTGCTTGATTTAACAATATTGATTCGAGATTCACAATTTTAGATTGTGCTTCATCACATTCACGTGACCTCAACATAAATTCTTCTTCGAGTTTATCATATTCTGACTGTAAACTGGATTCAAGTATTTGCTTTTGTAAATACTCAATCTCAGTAGATTTAAGTACAATTTCTGCTCTCAAATTAGATTCTGTATCCATTTGAAGTTTAAAAGATGATTCAATATCATTAGATAAATTAATGAATTCTGTATACAACTTGTGATAGTTTGATACTTGCAATTTTAATGTATTTTCTAGATACAATTTTGTCTCTTCATGATGTTTTGATAATTCTATATATTTTTGATTCGCCAAATTTAAATCTTTATTTATTTCAGTAACTGTTATGAATTGATCTTGTAGATTTTTATAAGAATTTTCATCTTCTTTTATTTTAATTAACTTTGTTTCATTAATTTCAGCACATTTCACAAGTAATTCAGAGTTCATGGTTTCTAAATTGGTTAGTAAATCTGATTTAGTAGCCAATTCAGACTTCAATTGTTCTGTTAAAAGAATGTATGATTTTAAGTCATTCTCCATTGTTACGACTAATGAATAAATTTCATTTAAATCAACTAAAGCATTTTCAATAAGGAATGATTTGGATGATAATTTTTCTGATATTTGATTTGAAAGTTTTGAATTAACGTTTTCTAATTCTTCAATTAAACTAATTTTTTCAGTAACAGTAAATTTATAACATTCAAGTTCATGGTTTAGTTTTTCAATATTATATTCATAATCATTTTTTAAAATATCTATAGTTGATTTTAATTCATTGCTTTTAAAATTAGTATCATTTAATTCTATAATAATACTATTTAGTTTGGTTTCCAAAAATTCTTCATTGTGTGATTTTTCCACCAATTCAGATTCAAGTTTGATAATTGTCTCATTTAATTTCAGATTATTACACTTTATTGCATACAATTTACTCTTTTCAAATTCATCAATTAGTTTATACTTTTCTTCTATATTTAATTTGATAGAACCAAGTTCATCGTTCAGTTTTTCTATAACATTAGTATTAGCATCAATGTTTAATTGCAGGACGTTTACTTGAGAAAGTACAATTTCTAATTCTTTAGTTTTTGTAACCAATTCTTCATGAATTTTACTTTCAGATGTTTCTTTTTCTATTAATTTAAGCTGTAATTCAGAAACACTTTTTTTAAGCTGGTTGTTTTGTTCCAAATCATTTGTGTTTTCAGATTTAGCAGATTCAAGTAAAGTATTTAACGTTTGAATTTCAGATTCATTCGATGCAACTTTCATTTTCATTTCTTTTAATTCATCAGTTGTACACTGTAGATTGTTAGTCTTTTCAATAAGTTCATCTCGTAATTGCTTTTCAATTTCTTCCTTTTGTTCAATGGTTTTAGTAGTTAATTCATAATGTCTTTCTAGTTCATTGTATTTAGTTGATAGTTCTAATGTTGTCTCTTCAAGCTTGTTAACCAGATTACATTTTTCTTCAAGATTAGATTGAACTATTTGTAATTCAATGTTTAATCGATCTACATTTGAATTAGTGTCATTTTCATAATCTTTTATAGATAATTTCATTTCATTTAGAGCAATAAGAGTATCTTTCAATTCAGATGATTTATCATCCAATCTTTCTTGAATTTCTTTTTCAACTTTGGTTTGATTTTCTATTAATGTATTGAGGTTAGTATTTAATTCATTTAATTGTTCAATTTGTATTTGATATTCATTTTTAGCAGCATTACTCACAGCTAATTCTTTTTGAAGACTTATAATATAGGATCGATTAGTCTTAACTTTTTCCACAATTTCAACACACTCAGATGTTAATTTATTGAAATCTTGGATACTTGATTTCAAAAATATATTTTTTTCAATAGTTTCAGAAAGTTCTTTCTTAAATCTGTTTATTTCAGTAGTCGAATCAATTTCTAAAGAAGAAATACTTCCTAGAATATCATCCAGAACATCAAATACAAATAATTTAATATCACATAATGTATTATTAGATAAAGTCAATTTTTCATTTAAAATTTGATTTTTACTCGAAAGTTCATCTATCTCTTTTGTGTTTTTTTCAAAGTGATTAACAGCAAATTCTATTAAACTGTTTACATCTGAGTTATCAACATCAATCTTCACACTACCACTAAAATCTTTGATAACAGACCTAATATTTGATTCAATTAAATTTAGCTGCAATTTCAAATCATAATTTTCTTTTTTGATATTATTAATTTGAATGGTAAAATCATTTGTAATTAATTTTAAATTGTTATTTTCATCATTTAATTGTTGATTATCAAACTGCAATTTTTCTACTGTATTATGAATATGTTCTAGAAGCTTATCCAACTCCATAATTTCATGTTTTTGTAAAGCAAAATACCCTTTACCAGCTAACAATTGAACAGCATTAGTAACAGATTTACTTTCAGTCACATGGTTTTGAAGAAGAGATAACTCATTCATGATCAAGTTATTTTTTGTCAATTCTTCATTAAGTTGGTGATCCTTATTTATCAACTGTGATTTCATTGTTTCTATTTCATTAATATAAGAGTGATTTAATAGACTCATTTCTTTAATTTTCATTTCTAGTCTTTTAATTTCTTCTTGCTTTTCAGACATGAATGTATCATTTAATATAACTTTTTTTAATTGTTCTTCTTTTAATTTTAGTTCTTCTCTTGTTTCCTGTAAATAATGTATATCTTGTGCAATTAAATAATATGTAAATTAATAGGTGGTATTATATATTTCTTTATAATGTACTGACCTGAATAGTACCCAAAAGTTCAATTTCACGTTTTTCATACTTATTTTTTTGCATTTCCATGACAACTTCAACATCACGTTTTTCATTTTCAATAAGTTTAATTGAGCATTGAAGTTTTTTAATTAATTCAGCTGATTCATTCTTTTCAATTTGAAGATCATCAACTTTTTTTGTTAAAATACTTAAATTTTTTAGTTGTTCATTCTGTAAGATTATAAAAACAAAAATAAACAAAATAATCATATAAACATTTTTATTACTTACATTTTCATGAAACATTTGTTTTTCAAGAGTTGTAAATTCCCTCAATTCATTGTTTTCTTTCATACTCATTTCAAACATATTTTTGTAGTTATTAACACGTTCTCTTAAGACTTTTTTAGGTGTTTCACATACACTAAAAGGTATGCTACAAGGTCTAAATATGAAACATAATTGTAAAATTTAAATATGATTCAAATTAACAAATATTTCAGACTTACGGAGAGATTTCATTCTCTGGAATGTCATTAATTATAGATTCAATATCTATAGTACGATCTTCTTCTCTCATTAAATCCAATTCAAATGGTTCCAACGGAGTCTTAAATTCTAAAAATAGATAAATAATTATACAAAATAAACAATAACAATGTAAAGTACGATTTAAAAAAAAAAAAAAAAAATTAACCTTTATTTTGATTGCCAAAATTTGATGGTACACTAGGTCGAGGAACATTGACATCTTCTTCTATAGTTTCAAGTATACTATTTGAAGAAAATGTACAGTCAAGTTTGCCTCCCCAAGTCCGCCTTCGATGATACCCTTTCTAAAATAAAATTGATTATTAATTATTTATTAATAATTATTAATTTAATATAAGTATAAAATAAAATTAAAAATGCAATCATTTTTACTTTATTTGAAGGTTGTTCCTTGTGCCCTACAGATGATGTAATCATATTGTTTTGTAAACGCATAATACGTTCTTTTAATTCTTCATTTGTTCGTTTTTCAATTTGATACTTATATTTAATTTCATTTACTTCATCATTTTCATATTGATTTTGTTTAATACCCTCCAATTCTTTATTCAACTTAGAAAGCTGAACTCTATAACGTTTTAGAAGTGTTTCATCAGTAACATTTTCATTCACTTTAGCAACATTTCTAATTTTTTTAGCACGAGAAGCAAAACTAAAAAAAAAAATTAATACATAATATATATTAAACATTGATTAATAAATATATTAAATAAAATATAATAATACAAATAATGCTAAACCTCAATGTGTTTTGAGTTTGATCTTCTACAGCTAATGTTACAGTGCAAATAATAGCAGTTAATGAATTTCCACCTAGAGATGTTTGTAATATTCTTGTCAATTTACTGTCACGGAAGTTAATAAACTGCGAGCTTAAAAAAAAAGTAATATACAATATACATAAATATATATATATATATATATATATTCTTATATCAATACATAATAATTAAGTAATAAGCAAGAAAAAAGGTATTAAAATTGAAAAAATTTGATTTATTTTTTATGAATAATATTAAAAAAAACAAAACAAAATGCCATAAATTAGAATTTCCAATAATCAAAATGAGCTTTAACTCATTTTCATGGCATATATTAATTGGTTATTATTAATTAAAATATGTCACATTTGATAATTATGATACAGATTAATTAATATAATAAAAAATAATAAACATAATATAAATACCTATCAGGACATTCACTAAGTTGTTGAATGACAAGACCTAATGTTGTGAGAGAACTATTAATTTTGCAACCTTCTTTAAATCGTTCCATGGACAATTGTGTTTGACTACTTTTTTCAGAACCAGCTAAGTCAACTAAATTTATTACTGACTGTTGGTAAGCCCCATCACAATCATCATCAACATTACGACTTTCTAGAATCTAAAAAAAATTAAAACTATTCTTGTAAATTATTTATTAACTTGAAAAAGTCCCAAGATTTAAAATTAACTTAAAATATTTTTATAAAATCTATCATTAATATATATATTAGAAATATGTGATTAAGAAAAAGATTTAGGATTTTTATAAATAAATTTACAAAAATTAATTAATTAATTTGATGTTATAATTATTATAACATCACTTTCCGTCTAAGTATAAAAATTTAATTTAATTTAGTGAATTAGTAATCTAGGATAATCAAATATTCAAAAAATTATTTAATTTTTTTTTTTTTAACATTTTTCTCAGTACATACATTTTAAAATAACCTAAACTAAATGTTGTCAAGAAATACGGACTATAAAATTATATGACAACTAATTTAGAGTTTAAGGGGATTGCAAGCCATAATTATCTTTCTCTTTCTATCACATGTGTAATATAGGGATTTAGATGTTTTCTATTTCCAAAGTACCGATCAATATATTACGGCGATAAGGATTTTTAAAACTGATTTGAATTTGTCATAAAGTCTTCTTTAGATTAAATGTTGTACGTAACACATCCAAAAAATAATATTTGTTTACTATTTGTTAAATCCTATTTCGTGAAACAAAATCAAAAACATGAGATAGATCTAAAAAAAGATTGCAAGACGATTTTAAATCAATTTTCAAAATCCTTATTGCATCAATAGATTAATCAGTACATTAGAAATAGAAAACGTCTAAATTCCTACATTGCATGTGTGATAGAAAGAAAAAGAAAATCTGGGTTTGTAATTCCCTTAAGATAGATACTAATTGTTTTCATTAGAATAGAACATGTTAGGTTTTTAAAGTAAGGTACTAGAGAAAAAACATAAGACTATAAAAAAAAAAAGAATTAAATTATTTCTGAAATAGTTTAATTATTTAATGTTTACACAAATAAATATTTTAACTTTCATTTTAATTCAAATTTAAATAAAAATGCAAATAGCCATTGTATATATATGTTACCGGCAATATGGATAATTCAGATATTTTAAAAAATGTCTAGGCATTATGCAAATTGCCGACCCATTTCAGGCAATGTAAATAAAACATATGATTTTCAATATTATTTTACATACAACCTAGGTATTTTATAAAATACATAGGGGCATTATGCAAAGTGCCAATTTTTTTTTGGCAAAGTACAAAACATTTTTATTATGTGTTATATTACATTAAGATTCTTATAATTATTATATTATTACTATTATATTATAAATATTTTACTTATTATATAATTGTTGTAGTTTGTTATAAAAATTTGACTTTATATAAATTGTATCCATAGTTGCAATACTATAACAAGACATGAAAATGATGAGAAAAATGAGGATATTGTAATTATTAGTATGTTCAATATTGTACCTCAGAATTAATATAATAGTGAAAGAATCTTTATTGTGTTAAATCATGAATGCACATTTTTGATAAATGATTAATAAAATCATTGGTAATAGGCGATGCTCAATTTTGTTTGTTTTCATCATATTGTCTACTCCATGTTTGGCATTATACATAACACCTAGGCAAAGCTTGTATTATGTATATTGCCGGTAACACACACACACATATATATAATTCTTATAATGACATCATGGTGTATATAAATTAAAAAAAATCCAGGAATGGTTATGAGAATAATTAAAATTGAAATATGTTTTAATTAAAAATACTTACAATACGAAATATGGTATGAGATCTTGATGATCTCTCATTCATATTTGTCTCTCCAAAACTACGATTTTGTTCACCCATTTTCATGAGATCAATAACCTAAATTAATTATAACATAATTAATAAGTTTGAAAATATAAGAAACTTATAGTAATATAATTTATAGTTATACCATTTGAGCATTTTGACAAACTACAGCTTTAAGTGGTGTTATATGTAATCCATCTTTCTGAATTTCAATTTTTTTCTGATTTTTGTTATCCTTTTTTTCAAGTAGGTCAATAACTTTTTCATTGTAAATTTCTAAGTAACAAGCTCTGAAAATTAAAATATAAAACATTAAATTTATCATTCATAAATTATAATAATAATAACAACAATATTAATACTATACCTGAGTAAGTATTCTCTATCTGTAGAACTATTCATAACACTGAACATATAATAAATTGCCAATGGAATTATTCCAAGGTTTGATTGATCACCAGCCATAGTATATGTCTTTCCAGAAGCTGTCTGACCATATGCAAATACTGTACCATTAAACCCTTGCACGCCTCTATCAATAATTGGTTTGACAATCTCGTCAAATACATCATTATTAGTTGATTCACCACAAAATACTCTATCTAAATTGAATAAATAATTTATAGCAGGTTCATACCTATATCACTAAAATTAGTGACCAAAAACTTAAAATTTTGTCATTTTAAAAGTAAAATAAAATATAACAATTTTAATGGTAAACATCTATCAACATTTCAATTTTTAAAATTTTTCTATTAGGTACATAATGAAACCATTGAGTATTTTTTTTATATATACAACTACTTAACAGGCAGTAAAAATGATTCATTTGCTATACAGATTTCAAGAATTGATTTAAAAATGTACAAAAACAAGTAATTTAAAGTTTGTACATGATTATAATTATTCTGAAGATTTTAGAGTTGTCACAATAAATTAAGTTAAAATGAAATTTAATATGTACATTACTAGACTGTAAATATAATTTCAGAAAAATTCTAAGGAAAATACATGAACTTAAAAAACCTATACAAAAACTAAATATTGGAAAGGTAAAAAATTACTGAAATGAGCGGTTCATATATGTCAAGTTGATGGAAACCTATTTACAATATATTGGTCAGAAACCTTTGGAAAAAAAGGTACCATGAGGAAGGTGCTGTAAACAGTAGCTAAATAGGGTGATCAAGGATACAAAGGAAGATAATAGGATAAGCATATAAATAGCAATAAATCAAGACAACTGTGAAGACTTGGTAGTAAAAGAAGTGTATAAAAGGTTTTAAAGACCTTTAAGCATAAAAAATTAAAAAATATACAATTTCATTATGATCTTGACTTAAGTGCCTAATTAAGATAAGAATTACATAATTTTAATTCAATTCAGGAAAATACTAATTATTATTTTTCATATTAACGTGGTTGTATTGAGCCTTTATTTTAAGAATAAATCTTAGGGCTCTCAGTGATCCCCGGGTAGCATACCAAATAATAGACCAACACTGGCTATATGTGTTAAACACAAATTAAGAATTTAGAATCATAAATAGAAAATCGAGATTTAAAAATTATGCAAGACAAAAATTAAAGGTGATAGTAAAATTGTTATTCTATAAATCAAATGTAATAATATATTTAGAATAATTTAAATAGTCTATGTATTATAAATTGAGTTATTGCACCAATATTGAGAGATATAATTACATTTTTCTAGGATGGACAATTTTATTTCATAGATACATAGCTTATATTTTTAAAATTGTTTAAATCAAAGTTAAGAGAAAAATTTAATATTGTAAAATATGTGCAATACTCAATTTAACTAATTGTAAAAATTATTTTTTAAAGGTATTTAAAATTCTTAAGATTCACATTTGAAAGAAATGTTATACAGTAGCAATACAATACACAAAACTACTTATATTAAAAAATAAACATATTTAGGTAAATATGCAGACAATTTCATATAAATGTTTATAGTTTAAAAACATAACCAAATACTAATGTACTTTATTTTTGAAATGAGACAGACAGAATCATTTTATTTTTAATTTAATCCAATCATAAGGTAGACAGACATTTAAAATACCTATCACCTTTATTTGTACGTTTCTACAGAATGATAGGTATTTCAATCTATTTTTAATTTAAAATTTAGATGCATAAGATAAGAATGTGTATTTTTTTTAAGTTTGTTTAATTATACATAAGAAGACTTGTTGAAGAACAACTAGTACTAGTAGCGTATCCCTGGAGAGGGGGGTCAGAACCCCTCGTTGAACCTGAGATAGTAACTTATATAGTATCTACGAAAAAATACTTTGGAGAAGTAAAAAAAAAGCCTTTTGTGCTTAAGATGAAGCGATTGGAAGAAAAGATAGAATTTTGATGTTAATAAATAAGTGAAATCAATATCAAAATGTTGTGCCTCAATTTGAAAAAATATCAATTCACAAAAAATTCAAGTTCTTCAACTGTACAAACATTGAAAAAAAAATTAGCGTATATTAATGATAATAAGTCTGAGTTAACGTGTTTATCACTCTGATTCAAATTTTTGTTGACAATCTATAATTTGATCTATCATGTGCTAATTTTTTTTTCAATGTTTGTACAGTTGAACAACTTACGCACAGAAAGTTTTTTTTACAACTCCAAAGTACTTTTTTGTGGATTTCAATTATTTTTCCGAAGCACGTTTTACAGTGATATTTTGGAACAATATAATTATTTTGCTTAAAATATCAAAATGTGAGCGTTTTTGGAATTCTGTGGCCACTTGTGTACTTTTGTGATTTGGTTGTTTGTGTACACAGTTGGTTTTGTTCTCTCTGATCATAATGCTGTATCTGCTAGATTTAAGATTATTCTCATAGAAAAATGCATCTATGTAGCTTATAGAAGCGATCGTGAATTTTCAGTACAGACATTGGTAAAGCCTTTATTTTGTAATTACAGAATATATAATCCCCGGGATTGCTATTATCGTAGATTTCCAATTGTAATTGAACAATCAAAACTTTTTAATTTTCGGATCAACCTGAACATTATGATTTGTACCCTTGTTACAACTTAAACATTTAGTCCAGATTTTTTTAATTGAGCGCTGGAAATCCATAAGCGATTTTTAACTCATATGTTTTTTTCAGATCATTTTTTATGGGTACTTGCAAGATATTTGTTTGAAATTCTTGGACAATTTTACAGGAACATACAGTGCAAGTTTAAATATAAACACTATTGAACGTAACAATATCTGATTACTTTTATTCAAAATTGATTGTAAGAAGTTGGATATTGCTATGTTGTTATTTATTGTAAAAGTATATTCATGTCTGGCAAAAAAGCATAAATTCTTGTAAATCTTGCAGCCTTTTTGCCCAGTAATTATTGATCATCATGTTCAATATATGATCTGGTAGAAGTTTTTTTTATTTGATTTTTTAATGTTGTAATAGTAAGGGTGACCGCACACTAGTAAAACAAAACTGCTTTAAAGCGCCTAAAAGCACTTTATTGTGACTTATGAAAAATAAAACATTTATATTTTAAGGAAAACACGCAAACTGATAAAGCGCATTCAAAACAAAACATTTTTGTCTTTAGTCATGACTAATATTGCTTCATTGAAATAGAATGTGCGCTATTTTGTTTAGTCATAATCAAGCAGTCACAGGATGGTTATATCAAAATGATGCCAACAATTATTTATTTATGTTAAATTGTCTACAATATAAAGGTAATTATATTATATTTATACATGTACATAATTTTGACATATACTATATACTATATGTATCCCCTGAAAAGTTTTAAAAATTAAGTAAATAAGTAAAAGGTACCATATTATGTGTATATTATTTATTTTATTCAATAGGCTTATAAAATGTTTGTTGAGCATGAAATTAACCTCAACAATTTAATATTGTTTGTCCAAGAGAGTCAATCTCTTTGTGATTATAAAAAAAAAATTTATTTTCTTCCTGTTCAATTTCTTTTAAAAGAAACCATAAAATAAGAATAGCAACGTCCTCCTCGTCAGGTTATGACGACTGGTTTTACTTTGATTTGACTATGTTTTATCTAGTGTGCGACAAGGGTGCACCCAAGGGGGTGGCTAACGGGCTTTAACCCCCCCCCCCCCATAATGGCTAGTCCCAAAAATTTTGATAATTTTATTAGGTTTATTGACAATTGTCATTAAACTTTAAATTATTATAAAAAAAATTATCAACTATAGTATATCAATTATTTTATTTAAGCCACCTTCCTACTTAAGAATCATTTGAGTTTTCTTTAAATAAATTTTTATTTTTCTGCAAACGTCTGAACCAACTTTGTTCTAAATGGAATTTACAGCAAACTATTTTACACCGAGGAAAACTCTGAAAATCAGCATTGTGTGCAGTTTTAAGATTTCTGTACATATTTCAAAATAAATACTACCTATTAATATTAAAATTATTTGAATTTAGCCCCTCCTAAAAAAAAATCCTGGATACGCCCCTGGTGTGCGATCATAATGCTTTATTTTGACTAAAAGCAAAATGACTAAACGTGACTTAAATTCCTTCAGTTAATTTTATTTTACCAGTGTGTGGTCAGCTTAAGAGTAACCGCTGCAAATGAGCTGAAGCCGTCTTCTGGGAACCCTCAGAGTTAGGATAAGTTATTTACTAGATCTAAAACTTCTCTTTGAATAGTATACTTCTATACTATATTTATAATTGATTTAGGGTCAATGCTAATATGCATAAGCTAGCGCATGAATGTTTAAAAATAGCAGTATTATCGTCATTATTTGTTTATCTCTTCTAGAAGGTTCTAGAATACTATTGCGTTCGGTTATGGAAATACCCGAAATACCCCATACAATTATACGTCAGTATGTAAATTTATTAAAATGATAATTAATATATTACAAAATTTGAACAAAATATAGCCTATAACACTTTTGGAGTCATGAGGAATATTAAAATAATTATTAAAATGGGTAGTTTTTTAATAAATTTGAACATATATACAAAGAATTGTATAGGTATAATATTATAGATACATATGCGTGGTGCGCCGCGTGTAGCTGTTGTTATTATTACTATTATATTATAATAATGTGTTATCACAACAACGCCGGAAAGTACCACCCGTATTATATATAAAATAATAATATAATAATAGCATGATAGGACGATCCAAGGAGAGCACGAAAAATGAAACTCATAAAACTGCAGTTTTTATCTCTGTTTCTCTCGCACTCCGTGAACAACCAACGCGTGCAAGTGAGATGTCCGAGCGCCGAGACAAAACTCAATGTATTCGCTATCGGGAGTCGATTTGTGTATTTGTGTGCTGTTTCTTCTCGGTGTTTACGCACAATAAGGATTCTCAACGAGACTCTTCGATCATATATCTATACTTTTTGCCCGAATGGGCGTTAATAAATAACAATAATATGAAACCATTATATCTTTAACATTTTTATATTTTGACTTGGAAATTATATTAAAAGTTTGTATATACGTGTTACACACACACACGCATGCTATATGCACACAAATATGATATGCCATAGCCAGGGCTCGGAAATTTTAGCAAATGCATATTTTTTTTGCTTCATTCTAGAACATGCAAAGTAAGACAAAAATATGTTTCAAACTACTTGGATATCTTACACAACAATTAATTTTGCTATTTTTTTTTTGCATATTTACGGTTTATTGCTATTTTGCTAATTTAGGGTTTATATTGATATTTTTTGGTATGTTTTCACATAATACAGGAAATACTAACATTTTGTTGTTAATAATGGTATTTATTTGGTTATATTTTTAAAAATATTTGAATTATAGAAAACAAATAGACCTAATCAATTATTATTCCCTTGTTGTATTATTGCATTAAATTATCAAACATTTTAATAATCCAGTGTAATTTCCAATTTTATATAAAATAATTTAATTATAAGTACACTTTTTAAAATATATTATATATTATTAACTAAGGTGATAACTATTTTAACCTTGGAAATTCGAATATAATATATATTATGTTTTTTATTAATAATGTTTAATATTTTGTATTTAACCCAGTAAATTGATTAATTTCATTGTTTCAACATATGCTATATTTTTATAAATAGTAAGTTTAAATTTGCTGAACCCCTCCCCATAAAAAGTTCCTGAATACGCGCCTTAATAGCCACCATTTTAATCTAGCAATCGATTGTATTGCACTGGTCTGTCTTACAGCAACATGTGCAAGTATCGGAAACTTATAACGAATGAAGGAATTTACCGAAAAAGAATCGCTCTCCGTTTATTTTTTTGGTGATTGGATCGATATGGACCACACTGTCAGATTCGATTTTCCAATAGACTCTACCGTCCAACTGTTCCTTGTGGTTTAACGGTCGGGCTTTAATGGCCACTTTAATGTTACAAGCATCCATTGTACCAGTTTCGATGTCGTTACAATGGATCAGAGGTTTTCATCGGGTTTGTCTGTCTAAATAAATCACAACGCACAAATATTATACAACACTTAAATAACGAAGTACGCGTAAAGGAGAACTACCATCGGTACGGGAAAAAAACTACGAATCGTTAAAGACAAGACCAACTCCCGAACTAAAGACAAGATAACGGGAACAAACGTTTTCCCGGTACTGTTGCGTTTTCTTCATTGTCCCAGCCGTTTTCCGTTGATCCGGTTCGGTTCAAATGATTACGGTGTAACCAACCTATCATCGTGGCGCTGGTCGTACGCACAGTTGCACCAGATGGGTCGCACACATGTGTATTATCACTGAACAATGTGCGGATCTGATGAGATAAAAATAATCTGATAATATTCCTTTCGACAACTCAACGAATCTTGAACAATTACTGTACGACGTCAATGACTCGAATGTTAGTCGTGCAATTGTAATGATTAGTCACGGTACGCAAACCGTTATTGTCACTTGACGATCAACTAAAACGTACACGTTAACCACACTATACTCATATACTCATATTGATATCGTATTCAACGGTGGTCCTTGGTGTCGCTAGATTGGACACATCGTTTGGCGCCGTTCGTCCAGACTCCCTCAGAGTACGCGATTCGTATGAATTTGCAAAAGTTATGCAATGTCCGTGTCTCTTTGTGTGTTGAGATTCGAACTAACTGAAGACGATAATACGCAATTGGACGGAGTGATACTGCCAACACTAACAAATTGGGGTAGGTGATGACGACGAGAAACACTACTTGTTCACCTATGTTCTGTTCCACTGCTGGTTTTTGGCTGTCAGTAATTTTTGGTTGATTCCATAAAAGCATTATTTTGTTTGCTTTGGTTTCAATAACATTTTCCATTTACTTATCTCATGTTCATGTTTGTTGATGTAGTGTAACATAGTGTTAGTTGAAATTCAAATAAACAATTTTTGAATATACATAATGTGATATACACCACTCTTAATATTTATTTGTTTATTATGTTTAAAGAAAAAAATAGACAAATTAATTAGAAATTTCTAGTAATTTTTTTATCATAAACAATAAAGAGTTTAATTTATATGTATAAATTACTGCCCACAGAATTATTTTAATGGATTAATTAATTCATTTTATTTATTAATATTTAAAATTGTAAGTCTTGTTTATTTAAAATTTCTAATTTAATTATAATCTTAATTTAAGCTATATTTTGAACTACGTTTATGAGATTAATTTCAAAATCCACCTATTATAATAATATTTTTCTTCATAGATAAACGAAAAATCATGTCTTGCCGAGGACGTCGTAAATCTAGAGAACTAACTGTTGAGACATATGGTCGTGTTGATGGAACTGCTCCTGTTGAGTCGCTAATTAATGGAAATTCAAAAAAAATAGATTTTCTTAAAAAACCAAATTCTCAGACAAATTCTAAAGGAAGTACTTCTAAGGGATTGAAGAAAAAACAAAAAAATAAAAGAAATAATGTTGAAAATGTGTCAAATGCAGCAGAACAGATTAATTTTATTTCTGGAAACCCATTTGTTGAAGTTACTAAGGGTGTTCTACATGTTTATAAAGAAAAGTAAAAATGTATTTTTATTTAATGTCCACTTGTATTTAATTTATAGTTGAAAGTTATAATTATATTGAATTAAGTTTTTGTGAATTATATACATTTTTTTTTTGTAGATTTAGGATTAATCAAGGATTAATTAATTTATAATTTTACAGTAAGTTAACCCCAGTAGACAACGCGAGTAGTCGTAGTCAAATGATATGTATTTTATCTGTTCCTTCAAATATGAACTGTCATGACCTACTCACTTTCATAGCTGCTTGTCAAGAAAATATTCATCACATACGAATAATCAGAGATGCTGCATCTCTTAATCGATACATGACACTTATTTCATTCAGAACTCAAGTAAGTTAATTTAAAACTGATAACATATATTTTTTTCAATTATAATTAATAATTATTTTTTTTAAATTAGAATATTTATAGTCTGTATTATTTTACAATAAGTGAATTTAATAATATTTTACCAACAAATAGGTATTTACAATTATAAATTTCTTATGAGTTTATTATAATATTATAGGAAGCAACTATGGATTTCTTTCATTCATTTAATGGTATGCCGTTTAATTCATTGGAACCAGATTGTTGTTGCAATTTGGTTTTTGTATCCAAAGTTGAGGTAATAAAAGAAGATGTACCTGGATGCAGTGCTCCTCCATCTCAACACACTGAACTTCCTGTATGTGCAGTTTGTTTAGAGCGTATGGATGAATCAGTTGATGGCATTTTAACTATACTTTGTAATCATTCTTTCCATGGAAACTGCCTAACCAAATGGGGCGATACTAGGTAAAATCCTACTCTAAGTTTTAAAATATTCTATATCTACTGAATCTAAATCAATTAAATTATTATTTCAGTTGCCCTGTATGTCGATATGTTCAAACTCCTGAAACAACTCTAGATAACCAATGTCAGGAATGTCATTCTTCTGAATCATTGTGGATATGTTTAATCTGTGGTTATGTTGGCTGTGGTCGATATGTACAAGGACATGCTTATAAGTAATTATGAAAGCTTATAGTTATTCTCAACTGACATGTAATAAATTGATTTTTTAGTCATTATTTAGAAACATCGCATTGCTATTCCATGAATCTGGGAAACAATCGTGTATGGGATTATGTTGGTGATAATTTTGTTCATCGATTAGTCCAAAATAAAGGAGATGGAAAATTAGTTGAAGGGAGTTCACCTGGAAAAGTTGATGTACAATTTATTATCAAAGAAATATTTAATTAAATTTAATGGTTTCTATTCTAAATTTGGATTATTATTTTATATATAGGATACAGATCAGAAGATTGAATCAGTCCAACTTGAGTTTACATACCTTTTAACTACTCAATTAGAATCTCAAAGGAAATATTTTGAAAACCAAATGAAACATTTTGAAGAGAATACACTTTCTGAAGTAAATTATAGTTATATTTTCAATCTTTCTTTAATATAATTAAACATTTAAAAATATAATATAAAAATTAATTATTTTTATATTTTATATGTTATATATATTTATTGTAAGTGTTTTGGAGTTATTTAGATAATAAAAAATATATATTATATTTAAACCTTATAAGTAGTGCTCGTAAGATCATGCACTAAAAACACATAAATAAGCATGCAATAATGTACTAACATTTGATAAAATATGCATTCAAATGCGCACTAAACATTTCAAACTATGCATCTATATGTATTCAAAATCTTAACTTATGCACAAAAAAAAAATGTATAAGCATTTTTTAAAATAATAATAAGATTTATCCAATCATATTTTTAAAAGTTATATTTTATTTCTTCAATTACATTTTATTAAATTATAATTAATGATCACATATTGCGATAAAAATAAATTGATAGATTGCAAGGCACACATCAATAAGAGGAGGGTGTGATGGGTGTAATAACTCTGCGTGGTAATGCTTTTAACTTATAAAACTCAATATTATACAAAAAAAAAAAAACATGTTCAGAAAAGTAAATATGAATGAATTGAATCATTTATTGAACTCTTTTTTTTAACCTCCACGAAAAACAATATTGCTGAATTTACATAAAATAATATGCGCTAATAACTCAAACAAATCAACTATGCCAAATATTTCAATACAAACAAAACATGCAAAAACATGCTCTATTAAACTTTAGATTTTTATTACCATTGTTATGGAATGGATTTGTATCTCACTTAGCATGTTTTTCGATGTAGCAAAAAAAAAAAAAACAAGCAAATGCATGGATTTACCAGCCCTGCATGCCTAGGATTTTGATGTATTTTGTATTTTTTTTTTTTTCAAAATTTGCTGTACCATGCTCATACTATGCCAAATTTATTTCATATACTTTTGAATTAGTTTAAAAAAAATTGTATGTTACAATTTTTGAAAATTTTTAGTTGTTATGTTATTTTTTCAATTTTTTAGAACATTTTAGTGTTTTTTAGGGCATGTTTTGAGACTTCAAATCATAAATTTGAATTTGAAAATTTGTGTTAAGATTTTCACCACTTACTAACATGATTTTTATATTATTATTATTAGTATATGGCTCCAGCATAAATTTTTATATAAATATAGCAAATTATACAATAGGTACTTGTAATTCATATTATACTATCGGACAATAGTTGACATCAAAACCTAGATGACAAGAAGCAGATATCATATAGCTATGATAGTTAATATAATATATTTAAAATCACTAATCAATCATTTAGAGTTGGTAATATTAATGTCCGATGATATCGTATAGTATGAGTTCTGTTGTTATGACCGCCATGAAAATTAATTTATTTAGTTTTTAATTCAGTTCTGAAAGTTTTAATCTGTAGCATTTTGTTGAGTTTTTAATGTATTTTTTTTCCATTTTTTGATTTTTTTTAGGGCATAAAAGTCCCAATCCTACTTATATTGTATTGTATTGTATATTGGATTATATTGTATTGTATTTAAATGTAATTTTGTTATTTTTTAATAATTATAACTTATTATTTTAATTCATTTAGATTAGTGATATAAAAGCTAAATCTAAAGCAGCTATAGAAGAAAATGAAAAATTGCAGATAATTATTAATGGAGCTTCAAAGGATAGTAATATATTAGAACAGAAAATTGAAGAAAACAAAAAACTCTTAGAGCATGTTAATATAATAACAAAAGAAAAAACTACATTAGAAAAAAAAGTAATTACATTCTAAATAATAAAAACAGATTACCTCTTGAGTCTAGGATCTTACCCAGTTTTATCTTAATTTTATTTTAATAATTATTGTTATAAATATTCAATATTATTTTATTTTATAAATGTATATAAATCATATATTTTTAAATATAAGTTCATAATTTAACCACCAAACTGGAACAAACAAAAAATAAGCTAGACGAAGAGTGTCAAATTAACTCAGCATTGCAGAAAAATCAAAGCGAATGGCATTTGAAATTTTCCAATTTAGAAAAAGATTTTAGCAATTACAAAATTACTAAAAATCAGGTAAATGTCATTGTTTATAAATTAGTATTAACCATTTAATAATTGATAATCCTATTTCAACTAATTTATTATGAAAATTAATAATTGTCAATTATAATATTAATTGAATATAAATTAAAAAGGCATGGCTGATGTTTCAAATAAATTTATAATTGCTTGTTATAGTCTCTATCAATTTAAAGGGTACTTTGCAAATCCTAGATACTCCACATCTATTTTTGACATTTAGGTTTAATTTAAAATAATTAAAATTATTATATACTTTTGAAAGGGAACATTTTCTATCTTACAATATGGCAGATTTAGTCTAGCATTCTAGTTTTGTATTAATTTGTAAAGATATTTTGTTTTGTAAAATATGTGATACCCTTAACTATATTTTCTTCTATATTCTTGAGTAGAGTTATTTTTGTTTTAAATAAGCAAAAAATAAATTTAGTTGGGTTTGATTTCAGTAAATGAAGAATTAGAGTGTTTAAAATTACATTTTATGTGGAATTATCATAATTATCTATCTATCTATACCATTATAAATTATATTAGAACAATTAATTATTATTATGAATCAAAAAAGTTTTTGCTTGAATTATTTTATTCTTATTTTTTAATTATACCTTCAAATATAGTTTTAAAGCTTGAATTATAATATTGTCTACCTGATGTTGACCATGTTTTACATATTGTAGGAAATCATGGAATTAAAAGAACAAGTCCGCGATCTTATGTTTTTCTTAGAAGCTCAAAATACAATTGACAAAAGTGTGGACCGAGCAGACATAGTGAATGGTTCGGTAATTGTAGAACAGCAAAATCAATCAAGTCAACCTAAGACACCCAAAAGCAAAAAACATAGGTAGTAAAAAATATCAATTAAATGTCTTATATTATATTATGTTAAGATTTATTAAAAAATTTAATGTTGTAATGTTTAATATTATCATATGCTGGCATATAATTAAAATGTTATCTAATAGATTTAAGTGTTGTTTGTATAATAAAAGTATTGGGGTATTAATAATATAAGATTGAAAAAAAAAACTGAATTGATGTTTTTATGGTAAAAGTGAAATTGTGAAAGACATGTTATAAACATTAAATTACTTAAATACCTAATGTACAATTTATTGTGATGAACCATTAATTCATAGTTTTAAAAATCACATTATTTTTTATTTGTTTTTCAAAAGTGTATAAATAATGTGTGCGAATGAATTATTAAAAAATCTATAACAGTATTAAAACTATTTATTTTTTTGAAAATCAATTATTATATTTCATTAAAATGTTCGAATATTTCAACAGGGATTTTCGTTTTAAAAATTTATTGTATTGCTAAATGTTAAAAAAATTCTAAACGTGAGTTTATCTGAGCTTATCATTACTGGCAATCTTATACAAAACCAGGGCTTTGTACCCGAATTAACCCGAACCCGTAACACCCCTAAAAACCCTTAAAAAATCAAACACCCATAACCTATTCAACCTGAATGATTTTTTTTAAAACACCCGAATTAACCAAAACCCGAATAAAATATTAATTTTAATCCGAAACCCGAATAATTTTTTATATTACAATCTTTAGGTGACATATAATTTTGTATTTTTTGTGGTTATTTCAATTTTGCCATTATTTGTTTAATAGTAAAATTATAATTCACATGAATAATTTCACAAATAATATACAAAATTATTAATTAATATAAATGTTACTAAATAGAGACAATAGCAATATAACATATTGACAGATGTGCATGAATGGAAGGGTAAGGGTATGTTGAATGTTCAAATGTAAATAACTGGAATACTATTTTTAAAATTTTCCCAATCGGGTACGTCGTATTATTATAATTTAATAGGTAATAGTTATCGTAGTTATTTCTACGAATCACTAAGTCGTTATTTATTCCAATACTGTAAGCCTGAAATAGAATTGATGTCTCACGTATGATTACTTAAAATGTTCGCGTTATTCCTATTTGTTCAGCGAATGTCGTGTTGTGCACATCTCTATGGCGTGTAATTGTTAATTTTTGTTGGTGTAATGATTTCATCATAACATTCGTAAGTACAAATTATTATTATTTTTGTATTACGCTATGTTCTAGCTAGTGCACGCACCACAAAAACAAACGAAGAATAAAAAATTGTTTTTGTCGAATGCGATATGTTTGCCAACACAAACTAGGAGTAGAACATAGTGTTAGTATTTTTAATTTTAATATATATTATAATTTATAAGCTTCATACACATGTAAAATATTCCCCTCTTCCCCGAAAATAAATCGTAGTTATACCATTGCTGGAAATTAACATATAATAGTTTGGTTTAAAACCTGTTGCACAGTTGTAAAATAAATTTATATTTTATTATATAGGCAGGTAATAAATATATATATTTCATTAGTGTAGGAGGGGGATCAGCCTCCCTCCCTCCACCAATGAAAAATAAGATTTTTCCTTGACCAATTAACACCCATATTAACCAATATTAACCCAAATAATAGCTCTTGATAACACTCAAACGTTTGTTTAAATGTTGTATTACGGTGTTTGAACACCCGAACATATTCGGGTGCAAAGCCTTGTACAAAACATAATTAATTTTAACAACAAATTTCGATCGAGTAACATCATTTAACTTTAAAATAACGTTTTTTCAATATTACTGTTTACGGACGTACACGTCGAACATTTAATATTGTGATAATATTGAATATTTTGGTGGTGGCGGGAAAGTTTACAGAGTAGTCAATTGCCCTTGTTGAAGTTATTAACAATTATTTTGGTTTAAGGTTATATTTATATTTCAGTTAATTTTATTTGTTTTAGGTTACCTAATCGGTTTTACACGTTTTTCGACTTAGCAAATAATATCATATCGATATCCATATTTTGGAGCATATTCGGAATGTTTACGAAGCTAATAATTTCATACAACTTAAACTAGTTAACTTTTTTTCCAATTAACAGCTGTTGCTCCTTTTCAGCATAAATTTCTATGTTCCAGTTAAGAAATAATTAAGGATTTATTATACCACGTTAATTTTTGATCACAACTTAGCAGAGTAGTACGTTTGTTCCCAAACAAATCTTGTCCCCCAGAACCAGTTTACATAAATTCATCATCGTTAACGTCGTATTCATAACCATCACTTAATAATATTAAATGCATATCCTGATTGCCTACCATGTCAACATTCTACTGGAGTGCGTCGAAAATCGGCTTCGGATAATTGTGTACGCGACAACCACGTGGTTCCATTTCAAATTCATGAATAGGACCAAATGATTTGCAGGTACCTTATCACACGTTTTAGTTATACCAACATGTTAACCTAACCCCTACCAACTGGTTTCTTTTTTTTTAAGCCTTCAATTTACCACCAGAATACTATTTTACTAACATTTGCAAGATGGACAACACCAATCGCCGTCAACCTCCATCAATGGTGGGGTATGATAGATAATATGAAAACGATTGTCACAGTCATCACATAATAACTGTTCATTTTCACAGTCGCCACAAATACCACCACAAGTTGTACATATATCCAATTTAGAGAAATTGTCTTTACACTCGATACATTTTAAAGGGTTGGCTCTCGTTTCATACGGTTGCATTATTTTATCTTCTGGTGTTCTTTCAGCAAGAAATTTCAGATTACAATTACGAATTACAGTATTATGTATTCCATCATAAATATCTACAATAACAGAACGAGTTTTCTTGGTGGATTTAATTGTGTTAGGAGCACATCAAACCAATAGCTGCATTTTAAAGGATGATACGTGTTGTAATTCATAAGAACTCTATCAATTTGTTTTAATTTTTCAAAAGGCACAGTTTCGGCCCCACGAGATTGAATGTCTTGACATTTCAATGTTATTATTACCATTGGAATTTCAAATGCTGCAACATACACTAGTCTATCGTTTTCTACTGGACTCAGGTTAGTTTGAAAACTAATTTTTTATGTTTAAAAAGTAACCATATTTGTTTACCTTCTTTACATGGTTCACATAAAGATATCACATTAAGATAGTCAACATCATTGGTACTGATATCAATTCCATCAACCATATTTTTCATAGTTTTAACTAGACTTATAACTAGGTAGGGCTGGGATTTTGATGAACTTAGCATTTTTTCCGAAGATTTCTGTACGATGCTCGTTTTGTTACAGATATGTTTTAGGTATTTTTAAATTGGAATAAGAAATTTTATTTTGCATTTTTTGACAATTTTTGATTATTAAGTCATTTTTTAGGGCATTTTAGGGGTTTTTAGTGTTTTTGAATTTAAAATTATATATTTTAGATTTTTTCTACCGACGGATTAGTGTTGGTATGCAATGTAAAATTTGCTGTTGATCAACGTTTTACAATAAAATATATATCATGAGACAAACATAAAAATTAAGTACAATGAAGAGAACAAATTGAGGAATAAGAAAAAAATATGTATATCTTCAAAAACTTATTGGGGAATAGCAGGAGGCTCGTGATTTAGTGTAACAATAAAGAATAATTTTTTTATTTATTAATATATGATATTCCTATGAAGTTAAATAAAATATTTATTTAAATATAATATATTTTTTTGAAATTTTAAAAATCTATTTTAAATGCATTTTTTGAGTTATAAGTAATTTTTGCATTTTTTAAAGTCATTTTTTGCGATTTTTAAGGACATTAAAATCCAGCCCTTCTTATAACTAACTCTTATTTTAACTAATCTAGACATGTTTGATTAACATAAATGTCTCAATCTTCTATGCCATAAGTTTGCGTTTCCCTTTCTGATTATATTAGCATTAACTGGATTATACGTGTACATATTTAAAATAATTTTATAAATGTTACATTTCTTTTTCCTTAAGCATTGCATTTAAATTATCTTGTATGAAAACCTCAGAATTATAATAAGTTATTTTCATTCCTTTTTCTTCAATTTTTCTTACAGATAATACATTTATATCAAGTCTGGTATGAAGAGTACATTTTTAAAAGTTATTTAGATACATTTTCAACATTTTATAAAACATAAATTGTACATATTTTTGGAAAAAGTATTTCCTTTTGTTTTACCACAACAATTTTTATGGTTTGTTCCAGTTCTTGGATTTCTGTATAATATGATTTATTGTTTACTATATGGTCTGATGTTCCAGAATCTAAGTACTTACAATATTTAATTTAAATTTAAAGTATTTATATTTACAGCAGTTGCATTTTGAGTATTAAAATCAATTTTTTCTTTTTCATTATTAATTTCTTTGGTATGATTTGCTTTTTCAGTTAAATATTGATTTTTGCTGCATTTTAATATTGCAGTCAGAATGTTAATGACATATTCAACCTAAATTATAACATTAAAAGGAAAATTAATGAAACATAAACATAATTATAACCTTAAGCCGAAGGAATTGTTTATAACTTCAACATAGTTCCTCATTGATTATTGTCTTTGAATCATTTGATTCTAAATATGTCTTTTTCATTTGTTGGATCTTTTATAAAGTCTATTAATTCTTGTTATTCAAGTAATGCTTTCATTTGAAATATTCAGTTAAAAAATTCTTTCCGTTGAATGAGGAGATTTTTGAATTTATTTTCTAACAATTGCACTTCTACAATAAATTCGATGAACAAAAAATAATTACATATCCTGGGCCTATAATCTATTGTGGATATTATGACGGACTTGCAAGTCGCCAGCAATGTCACTTGTACATACATGATATGATGATGGTGGTGCGCCGATTGGTTTGTTTGTTCGATCGCCACTTTGTTCTTCTGGTAGTCTCCCGTTTTCCTTCCGTCTTTCAGCGCACCACTGTCGTCATATCATGTACGTGCAAGTTGGGTCACTGGCGACCGGCAAGTTCGTCATTATACCCTCTATCCTGACCAGGGCCTTTGCCAAGGGGGAGAGGCAACGTGACAATTTTTCCCTAGGTCCCAGTTAAGGAAAATTTGATAGGGGCTCTCTTAAAGTTCAGATTGATAAGAAATATTCGGCATTACCCATTAGAGATTATTGTTATTAATATATTATTTCTAAACTTATTTTTTCTTTATGAAATACTTTATTTAATGTATTCGTTTCGAATGTTGGCGATCATCATTGATATACAAGTTTTGTTAGGAGCACTTTGGTATAATTCTACAGGGCTTTTGTCAAACCATCATCATATCCTCATGTTTTGTCTCCATCTGAAAAACGTAAAACATACCAAATTTGCGTTCAGTAGTTCAAATGTTGTGATAAATAGCTTTAAATTTTAAGTAAACTGACTTACAATCAAACTGAACATTATCTTTATTTTGTCCGTCGGTTTTTTGCAATATTTTAATTTTTAAGCGAGTTATAAGTAGGTATGTACAATATTACACTTAAATATTAAATATCGCGTAAAACTGACCAATTAAACACACATAATGGTTTCCCATTAAAGTATTATTATATTAAATATAATATTAAAACTTACATTACTACATTTGAACTACAGAATGTAAATTTACCATGTTTGTCAGACGGAGACTGCTTATGTGGGTGTGACTTCCTCTTATTGTTTTCGCATATTATGATGCTTATTGAGTTTGACGCTAATTTCGATTTTCTTATACACAGGTATTCGCGTGTATAGTAGGTTGCAGAGGAGTGCACTCATTACTGCAGTTGCTACAAGTAAGTAGCTGCACCTGTACAAGTTATACCTGCAAGCACTGGACGATATCGTAGCTGATATGACGTTCGATGGGGGCCCAATGGTCGTGTACAATGTGATGGAAACATGGACTGCTTGGCAGACCTGACTAAGATGGTGCAGCAGGAAACTGGTGGAATCAGCGACCGCGACCGCCACCGTCATTTGAACTACTGAGCACACATTTGCTATGTTTTACACGTAGTCAGACGGAAACAATGCATGCAAGATCTCTTAAGCATACTTTATTATATCTTAGGTATGCATTTAATTAGAGAACGAACAATTTTTTCTACCTTGAAATGTTATAACTTCAATAACATTATATCTATGTGAATGAATATAGTACTAATAAATATCATAATATACGACAATAGTACCTACGTTTTTTTCAACCTCTAAGTATTTAATTTTGTTATTTTTTTCCATAGAAATAGTAATTGCTGCAATCTAAAATATTAGACTGTCTCCTGGATGGGGCCGAGTAACTCAGATAAATAAATACCTGGTCTATGTTATGTATATTTGTAGTGGTTACCTAATTAATGTAAAAAATTAAACAATTCATTAATATGTCTGTATAATACAGTTTTATTAATATTTTTATCATTATTACAAAAAAAAAAAACCGACAGAGATACAATAGTGTCGTATACTCATGACAAAGCCAAAGGATACTTCGGATAGGGGACATTTTGTTTAATTAACCTTTTTACGGAAGTGCTTAGACTTATCGAAATGCATGCATGAAAATATTCTGAAAATCATTAGGATTAGTTAAATAACAAATTAAACAAAATTATAATGATAATATAACCACCGCATTTTTAATATAACAAAATATTGATCAGACAATAGAAATGTAAAAATTTCGAACTTTTTTCAAAATTTCAAAGTTATTGCGACGACTATAGACATGTAATTGCTCTATTTTTGTTTAATAATTTAAAGTCTAGACTAGGGATATCATTATTGATCAAACGATTAAAATATCGATATAAAACCCATTATTATCGATCAAAATAAATTTCTTATTTTAGTAACGATAAAAAACGATATTAATGCATGTATCAGTAAAAAAAAAAAAACCGAAAGCAATATGGTTGTATATGGTGGCTGGCTACACAGGAGTACGATCTAGTATCTATAAAACAAGCTATACAAGCAAGACGCAAAGGTCGGTGTCAAAAACAAAACAAATGTGGCCATCAACAAGGCAGAGTGGCTGAAATATCATCTTATCACATGCCAGGAATCAACGTTAGGTAGTGCAAAGTCAAGGTGCCCAAACAATATATTTAATTTGGCAATAACTTATAATTATTATTGGTGTAATAAAAAAAAAGGAATATTTTGTAAATATATATAATATGTATATAAGATAACGATGTTACGATCATATCGAACGATTTTACAGATAATTAATATTTATCAAAGAACTTAAATCGATATATTGGACAAATATATCGACAGTTAATCTATCTATATATCGTTGATAACTTTGTTATGACCATATTTGTTGGTATAGTCGTGAAGGAATTGATTTCAAAGCTTTAAAAAAATCTATTTAATTCAATATTATTTTAACTACGAATCGTTCGATCGATAATTATATGTATGTGCTATGATTATTTGAGTGGAAATATTAATATAATTAACGTACTTTGAATAAATCGGGGGGATCACGTACCCTGCTAGCACCCATTGGCTACGACACTGGTATACAATTAGGATATTCGTTATAACGTTATTATACATTTTGATTAAAATTAATTTTCTTTAAAGTTTTAATATTATAATGATTTTAATAGTGAGGTGTAATACTATGGCATAAATCGCAGCAGAAGAATCAAATATACTACTGCGAACAATACGAAGCATATTCTGTCGATTACTTTGGCGCATTTTTGTCTCTCGTTCAAGTCGACGGTTTGCGCGTTCATCTCTTCGGATTCACAAAGCATATGACCATCTGTTGCCGAGTCCTGTTGTAACAATGACAATATTATGTGGTACAAATTAAATGTGTTTGACAATTGTTTTATTGCTAATAATATTATGATAAACATTTTTGATTCGGAGCGTGTTTTGTGATTTTATAATCAGCCTTACACACCGGATAGAATACAAAAGCTAATTTCCTACGAATTATACCATTAATGTTTTGAAAGTTTTGTTCTAATTTTTTTGTTTAAAATTTAAGGTATAAACTTTGTGGAAAACATAAAATATTATAAGTATTATTTTTATGTATTAAAATAAAAATATAACATAACGCAATCCTAGTTACACTGTTGGCAATTGTTTGTCTTAAAATACTTAGTTTTTCTTTGATTAAGTTCTGCGAAACTTCTATAAGTCTATATGTCTAGTCGCATCTCATCGTCTACGGTGTAAGTTAACCTGAACAGGTTTTACTATTTAGGAAACGTAAAATACTGATGTCCGATGGTACTTTCACGATGTTCTGAATGTATTACTTAATTAATTAATACATGATTTTCATTGTGCAAAGTGTAACTACTGATATTAAACGAAAATATTGGTGACTAATGATATACTCGTACGTAATTAAATAGTCTATTGATTATACAATCGAGTGCGAAGACCATTTAAAAATTGTTTACACCACAATTACAAATTATATGAGATATATACTGTCTATAAGGATTATATTAAAACTCTATGATAAAGAAACTACATGCCATGCTTTTAAAAATCACTCGGCCTACAGTTTAATATTGAAATATGTAATATCGCTTATATGATTATTATTATTATTATTATTATTATTATAATTATTATTTCGTACGTTTATTTTGATTCCCAAGTACTCCAGGTAATCGGAATGAAGAAACTGCATCACTCCGTGCGGCAATGGTTTGCTCACCGCAGACATTTCTTTTACTGCCATAGAGATGACCATGGTCATGGAGATCAGACCCAAACTGTAAGTGTAGTAAACGACTATAAGAAAAACAAAATATATTCCAAAGCTTTAGATTTAATAATATTTCTATAATAAATATAACCAATAAATAGAGGTGTAGCAGTAATCTCGAGCAGGGACTGGTTCGGTTTGGGTTCCGGTTCCAATATTAAAGGGTTCTAAATAAAATTTTTTTAAATTTATTTCGTAATATTTAAAAATTACATATGTTACCGGTATTATGGCATTATACTAGGCAATATGGCATAATATATGAAAATAAATGTCTCAAAATGTCACTCTTCAACTAATTTATGTATATATATATTGCAATAAGTTTTTTTTAACAGCTATATAGTAATGTATAATATTATAGTATTATAATAAAGCCTAAAAATAGTATTTTATAATATGAGAAAATATGCAAAATAAAATTTCATTTTTGAACTCGTGTTGTGTTTCAAATTTGTATTTATAATAATAAATAATAATTTATTTGACCAAAAACAGTTTGTAAATGTTGAAGAACAGTAATATGTATATATTACAGGGCCGCGTTTAGGTGAGGGGGGCACTGGCTACAACTGCCTCGGACGGCCAGTGTTTTGGGGGTGTCAAAATGTTGTGGTCGGGAATTTGCTCACTTGTGAATTATTGAACTTTTAAAACTATTTAATTAGTTCCTTCCCACCTTCTATTGTTAATTCACTATTTTACGATTACATTTTAGCCCATTATCCTAACTTCTGTCTAGTCTTCACGGATGGATCCGTTGCCAAATTCTCCGCAGACTACTCTTTTTTCACCCCTAGCCTTTCTATCAAGTACTTTAATAATGCTCCCTTATACGCCTCATCTTTTATAACAGAATACCTCGCTATATTGGTAGCTCTGCATACCATTAAAACCTTAAATGCACGCCACTTTGTCATTGTCTCAGATTTTCAGTTTTGCCTCATGGCTTTAAATACCTCTCCACTTGTCTCACCCGTTTCCTATCTTATTCTCCAAATTTGTTCGATTCTCTTCTCTCTTTACTACCTTGGGTACTATTGACCTTTTATGGGTTCCCAGTCATACCGGTAATTTAGGCAACGAAATCGGTGGCGCTCTTGCTACTTCATGCTATTACAATGCCCCCTCTCCGATCAAAATTTCCTACTCCGATTTTATACCCAATCTCAAGGCGCACACTTTGAGATTGTGGAATCGGAAACGGTCAAACCTACCTCCAACCTTCACCGTTTCTTATCGCCTAGTCTATTCTCACGTCCTACAATTTCCTTGGTTTCATAATATCCCTATTTCTCGTAAAGTCATCATCTCCTTTTCTCGCCTCCGGTTCGGCTACAACCGCCTCCCGGCCCACTCACTTTATTTAGCTCTTAATAATTCTCCCTTCTGTACTCCATCTCCTCTTTAACTGTCCAGACCTTCTCCCTAAACGCCAGCTTCTCTCCAATATCTGTTTTTCCTTTAATATTCACTTTACCCTCCCACATATTTTCTAATTTCCTAATGTATTCCTTATTACTTCCATCCAACTTCTTCCTCTCAGAGGGATTTTTACTTTAATTATGTTTATTATCTAATATTGCTTTTCTAGTTGTTTTATGTAGTTAAATTGTATTGTTTATTTGTAACCGCTGAGGTAAATATTTTAATGCGTCTTTAAAAAAAAAAAAAAAATATTTTGAAATTATTATTTTTTTTTGTTTTTAATTACAGTATCATAAATTAATGTTAATATATTAAAGTTTTCAATATATATTATTAATGGATTTATAGAAATATAGCTATCAGCGATCCAAAATATTATTAATATACCTAATATTAGTTACCAAATTTGTTGTGATAATGTCAATAAACATAAGTTATTTATAATAATAGGGCATATTTTGTTATCGAGCGCAGCGTGCGGTGGCATACTATACAAAAATAGCATTGATTTTAGAATATCTAAAAGGTTTATGAGGATCTATCTCTTATATTTTCCGTGGGTTTTTTGTTGCGCCAGGACGCAAAATGTCTAAATACGGCACTGATAAATTAAATTAAGTTTTAACTATATATAATAGGATATGTTGCCCGATTCATTACTGAGATAATCCTCGTATTGGTGAAATTGGAGTACTTAGAGATTTTGGAGGTTTAGCTTTAGTCATCTGTATGTCAGCACATAATATTAAAAATAACTTTTTTTTAAAAAAAATTATATCTCAGAAATATATTTGTGATTTTAAATGTTAAGAATTAAAACATTATTAATAATGTTTGTTACATCCGATATTTTTTATTTTATAATGAGGGTTCCGGTTCTTTGAATATGTAAAAATTCGGTTTCGGTTTCGATTCCCAATATTTTAAGGGTTCTTGGGTTTCAGAACCGGTTCTTTTGGGTTCAGTTCCAGCCTCTGTTCTCGAGTAGTGCTCTTGTTACTTGTTTACTCGGGTGCGTCCCCAAGACATTGTCCCGAATACTCGAGTACTATGATTTTTTTGGATTTGGCTCGAGATGTTCAAAATTGGGCAACCGTAAATTTCGAGTATCGTATTTTTCGGTTACTACTCATATAGAAACAATATACTATTGCGCAATTATTATTACGGAATTATTTTTAAAAATACGTGAATAAATATATTGTTATTTTTTCAACGACTTTTCATGATCTAAAATATAAAAATTCTTAAAATGAAAAAATTAACATCGTACGAATCAGTATTCAAGATAACTATATTTATTTTATGAATTTTAATAGTTATCAAGTAAAAAAACAAACAACTGTAAAAATAATCAATACTTAGGTAAATTATATTTATTTCAACAATCTTAATTATCTGATAAAAAATAATCAAATTTTAGTTTTTTTTACTATTTTTTTTTGTATTTTTTACAAATCAAAAATAAAATAAAAATAATTTATTATTACACAGAGTACGGGAAAAAATCACTTATTATAAATTAATTAGCAAATAAATAAACGGAGGGTTAACAATCGAGTAATACCTTTAAAAATATTTCATGGGTATCTGAGTATTTCTAATTACGAGTATAACTCATAAAATTCAAGATTATTACTCTCCAGCAATATTTGAATTCGTAATACTTGCAGGCCATGTGACGAACTATTTTAATGTATAAATATTTTACTATACTATCGAAATAATTAAAAGTCGGTCTTTAGCCTGTAAAATATAAGAACCTAAATCAAATAGCTTATACCAACTATTTTTTTTTAATAATATTTGTATTGTGACATTTTTTAACGTTGAGCATGTTGTACATATCGGTTATTGTATAACCGATGTGACAGTCATTGGACCTATATAAAAGGTTATCTATATATATATATTAATATATTTTACTCTAATATGAATCATTAGGGTGAATATTACATTTTGTAAGTTCATTTTTAAAAAGTACAGAAGGTATAATACAGTGGTTCTCAAACTTGGGGTCACTGATGTTTTTATGGTAGATTACAGAAAAATAAATAAGCTGACGTATTAATATCTTTTTTTTTTCATTATTCATTTTTTTCAATTGTATAAAAAGTAATTTTAACTGTTGAAAAATTATACACCAATAATATTGATTATTAAAATAAATTTTTTTTTCACTGTTTTCTTGTTCGTTTTATAAAATATTTAACTTTAACAGCAACTAGTATATATAACATATTTTAACTTTATAAAATCAAGAACTCTTATTTTCATAATATTTAATGGATTGTGCAATGAAATGGGGTTACAATTCACAAGTTTAGTATACCACTCAGATGTATGTTGGCTTTCTCGAGGAAAAATTCTTAATTGAGTTCTCATATGACCGCGTTCAAAAATCCATATTTTTTTGCCAGAAAAAGAATACCTTCCACTGAAAATAACTTGTCCGGATATTAATAATAAATTACGTTGTTTAGTATTTGTTACCTACTAATGAGATGTATAAATAAAAATAGTGAAATTATAAAAAAAACTGAAATTTACCGTTAAAATCCTTTAGAAAAAAATATTGGTTCTGGGTTTAAAAATTAATTTAAATTACGATTTTTTGTTAGGTTTCGGTTTCAAAACCGATTCTTTCCGGTATAGTTCTAGTGTCTAGTTTTTATAGACCGACTTTTGAATTAAATCGCGTATAACTTTAATTTTATCCAGTGCAACATCTCAATGTACGTGTGGGATTTAATTTTTAAAAACAAATGTCTCATATAATAAATCAATGTATTATAATAACATAATATGCAAACGTACCAATCAGTGGAACAGTAGAAGTAACAACTGGCACTTTAGAGTATATGACCAAAATAGTCAACGTGACGAACAACGCGTTGAACAGGTTTGCAAACAGTTTGCAATAATTGTCGTTGCATGGCAGCCAAAATGTTATTAAATTAAACAATGCACTACCTATAGGTGTAAATTAAACAAAATGGTTGGTATTAAAATCACATTAGCTTTTGTAGATTTTCTATCAAAAAATATTGAAATAATATTATTTACGAGTACACACTAATCATTTGAAAGTACAAATAATAATAATTTATAGATAAACTTATAATATCCAACCAATGAATGATTATTATGTAGTCTATAAAATGTTCCTAAAAATCGAAGGTTGTGAAGTATCTACTATACTCTTCACAATAATATAATATGGTGTATTCATAGGTGCAAATTATTAATATGAAATAAAACATCAAAACGTTGTGTTCAATTTTAAGATAGATACTTGTAATAATTGTCATTTTATTATGGGTATGAAAGAATAAGAAGGTAGGTAGTTACTACGTGGTAGTACCTACATAAGAGTAAGGTTTTGCATCTTGTTGGTTTTTTGAATGTTTAAATAGTCAGGGCTGGTAGTGCAATGAGATCATCTATGCTATACGGTTCAGAGTGTTGGGCGGTTGACAGGAGAATAAAACAGAGTATGAGTGTTGCGGAAATGAGAATTCTTTGATGGATGAGTGTAAAAAAATGCAGTAAAAGTTATGAAAATGAACGTTGAAGGGAAAAGAGGAAGAGAAAGACCAAAAAAGAGATGGTTGGATTCGATTGAGAATGATATGAATGCCGTTGGTGCGTGCGGGGATGTAGAAAATCGAGATGAGTGAAGGTTTAGAACAAGGGTGGCTGACTCCAAGTAGTTGGGTGAAAGGCGAAGGAGAAGAATACAACGAAGTATGGTATTCTGTAAAATTTAGATTTCTATAGTATTTTATTACATTACATTTTGTAAAATGAGCACAAACCATATACAATTTTTTTCTGTGCTAATTTTGAATTGTGTAGTTAGAGCAACAATGGGTGTTCAATAAAATCGAATAAACCGAATTATTATGATGTGGAAGGTAAACAATAATTATTCTAAAAATTCGAAAAACAATTTCGGTTGACCGAAAAAATCCGCATTCGAGTTACATTCGTATATCTTAGAATCTTACGGCGTAAATTACCAATAAAAGAACACCGATGGTATCAATTATTTTTTTTATTTTTTTTTTTTATTTAAGCTACCAATATAAAATTATTCATGGTATCAATTATAACGAGCGAATAAATTATTCATTGCAATTACATTAAATTTCGTATATCGTCTTAATTGTATTAAAAGTTACGAATAGGTGTGTATACAATTAATATGTAAAGATCAAATTATGTTTAATTTGATTTTTATCGGGAACTCGCTAGCGTTGCGTTGTGTATCAGTTAAATGACATATTATAGGCATGATGTACAAATATTTATCGAAGTTCGAATATAATATAATACGAAACACTTACACAGCGCGGGAATGTAGATGATTGACTGGTAGGGATGCACTTTGCGCTTGATGGTGATGTTGTACTCGATGTCGATGTACTGTTCGCCGGGGCAACAGGGGTAGAACCGGACGTGTCTCTCCTTGTGGACGTTAGTTATTTCCCATTCCGAATGCGAGCTGGACAATTCTACCTGAAAACGAAACCGTAAACGTGGTCAAATAGTGCTGTCCTGTGAGTCTTCACACTCCATCCGTGCCGTGTCGCAAAACCAAGACGAAAAGTGGGTGTATTTTATTAAACTTATGTTTTCCGCGGAGAACAGTGGTCAAACGAGTTTTGTACTACGCAGGACTTGACTGTTTTAAACTATAAAACATGAAAATAAAAATTGTTTTTCGATTTTTCGGGCGATTCTACAATGTAATTATATCCTAGGCTAGGGCTTGGCAGGAAATAACATTTTATCAAATTAAATTTAAAAAAATCGAAAGGATGTGTACTAAAGGATGATATGTCCACGATTCGTCAGTCGCCGACCGTTGTCTTGGTCATGAATCATATATTCCACCTTATGTAGTCTAAGACCCGAGCCGACCTGTGGTCCCTAGACCCTCTCTCGTGTCTAAACATGATCACTATGGTGACAGGACCGAGTACGATTTTATAGCGGACACGGCGTAGCGGAAATGCGAAGGCATCTCGAACAGCGATAACTGACTTCGTCGTTGTACGTAGTCAGGTTCAACACGTTGCCGTTGTACATCCATGATCCGAGTCTTAGCACTCCGGCTTGTGTGTCGTAAGGCCAATGCGTTGTGTCCGTCTGACAGTGGACGCTGTACTGCACCGGTTCTACCCAGATCACGGAACCGTTGCTGTTCAGCACGCTGTTGACGCGCGTCCGGTCGTCTTCCATGTTTGCGTCCACGCTGTCATTCAATCGCGGGATTATTTTATTTTCAATGTTATAAGACTTAAGACATAATTATATAACTGTATTTGAGGAGAGACAAAAGGGACAAATGCAATTTTCGTAATTTATCAGGAAAACGGGGTTTACTCTATTTTTATGTTACTCGAAATGGTATTAATTCAATTTTAACGTTATACCGACCCGGTTTGTTTTAATTATTATAAATATTACAGGCGGTGTAGTTTTAAATACAATTTTTATGTTGAACTATGGTCTGTTTAAAATTTTTTTTACGAATTAATTAAAAAATGTTGGACACGGATTAACTTGTTGAAATGCGCACAAAGTTTTGGACTTCAATAATATCTATTTATAAAACATATTTTATTAGTTTATCAGCTGAGTCTAAATCATATAAATTAAACTAAGTTCCTTTAGCCTCAAAGGTACGGATATATATAAATATATTATGTATGTGTGTGTTTGTATAAATATACTTATTGAATGCCATGACGTCCGGATGCCAAATTTCACGGTGATCGACTATAATGGATTCCAATTGATCGTACTCGTCCGGATTCCAACTCAACCGATCGTCTCTCCAAGTCTAAATAAACAATTTTTATATGGGCGCGGAAAAATTGTTATCTATTTCTTATAGATCGTGTTATATAAAATGTCCAGAAAATCATTCAGGTTTTACTAAATATTTCAAAGAAAATCAGTTTTCGATTTATATGAGACTAGATCAACAAATCGCGAACCTAATTAATGAATAAAAATTCTGCATCGTATATATACGTTCTTATACGAGTATTGTTGTTTCAGGTAAAACTTTTTGCAATTGATTTAAAAGTAATTATTTTCGTTAATGTTTGACACGTCATACCGGTGCTGAAGGTTGTGAAACACTTATTCTCCTTATGGTTATACAATTCAGAGTATATGTATTATTATAGTGCATAATGCTCTGTCAGTAAACTAGTTGGTAATTTTTATGTTAATTTTTATGGACCTGAGTTATAATGAATAAAATAGTATGCACATCCGCTCAGGAAATTGTAGAGATAATAAGAGTGCAGTCTATATATAGTGTTTTTAGCTATATTATTGTTCTGAAGCTGAACATATTTTTAAATTCTTTTTAAATTCTTATTATAAAGAAAAAGTCAAAAATAGATTAACCAATCTTGTATTTTATAGTTATGATTCATTACTTTTATAGCCTAATAATAAAAATGTATAATAAAGATTTAATTGTAAAAATCCACCTCGATATTTGTCACAATATTGTATCAAAAAACCTCTTTAAAAGGTTTACAAATAATTGATTCCTATTGAATTTATAATTTGTAACAAATATGATTACATAATTAATAAAAAACTAACAATAATAGTTTTTCTTATAAAAATAAGTAGTTTAATCTAATATAGGATATAATACTTAAAATATTTTTCAATAAGCAAGCACTTACCGCAATGAACCAAGTACTGAGAATCATTTGAGATTTTTCATAATCCTATAAGGCATTTAAAATTATATTGTACAGTTATTATTTTAAATGATAATTAAAGATCATTAGACGTATTAAATATACAGAACTATAGTATTTACCAAATCTACACTGTTTATTATTATTCTCATGTTTACTTTTAAGAAGCTATCTTGTATGGTAGGAATCACCACTCTGTCATAGTTGCTAAATATATTTTTTCTCAAGATGTTTTGTACTGTTATATTCTGATATAGTTTTCCTTAAAAAAAAAAAATAATATTATAATGTATTTCGATATTGACGGTTGATTTATATAACTCAAATGAAAAACGTCTTTAAAATTTTATCAGGAAAATAAAATAGTTTGTAATAAAATAAAATAATTTTTAAGAAGTTAAAAATATACTAACTAGCTTAATAGTTCCAGTTTTAATTAAATAAGTTTTGATATAACTTACTCGAAAATAATATTTAAAATTGTATTTTATTTGTTTTTTTATTTTATTTTATATTAGGTACAAAAAATTGTTTTTAAGCGAATTTAGTTGAAATATTAAAAATGTATTTTCAATATTTTTCTATTGGGTACCTAAACTATAACAATATAAAACAATTTGACCAAACGATAAAATAACATTGGACTGGATTAAAAAAAAATTCCATTCGATTGAAATTTGAATTTATTTATTTATTCGTATGGCATAATTAATGATAATAGACTATGTTTAAATACAATATAATATAAAGATATTAATGAAAGTAAGAACGATGAAATTGAAATATGAAATTGAAATATTTAGTACACATTCAACACATTGCTAGGAAAGAAATAAAAAACTCGTTGAACTGCAGATTAATTAGAGAATAGAAAGAATATTAGTTTCGTGGACGTTATCTTACCCGCAGTAATTACACACAGTTGTATAGTTATGCATATAAACAATGCGATATCACGAGTGTTGAACATTGCTGAAAAACAAAAAGATAAAAAACCATATGACAACTTGTTTAAGTGAAAACTCTAGTGATTACCAAATACCGAGACACGTTGTGCCCATACACTACACTGGTCGATTCGGTTGCACTCGTCCGTGGTTATTCGGTCCACTTGAGTACAGGATATAACCTTATAAAATTGAATTAAGTGTAATCAGTGTAACGCACAAAAAAAAAAAAAAAAAAATAGTAACAATAATAACAATAACATTAATAAATGAATGGTAGAGACCAAAGACGGTCTCAAAATATCGTCCTTGAGAGTCATAATATTATAACAGTGAGTCCCTCAGACGTCAGCGTAAATCTATTTCGAGTAATATACAATTCCCGCTTGAAACTATATCGATCTTGGATTCATTTGGGGGATTTTTTTTAGTATTAAATCACTATATGTTTTATCAAATTGTTTCATATGATGATTAGCACCATAGAATATTTACAGTGGGCGTTCTGGGGGTTAAAACACCCCACAATATTTATTTATTTTTTTGAGCGCTTTTCTTTATTGAAGTTACATGATAAAAAAACAAAATTAAAATAAAATTTAACTCTGCTTTAAAAATGTATTAATGTTTATCTGTACACTTCTGATCTGAATATGCATTAATTGCACAGAACGAAATATCTTTTTTGTTATTAAAAAGGATTAAGATTTAACTACGTAATACTATTAGCAAGTAAGTCTATTTTTTATTTTACTAAGACTAGATAATTATTGTAAAATTTAATTAATTTATAATCATTCTCTCGTATATATATATATATATATAATCAATCGGAAGGATTGTATTTAAAGTAATCAATGGAATAGGAATTAAAAAAAAGACGTCTTCTTTTAAGACTGTAAAAATGAATAATGCATTTATGGAAAATTTAATAAATTAGTTAATGTTTTATTCAGTACAATTTGTATATTTTATTCCACTAATGACTATAGTAAAAAATGTAAATAGGTAGTAATCTTAATTTTTTTTTTACAAGAAAATTAAATAATATAAGATGTTTTTATATCATTGAGTTATATTTAATTATATTAGTAATATTAAAAATTGAGTAATTTTTTTTATTTCTTTAAAGTTTTTTTATTCAATCTGTTGCAATTATTACAAATTACACAAATTATTACAAATTGTTACAAATTAGAATAATCCATGAAATTAAATAGAAAAAAACCACAACAAATAAATAAAAGTAAAAACCATAATTAATATGAGATAAATACTATATTTTAAAATTCTAAATAATCTCAACACTATGGCAAAACTACTTTAAATAATAATTCTGCTAGTGAAAAATTATTATATTTTTATGTCTAAGGTCAGGTTAGTGGTAGGGCCATTAGTAGGGCCAGTCATTTTCAGGTAAGGCCATGGCTCTACCTGGTCCATTTCTGATCCCACCACTGATGTAGAGGCCTCCCAGTGAAGGTACTACGTAAATATAAACGTGAAATAATAACTATTAACTACTAAAAGTTACCAGTTTCAATCGTCTAATCTCAAAAAAAAAAAAAACACAATTATTATTAATTAGCTTTCTATTTCACATAATACGATAACAAACACGAAAACTCTGATTAGTATAGTGGTGTGATTTTAAATAATATATATATAATATAATATACATCATTATTTTTTGATAATAATGTAGTGTTATTGATAATAGACAAAATCTTACCAATGTTATAATAATTAATTTAGTCAACGTATATTTTATACTCGCCATAATATTATTTGTCTACTGATTTATGTTATATGATAAATTAAGAAGATTTATATATTTTAAAGTTCTTTTGTCCATACCTAAGAAATAAATTTGTAGTTTTCTATATTTAGTTTCAATAATATCGAATAATATAATACGAGTATTGATGATCACAGTGACGCAACTAGGATTTCGGGGCCCGATGATTAGGTAAGTCAAGGGCCCTATAACTATTTAAATATTTTTACTTTTTTTTTTCAATAAAGACTTCCTACATTATTAGTGTTACTTATTATTAAACACGATATTTTATTCTTTTGCGTTAAAAATACCTTTCAAGTTTATGTTTATGATGAGGTCCTCTTTGAGTCTTGGGGCTCCAATATTAGATATCGCTTCCCCAGGTTTTCTGTCACTGGATGATCAGTATAATTATAATTATCCAATATAATAAAAAAAAATATTTAATTCAAGCATTTTAGCGATAAATACAAATTATGTCATATTTCGTTCTTATAAATGATCTTTTGTTTATGTTAAGTATAAAGGTAATGACTACATTATATTTAACTCATCAAATTATTATTGCTTTATTAGTTGCACCTAATACATAAAGATTATTATTAATATGATTATAAGTACACGGTTACAATAATTTATCAGCGATTTTTTGTTACGTCTTAGGCATAAAGTCTAGCAAATTGTATAGAGTTCAAGGCGTTTCATAAATTCATAATTGTGTATTTTTATACAGAATCAACAAATTAATTGATATCCTTAAAAATAAAATTACATAACATAGAAAATATTGAATGTAAAATTATTACCATCAACTCAAAATATAGAGCTTGAAATATATTATATATTTATGTATATATTAATGATTTAAGACAAAAATATATTACGTGTACTTCTAATCCTTATTCTATATCCTTTGTTGAGTATTAAATAAAGTATTTTTTTTTACGATGAGTATCGATATTGATAGGTTTTTTTTTAATTGAATGTTATAGATATGTTAATAAATGTTATATCATTTGTTTGAATAGGGACGGATGGTAGTTTCTCTTCTTGTGACTGTCAGGAGAGCACCCCAGTGGCGTAGCCAGGATTTTTAAATGGGGGGGGGGGGCTAACCACTTTTTTTGGATAAGTAAGGTAAGAGAGGATATGAGAATTCACCCTTAACCTCCCCACCATCTACCACCAAGTTTCTAAACGTAATTCAAGCATTTTAGTATAGTTTTAAAAATATTTATTAATATATAATTTATAATAATAATAATAATAATTTTAGTTTCAGTGTTCAGTCACTTGCTCCACTCTGACAACTGCATTCTCTTAGGCAAATTTCTGGCAAATTCAGTTATTATTTCACTTTCATCGAATTGGTCTTTTTTATTTATATTAGCCATAGCTAACCCATTCAGTCTGTTTTCTGACATGGTGCTTCTTAAAAAAATTTTTAAGCGATTAAGTGCTGAAAACGTTCTTTCCGGAGTGAAAGAGGTAACTGGTAACGTGGCGAATAATTGTAAAAGTATTTTAATGTTAGGTTGAAGATTGGTGTGATGAGAGAGTGAATCAAGAGCAGAATTCGGTTTTGGAATAGTATTTTGACTCCATTGTTGCCTCCATATGAACAGGTCAGCTCTGATTGTAGATGAGGTATCATCGTGGAGATCTTGGACATATATTTTAGCAGCTTTTTTATAATATTTTTATCGTCATACATATTTAAATTGGCCCGAATAAGTCCTTCAAGTAGCATAACATCAATAAGCCTTTGATTAAAACGAGCATTGATTCTATTAAATAGTCAAGATACATTATACATATAAACACGACCCATAGGGGAGGCTATAGCCCCCTTAGCTCCCCCCCCTTGGCTACGCTACTGGAGCACTCCAATAGGATTCGAACAGGTGACTTGCGTTATATGCAGCTTGCTCGACCACGATTCTCCATTAAATTAATCGTAATCGACCTAATTGTGTACATAATTTACATAAAAAGTTAAGATATTTTATCATTATAATATTGATATATAAATGATATAATAATTCTATAGAAATTTTAGGCTTAAACTGCAATAATCTGAGGTTCCTTAGTTAGAAGGATTAATTGCTCTTTTAACAATGCATCAATACCATTTTATACCAATACTTCATCACACTGTGTAAATCGTTTTAATTTCTGTATTATATTGTGAAATTAATATAATATAAAAAAAAAAAAGAACCTACAATACATTTTTTTTCTTCAAGTTTTTAAAATAGTTTAACTAGTACTATTAATTTGTTATACTAGATGTTTTAAATTATTATTGTATAATTATTTGTAAATGAACGTAGACATTATTTTATACTTACATTCAGGCTTATTTATATTACAATCCTTTAAACTAAACAATTAATGCTATGGCAGTTAAATATAAATTTATTTCTTACGAAATTGATTTCCTGGCTTATATAATAATAAAAATAAGTTGATATTAGTATACCACAGGGATAGTCAACCCAAATGATCTTGCGGGCCACTTTGTAAATACATTACAATCCTGCGGGCCACATATAGGGTTGCCGAAAAAAAGGTCATCAGCCAAAATATTAATATAATTACATATTTTTATATTTCTATCAGATTAGATTAGAATTATTACTTTTGTTGCGATTACGTTGTTAATAATATAGATACCGCGTTGCGCAGGCTTTCCAGAATATTCTATCGGCGCAAAAATAATTTTTTTTTTGTAAATATTTGATAAATGTCGCGGGCCGCAAAACTTTCCAAGGTGGGTCTCATGCGGCCCGTGGGCCGCGGGTTGGCTATACCTGGTTTACCATATGGAGATGGACATTAAATCTGAAGATCTGAATTTTCCGAATATTCGGTTTTGAATAAAATTATTATCCGGATTTGCTGAAAAATAAATTATTAAACTGTTGTGTTTATTTTATAATTCTATGATTTAAGTCATTGTAAGTACAGTGATACCATGATTAAATACCTTATTATTATCTTTACTGCATAACCTTAATTCAATTTATGTTAATATAAAAATGAGTCGTTGAACAGTAAATGAATAATCCGGATAGTTCAGATTATCTATGAAATTTGGATATGTTCAATACTACTTTCATATAACGACGTCTCATTAAGAACAAAAAAAAAAAAAAATTGTAATGTGGAGGGTTCGTTAATAAAATTACATGTTCATTAATAATGATGATCATAATTATCAAAAATAATTCGTTAAACATAAAATTCCGTTAAATGGATATTCGTTGTATAGGAATTTTACTGTAATAATATATATATAGTAATTAAAATAGTATTATTAGAACCGTCGCCCATTATACATATGCGTGTTCATTCGCTTATCGTCATTTATTATCTTATAGTATATTTATGCACTACACAATTTATGATTTATATTCAATTTTATAATACTTAAATAGACCATGAACTCATCAAAACAATCTTATATCATAATAAGATACTCCTATAAAAAATCATTAAATATCTAGCCAACTAATAAAAAGGAAATACTTATTGAGGTCGTTAAGAATTTAATCTCATTCCAAAACTCCGTTGAAAGGCATATCACAAAAATGTTATCATTGGAAAAAAACAATAAATTAATTTAAAAAAATTATTAATAACGTTAACTCTGAATTTATAAAACTTGAAGAATATAATTCTAATTTATATTCGAAGGTTGAGCTATTCAAAAATAAAGTTTCCAAACTTGAACAACCTCCATCCAACTCATTTGTTTACGACACTATAAATGAAATTCATGATAGACTCTGACGACGTAAAAAATATTTAAGTACTCAATATATCTGATTAATCTGACGAGTGTGTTTATAATACTAAGTAATTTATTCAAAACTATGAAACTCAATCACTCCGTCAATGAATGCATATGCTTGGGTAGTTACAAGTCCAATTTCAATTGAATTATCGTCTTCAGCTGATGTTAATATAGTTCTCAGAGCTAAATCAATCTCAATGGCGTTCTCGATCAACCAAGACACGAAAAATATGCCAACTTTATAAAAAATTGACTCCGAGCTACTCTTTAAACGTTATATTGGTGAAGTACTACAAGTAGTTCATAAATAACATCAACGGATCTCCCCAACTAATACAAACATTTTATCTTTCACCTTGTAAAAAATCGAAGATATTTACCTACTAACCACGAATGTTTTCTTTAAATAATACTTAATTTTATCAGATATATTTCTTTTGTTTCCATTAAATCTATTACTAAAAATTATTGTCTATATATTTTCAAATTGTATAAATATTCTCTTATATATATTTTTAAATATTATTATACTAAATTGTATGCACGCTGTAATTTTTATTTTTCCATTATAATTTTATCTTTGTATTTACCTTTGAGGGTGTCGCTTGATAAATAAATAAAAAAATTAATTGTTCTTAATTTGTTTTAGTATATGATACCAACGTAGTTTTTTATTTATTAGTTAATTGAATTTATAAAAATATAGTTAAAGCATCTGTTTCACAATTTTTTTTTTTTAACACTACATAGGTATTTGTTATTTATTCTCTTATGACTTAACAATTTGATTAGACTATCAATAATTCCAAATATGTGTACAACTTATACGTGGATTATAGGACGTGACTACAAGAGGAGAGAAGGGAATTTAATCAAGAGTACCTACTTCTAAAATAGAGTTTGTAACTAAAATGAATTATTCTTATAATATGGCCATCGGATTTAGATTTACTTAACTTATTATCATGAATACAATATAAATGATTAAAATTCCAAGACCATGGGTTGGAAACTATTTTTAAAATGTGTTGGTAAATAAAAACTTCGGTACTTGAAATAATGTTTGAACTAGTGATTTGAACTACGATTTAGTGACATGATTAAATAAATGTGTTTTTATTGCTTAAAATATAAAGCGGAATATCAGAAATATATAAATGCACGAAAATAGGGCAAAACATATTTTATCTATTACATTAGCAAATATTCGTCTCCTGTTAAATTCCACCGTTTTTGAATCCGTTTGATCGTCATGTGTTGATCCCTGTAAATATTGAACGAGATCAATATAAAATAATAATAACATGAATCAGAGATGATCTGTAGAATGATAAAGTTTTGTTGTGAACCATAGTACATAAATATTGAGAATAAATATTCGAAAGACTTAAAACTGAAAAGTTTGAATTTTGAAACGTATATATGTATCTTACTTTGATTTCCATTTGTAACATCTCTACAAATCTCGACTGGACAAAAACGTTTATCGGTTTTGGGAGGGGTTTGGGTGTTGTGGTCAAGTTGTTCAATGCCACTGATATTACTGCCGCCAGAACTGTAAGCCCCAAACTGTAGGCGTAGTATAAAACTAACGATCAACACAAAACATAAAATGGTTGGTCTTACTACATACAGTCTAACATACAGTTATTTTAATGCGGTGAATGATTTTTTCGGATATTAAAATTTTTAGGAGCATAAGTTTGTGCAACGGTTAAAAAGCATAAATTACATATTACGTTAAATACGTACCAATAAACGGGACGCTGGACAGTATTAATGGTATTTTGGAGTAAATGACTAGTAGAATGGAGACAACGATTAACCCGTTGAACAGACTGGTAATCAGTTTTGACTTGTCATCCGGTGGGATGCAGAACACTAGCAAATTCAACAGAGCCGTAGCTGTAAAAAAATAAAAATACATTTACATCGTTTTATCAGACAACGATGACGTGTCGGAAAAATGTCCTTATATATTAACGCCGATAGACAATTATACATAGACAAACCAGTTCAAAACTGCAAAAACTTAAAAAAGTACTCAGAAGAGCGATTTGAAAATTCAGTGAATATTTAATCAAATATGAAATATGAAGTAATTTAATCATAAATATAATTTTTGGTATATACGTAGGCCTCTAATTTATATTTTAATTATTACTAATGTTATACATTACATACCTATAATAATTATAACTACAGTTATAGAACCTGGAAATAATAATTATTCTATTTTTGTCACTGGTAGAGGTCGTGCAATGGTTTTTTTTAAATTTTTATTTACTTTTGTCGGACGACATTACAGCGATGTACCTTAGTAGGGACATAAATTATATCTTATTGGATTATAATTCGAGGAAGTCAGCATTAGGAATGAGATCGGCGATTAAGTATACTACCGACGAAGAATAGGGATCCTAGAGGAGGACGATAATGTCGGTACAAGAATAAAGGTTATTTTACTATAAAATACGCGTTTGTCTGTCATATTGGTGTTGTGCAGCGCGAGTCGTGCGATATTTTTTTTTCTTGTGACACACAGGACCGCTCCAAACGGGACGAAGGGACATGGAAAATACTTACACAACACTGGTAGGATGATGAGGGCGAAGGTGGCGGTGCCGTGTTCACGGATCTCTCGTCCAATGGTGACGTTGTACTCGACGTGCTCGTACGGATCGTCCGGGCAACACGGATAGATCCGTGTGAACTTCTCGCTGGAAATGCGCAATATTTGCCATTCCGGGTACGGGCTGACGGCCATGATCTGCGAAAATACCAACACGAAATACGGTTATGCTATCGTATTTACTTGTGTGGCATCACTATATACCAGGGATGGGCAACTCAAAGTTACTAGAGGACCAGTTTTTAGAAAATTAAAATCTAGCGGGACAGAGCATATAAAAATAAAAATAAAAAAAAAAGGTCATTCAAAATATGAATTTTAATTAGTATTTATATATACGGCAATAATAAATTCAACATACACGACAGCACGGTACGAATGATACGTAGATATTAAATAGTTCGGTACAAACAGCTATGGTTGAACGCTATACTTATATATACATATGTTATTTAGATATTTAATGATGTTTAATACTATATAACAATTATTATATCGATAAATTAGATTATAGATGATATATTTTAAAATTGTATGAAGTAATTTTAAAATATAGTACGGCCCAGATAAAAAAGGCTCGCGGGCCGCCAAATGTCCACCCCTGCTATATGCGGACGATGCTGTGCACAGCCGTGGACCGGCTTGGATGTTCAACATCCGTTCGAGCCTTAAGTTTAAATATTTTACTTCGAATTTTCCTTGTATTTTTTTTACCCGTTGTAATACCGATCAAATCGATAAGTAGGATTTAAAGAAATTTCTCTTAGGCAACAAATCCTTATGCGATTTCTCCCTGTACCGTAAACGTGTGCACATGTGTAACATCACTATGAAAAATGCATTTATTTTCGCATCATGGTCTGTGAATCGTACTAAATTTGCTAATTGTAAAATATATTCCATTGGAATAGAAAACAAATGAAACTAAAATATTTTATGAATTTCTTAATGTTTTTTGTTAGATTCGCTCCAAGACGGTGTTAGGACTCTTATGTCCTTTTTTTTTTACCAGTCCACGACAGGCTGTTGCGTAGGCACTCGGTATAATGATGTCGTATACAATTTAACGAGAATAACGAGTGCAGACCTCGTGCAACGGAGCCGTTCCGGTCATATTTATCACTTTGCTGTTGTACACCCAAGACCCGACTTTCAGATAACCGGTGTGCACGTCGTACGGCCACCGGGCCATGTCCATCTTGCAGTGCACCCGGTACCGGATCGGTGGCACCCACAATACATGACCGGTGCTGTTGATCATAGCGTGCGTGTTGCCGCGTTCCACGTCCACTCCGAGGCTGAAAAATCACGGGCGAGCGTAGTGGTATAGCGAGAAAAAAACAAATATGAGAAAGAAAAAAATAAACGGTTTCGTGTAGTCAATTTTTTTACTACAATAATACTATACACTCATCAATTTGGGTCCGACTTACTTGTTGTAGGCCCTGAAGTCCGGGTACCATATCTCGTGGGGTTCGACCATTATGTTTCCGATCTGATCGTAATCATCCGGGTTCCACGTCAAACGGTCGTCGTTCCACTCCTGAAAAACGAACGCGCACCGATAAAACACCCAGTACGGGAACGCACATGATAATCGTACGCGTCCTAGAACAGGTGTCTTAGACCCGTTGTCCACGAAAACGTGTTAAGCATGGAATTATATGTATTTTGTGTATTTCAGTCCAGTTAGAACGGCTGTAAAAGACATAAGAAAACGTGAAGTGACTAGAATTGAATTTTCGTTTAAAATACGTGTTTTCATTACGAACGAGGCGTGTGGAATTTTTTTAAATATAAACAGTGGGCCGGCCGTCTTAAAAGATTGAACACCTCTATTCCAGTTGTTTCGTATCATATACGGGCCTAAGACAACGCGATGATATTATTTATGGTACTCACCACATTCATCCAGGTGTGAAATGTCATTTGTGACGTGTCGTAACTCTGAAAAATTAATTCCGACAAAGGCGATCAAAATTATTGTGTTACAACTCGCGAACACGTTATTGCGTAAGGGATGTCAAGTTCATAATACGCAAATAAATTATGAGGGCACGCAAAAAAAAAATTAAAATATCTATTTCAATAAATTAAATTTTTAATACGAGTAATTAATAATAAGGCCAAAACGAACCACTTTAAAAATAGTCATTGGCTATTTTTGTCGTTTTTTTCACTTTTTTCAGAAACAAGTTTCATTTAAATCTATTTGAAAACCTGATAAACGGATGAATATTGTTGTGCCACATGTAGTTTATTTAAAGTTACCAAATAATAATTCGAATACAAATAAATTAGCATCGTAACAACAAAAGTCACATCAATTAAATTGGTAAATAAATAGGTAATGTTATTTTTTATAATTAAATTAATAATCGTTTCGAACGAGACCTTAAACTCCGGCCTCAAATTACCTTCCATCGACAATACAGCTGCTATCTACTTCAAACGCTTCCACGCCAAACTTCAAAATATTTCCAACCAACTAATCAAAGATTTAGCTTCACTAACACTTCCAGGTAACCCAACCAGACGCCTCAAAAGGAAATGGTGCCATGATTTGATAACTTAAGTTAAAGCTTATAAATGTAAGAGGTGTCACAAATGTGTAATTTCCACCTCATGTTTCTATTCATGGTCAACTGTTGTAAATTATTTATATTACTTATTGTACATACTGTATAGATCGTAATTTTTCAAATAAAGCCAAATTATTTAAAAAAAAAAAAAAAATTAAATTAATTAATATTTCATGTATATAATATTAATTTTCATAATTTAATAGCACGTAGGAAAGAGAAAAAATAATAATAAATGTAGTATATATATTACATGGTATACTGGACACTGAAGTCAAAAGTATCAATAAGCTACCTAATTTAATAAAAGTGATATAAATAAAATGTATTAGATGCTTTTGTTAGTTATGATTATATTATATTTCGTTGGTAGTATTATTATTTATTATACTATGTCCTCCATTAGTCGTATTTTTATACATAGAACCAGTATAAATTGCCATAGTGGTGGTATTTTTTTTTTAAATTAATATACCCTTTATTGTTTTTGTCCCCTCTCCATTCCCAAATCTTGGCTAGGCCATTGGAAATATGGTATAAAATGGATATGACCAAGATTGTCGAACATTACAAAGTTGGCAACCCTACAGGCGCGTAACATTAGAAAAATTTGCCACCCCTGTTTTAGGTAACTAAAACTATTGCCAAATTTACCAATTCCACGCTGTTGAAAATGGTTATCATTTTTATCTGAACAAGTTTTTTACTCGTGGCAGGAACCACCACGCGGTCATAGTTCTTGAACAGATGTTTTCTTAATGCGTGCGCAGCCGTAATGTTTTCCTTGGGTGTTTGCACAAAGCCTACAACATGACGAACGGAAAGAAAATAATGAACCAGTAACAGATGTCGGAAAGCGTACGTGATGATATTGTAATCGTGTACATCCCGACGGCGAATAATATGTATAATACATAATATCCATTTTCGGGACGATTGTGACATTTTATCAACGCGTTGCAAGTCGTCCACGGTCAAACTGGAAAGGCGGTGCTTGCCGAATGTTGGCTCCAACATTGATGTGCAAACATTGGTCGAACATTGGAACTAATGTTTGATTCAAGGATGCTGTTACGCGTTGTAGCCAACGTTGGATCCAGTTCCGTATTGGATGCATACTTCCCTCCAGTGTATAACCATGTACGATTTCATACTTAATTTCATACAAAAAACTTAACTTAATAAAGTAGTAGGAAAAAGAAAACGGATGACGTGATTGCAGCTGTTGCCACTGTAATTTTACTATCTCGCGGTAAGTTATTAATTCAGAAAAAAAATTGAACAAAAATAAAAATACATGCGATGAGATGGTGAATGTAATCTTTGAACGGAAGTAGAGAACGGTAGTTCGGTACCGGGATACAGGACTGCACATGCCGCATTGTGCAGCCGTACACCAAACGATAGTTGCAACTTGCAAAAATACCGGCTATCAGCGAGATTAGTGCCAACGACAACGTTGGAAACACAAACATTTGTCACAGAGCGTATGTAAGCATCGCCTTTAGTCTTGGTTGAGAACCACTACGCGAAACATGATCGTTTAACTGTGCACAACGGGACCCACCCAGTTCTCCATCGGGGGTACAGTCAAATGGTCGTATGAAATTGGTCGTGTGACATTAGTCGTAGTAAAATTGGTCGTCTAAAATTGGTCGCTTGATAAATTGGTTGTTTCGTATTTTGTCCACCCCCTGTATGTGTGATAATGCTAGTTTTATATTTGTGTACGCTGTTCTCAACTTATTATCAAAAACTGTATAATAATGATTATTGTCCATTTGAACCTACATAACGTTCTTAAGCCGATATTCTCGTTTTGCGACGAAAATATATTTCAATCTGTTTACCAAACGATCAATTGACGTAAACTCTTCCCTCGAAGTGCACCCGAGTCGCTTGCACGCAGAAACGTTTGATACTCGGCACGATCGACGTTCGTTGTTTAAACTAGTTTAGTTTTTTTTAGTAGCTTCGTGTACGGAGGAGGGCCTAAGTGTGCAAAAAGCTTACCCGTTCGCCGCCCGGATAGATGATCGATTTCATTATCGTACAACGTGATATTGATTATTTACCTGCGTCGACCGCGAAAAAGTACGCGGTCAAAGTGATCAGGAATGACTGCAATCGTAGAACGTCCATCGCTGACCGGCACCACAGGGAGCAGACTACAGCAGCAAGACCGTCGTGGGCAACGTCAAGATTACAATTATCTTCGTCGCGTTCCTCGGTATTCCTCTTAATAAGCAGCGTCGTAAATGTTTTGTTAGCAGCACACGGTATTTATTAAATTCTAACGCAGGATGTAATATCTCATAGTATATTTCAATTAAACCCAATCACCATAGAAGTCTTATACAAACCTGTGGGTCGATTTCATTTACTGCGTCCATATAAATTCGTGTCTGCGAACATTTTTCGTACATCTTGTACAGTTCAACTACGTTTCACAAATTGTTTCCCAGGATGTGTATGCATCAACATGAGGTTGTTCAATTAAAATTATTTATAAAATGACAGTTTTTTTAATTTTTTTTTTTTTTTATAATAATTTGATTTAGATATACAGATTTTACAATTTAAGAATTTAATTTAAACTAATATAATAAAATATTAATTACTATTAAAATAATTTCATATAAAAATAAAATAAATTTTACAAATATAAGTGAAAATTTTTAATTTACAATAAATAAAATCATGCCGTTAATTCAGTAATTCAGTGATTAATGAAATAAATAAATTAATATTACACAGAATTATACATATACATATAACTATACATTATATTATACACATATAACGCTAATGACTTTCTGATCAAGTGTATATTTTAGGATTGCAGTAAATTTAAAAACAAAGCCCTAAACTTATATTTCATTATTTCTTAGATTTTTTTTTTCACCAAATCGGTATGTTTTGGAATATATTATACTTATATAGTATTATACTTTGATCAATTAAAAATCTAAATTACTAAAAATTAAAAATGAATTATACGTTACATTTAATAATTTGATTATAGATCTTCTATTTAAGTATTTAAATTCTCTAATAAACTCATATTTAAATAAATTATTTCCAATATAAATTTGAAATTAACATTAGTAACTTTAGTGTCTTGATTGTATAATACAGCGGTTCCTAACTTTTTTAATAGTGTGGGCCACCAATTTCATAGAAAATTTTTGAGGCCCACCAATAGTTATATATGTATAATGTACACATACGTCAGTTATTACAATTTATTTATTGAAAAAACAATTGTTTATCAAAAAATAGAACTTCATTGAACTAGATTATTCAAGAGTTAAACAATTTAATGCAATTTTGGATTGTTCCCCATGAGAGAATCAATATCTGGATTAAAAATGAAAAGTTTTAGCCTTAAATCACTCAAAATTTAATTTATTCCTACATTTATTTTTTAAAAAGTAGAAAAAGCTCGTTCACACAGACACACAGGTTTGTCGAAATATAGCCCACCAAATTTCTAAGTAAAATTTTAGAAATTGCTGGAAAGTCTCGCCGAATATTTAAGTATAATGGTAATAATGGTGTAGTTTTAAAAAACGAGTTTAGAGTCTGATCACATGAGAGTTCAATTAACGAATATTTTTCACTTGCTGATATTTAATATTTTAAAAATATATGTAAGTAATGTTAATAAAATATGGTTCACGGCCCAGTACCACCTGCTCGTGGCCCACTTGTGGGCCGCAGCCCATAGGTTGGGAACCACCGGTATAATAGATTTGGATGAATTGAACACAAAAACGCTTGCTAATACAATGATAACCGGAATTTGAGTGCATGGATTATTTGTAATCAATAACGTATATTAGTGAACTGTGATAAATGCAGACTTTAGTAGTTTATAATTTTAAAATAACTACAGTAGATTGTTTTTTAAAACGCAATACAACCACCAATGATAAAACTGAAAAAACTTTGTTCTATAATGCGTATATTATATGAATGCAAAACAACACTTAAACTAATAACTAAGATTATTTATGGTCGACAAAGTAATGATAGTACTAAAATAAAATAATAAATACGGAAAAAATAATGGTTTCTTTGTAATAGTATACTGCGCATTTTATATAATTTCTAAGAATAAAAACTTGAAAGTTTTGTATGTATATGTACATGTATTATGTTCATTTTTCCTCTAATAATTCAACTCATGGTACATGTATAAAAAATTAGACTGTGATAATATATAGTTATTGTTATTGCGTTTCTAACGAGTTACTTTCGAGTAAAACATTTAAATTTACACATTTCTTCGGTTATTAAGAGTATATTATTGATTCAGATATACCAAATAATATTAAACAGTAGGTTGCAGTTATCACGTTCAATCCGTTCCCGATAAGTTTCGGTAATTTTAATTGTTCAAGCAAACAGTAAATTAAATATAAATTACACATAAATTGTATGTATTATAATAAATGTTGTATGATATGTATAATATGTTGTAAAATGTTCGAATAAAACGATTTTTATATATTTTTAAATATCATTCATTGTTTCGTCTTTAATGTATTTCGTTATTTAGTTGACAGTCGTTGTATTTCACGTGTATGAAAATATTTTATCAACCACATCCATAATGACCGTCAATTGTACATACTTTTCTTCCTTTTGTTCAATTTGTTTTTAATAATAATGTCTCTTAACCATTTTGAAGGACAAATATAGATGTAATTTAATGCCGAATAAATCATGAGTTAAGTCAAGAATATAATATGTGTTCTAGTTTAAACATACATTGATATAAAAATATTACTTTAGTTTATTGTATAAATATATAGTATTATGTATATCATAACGGTAGCACTATATTGCATTATATTGTATCATGGGTTTAAATTCAATAAAAATTAAAACGTACATTTTGAAAAATATCATTACATGAAAGTTATCATTAACAGCCAATATTATTTCATTGTTTTCTTTTTCGATCGTCGTTATATCGATAGTTTTAGTCCCGAATGTATAATGATTGAAAATTGTAAGACAGTAAAACGAGGGGTAATGTGATTTGATTCTAAAAATGTAGAACAATTATATTTTTATTTTATTTTCTTTATAAAATTATAATATTATGTATTTAAACCAAATATTAGAAAATATGATAAAAAATTAATTATTTTAATTATTTTTAATATGTTATCAGCTATCATCATAACGAGCATCCACTTATGCCACGTTTATTTTTTATATTTTAGTTTTTAACGCATCTACAACAATTTTATTTTTAAAATATTTTTAACGGATTTCTAAATATCTTAGTTTGAAAATAGTTTTTAATTTTACAGTAATAACAAAATATACAAAAATAAAGAAAAAAACAATTTAAATTTTTTTTTTTAACCTTATATTGTATATTCGAACACGTACATTTTTAAGGCAGTTCGCTCCTGTATTTAACTTTGTAATAGTTGAATTTACTATATAATCATGTGGCTGGTCATTAATTTGCTTTAGCTTAGTGGGCGGTGGTGGTAACTAATTTGTATACTTTGTACAATTAAATTAAATACAAGTCAGTGCCATTGTTCTACAAGGTTAAAATGTCAAAATAGATGAAAATAACAAAAATCGCATTTTTTTATTAATTTGAACTTGTAAATCATCGCGAAATACTCCGAAAAAAATACAGCATACGTGTATTCAGTATCAACATTAATAATATTTATGATTTTTTTTTTAAAACATTTTATTCCATAATACAGATTTATTAGCTCTGAAATAAATTCCCAATAGCTTATGATTATTTCACGTGAACTTGTTTTTTGCAATGTTACACGTGTGTGAGAATAAATTATATGGAATGAGCTATCGATGACGACATATTCACCTATTATCTCATAAATAAATACAATAATAATAAATAAATATAAATAAATCCATAATAAGAACTATGATGCTTAAGGATATAGTGTATGTAACATAAATATATAGTGTATTAATATAATAGTGTATAATTATAATATTAATTATAACTGTTACCCACATCGTAATCGTCGTATAATCATTTTATCTGTGTTATGTTCAAATTTTTTGAATAGATAATTATTGTTATTTTAATAACAGGTAAAACGAATTTTGATGGTAAAACAAATAACGCCTTGCTGTTGTATGCAGTTGTTCTCTCATAGCTAATAAAGGCGCATAATATAAATCTCGTGAAAAATGTATGACATAACCAAGAACAGTAGTTTTTAAACTGTACATTGCGGAACCTTTGAGTAAAGATTTATGTGAGATCTTTCGTAGTATTCATATGCGAACAATTGTACAAAAAAAAAAAAATCGTTGTCTTATTACGTAATTGTTTCAAAAGATAACAAAATCAATCAAACCTACTGATGAAATAAGTTTAGTTATAAATCTACATACAAGAATAGAAATTGGTTATTCTTAAATATTTAAATTAATAAAAGAAAAAATGAAAAGCTCAGTAAGTAAATTAACTACAACCTCTGTCGCCCCGTTGTCCGAACAGCATATTGCAAAGGAATAGTGGAGGAATTTAAAACATTGTTCAGGTCACTAGGCGAACGTATTGATCGTGTTATTTGTATACATATGAAATATATAGCAATGATAAATGATTTCATTTCAGAAGTGATTCTGAGCGAAGGTCAACGTAATATGATATAATATTATGTATTGAATATTTAATCATAAAATAACTATAACTCGAGTATTTTACGAGATAAAGACATTTTATACATTTACTCTTTCATGACACGAAATATTTGAAGTTTACATTTTTAAACTTCATTATAGTCACGAGTGTAGTTATAATAATACAAAATTACATAATGTTAGGTTTACAAATATCATTGTAAAATCAAGATATTTCTTAAATATTATTTAACCGATGTTTAAATTAGGACTATTTTTCATAGCTGTAGTTTGATAATATTAAAATCAATTAAAATCCAATCCAATATGCAAACATCAAGTATTAAAGTTTATAATTTTAGTATTTACAACACGATAGTTCATAAAACAATCAACTTTATGCCGATATTTAAATGATTATATGAATTACTCAGATTATTGACTTTGCATAAATTGCCAATTTTATAAAATATATTCTATATGTATTAAAATGATTAAAAGTTATTTATTTAGCCTAAATATTTAAATGTCTATAATATAACTGTAAAGTAGTGTTAATTATCAGAGATATCCGAATTCTTTAAGAATTTCTTCATATTTGTGTTGATTATTAAGACAAGAACGAATTAAAAATATTTTAATTTTACTATTTATCGAAGGCATGAAACCATTTATTTAAGATATTGTAAAAAAAAAAGGTAATTTTTTTAAGCAAATTTTTTACCATAATCCCACTTGTAAAAAAAAAAAATGTATTATAGCAACCTAAATTATTGCTTTTGGTTTTGAAAAACTATTTTGACTGAAGGTCGATATAATTTATGCGTTCATACTATTCCATAGGTATGGAGTATCTTATTATTTTTAGGGTTAGGTTTACTGTCCAAGTAAGGTGAATAATAAAATAGTAGAATAAATAAACGTTTCACTGATCAACCAAAAAATACATCATCTCAATAAGTAATAAATAACTAATAATAAATAAATAATCATATGAGTAAACATTTAAAAAAGGCTTTTATATAAATATCCTATATTAACTAAAAGTAATGACTAATTGTATTTAATTTATTTTACTCACTATCATTTTAAACATCTTTGAATACATATTATTCTACAAATTATATTTGTGATAGTGTTTAAATTTATATCAATTAATTTTTATCAGAGTTTTTATAATTCTTAATTTTAAACTATAAAATCAATAGTTATTATCTTTTATAAGTATTTTAGTTTATGGTTATAAAGAAGAGAAAATCAATAACTGCTGATGCTGCTGAAGTTTGTTTTGTTATTGCATCATCGTATGGACGTGTTATAAGATTCTATGTTCGCATTAAATTAATTTGAGTGTTAAATTGTTAAATCAAATAATTTGAAAAGTTTGAACTGTAAAATTTTTTCTTATCCAATATGATTTTTAAAATTTATAATTCTGTATTCATATAATTTGAATTTAAATTCATTAATATAAAAACATTAAGGATATATTATTTAATACATTATATACATATACATTATATACACTATACATTATTCCATCAATACTTTGTTGTCAAAATAACGTTTGTTATTTGAGGCCCATTAATTCATTTTTATCAAATCTTTTGCTCGCTCGATCTGCTGTATAGTCATGCAACATTTGTAGTGATATTTTTTCCATTTCTGTCGTTATTTTGCATTTTAAGTTTGTCCTCGAGCAAAGGTTTCGTTTGCTAGGCTCTAAATTTTACAAACTAAAAAATTCACGAACCGATAGGTTTTGTGATCTGGAGGGCAGCAACCATAATCATTATACCGAGAGAATAATCGTTAGTTCAAAATATATTTCTTAATGAAAACATTGTTTAACGAAAATTATGCACCTAATTCTGTCAAAGTTGAAACCATATACTTCTTTCGTATGCATGTGCATTTTTCTGTATAGCTGAGATATCGGAAAGTTAGGCCTGATGCACACGTGCGGATTTTTAACACGTGGAGTCGTAGTGTCACCGCGGCCGTTTAATGTACATTTGCGTGTTTTCCGTACTAGTAACCGCTTTCCAATATTTCACTGTCACACGCCAGTGTCGTATTCGCGTTGTAGAAATTGAGGCATACAGAAAAAAAAATATTTTCCCATGTCTTATATATACGAGTAGATACTTATAAAGTATATCTTAAAAAAAAAGACGATATTGGGTACATCCGTTCACCAATAGTCGACTAACAAGAGGGATGTTTTATACATATTTAAATAATCTTCGAGAAAAAAAATAAACAATTCTTTAAACATTTTCGAATGAGAAGAAAATTGTTTGACGAGTTGGCTGTAAAAATGTCAACAAAAATCAAGTCTCAAAATACATGTATGAGATCATCCATATCACTAGGTACTAGAAATGCTCGTTGTTACTTTGGGTAATTGATTTTTAAATACATTGTTAAGTAGGTAATTTTACGATATATCGTATATCAACAAATCTTAATTTACGCCCTCTATTTTTCTATCGGTCACAGTTGGACGTTTCAAAGCACTTAGTGTACGATAATTTATTATTGTGCGATGAAGTATAGGTGGTCACTATTAGTTTACGTTCGATTTATGTTTGGTAAGATTGAGTGTACGACACTGGTTATATAACTATTATTAACTATCAATTAGTATTAGTTTTCAATGAGATTTAACTTTGATTCCTATTAAATCCGTGGTGATTTCACCTATCTACTTCCATCGAAATAGATTAACAATACTGGAGTGTCGTCCGTGAGAAGAAAACGAGCCATGTATTAAATGGTACTTCAGGGCAAAAAAAAAAAAATCTCCAATTTTTTAACGTACTTAAGGATTTCAAAGCCTCATAATAATTTTAGTACTTCCATCTGTCCAACTTTAAAAATAAAAAACTATTTAAACTTGTTTACAAGCTTAATTTACAGGAATATATCCATAGATTTAAACTGAAAAAAATATACAAAAGGAATAATTGAAATTAACAAAATAATATAGAAATGTTTCATATTTATGGTTTACCATTGAACACTAACAATAGTATTTATTATTAATTCAATATATAATTAATTATTCTTTAATAATATACACGTTAATAATAAACATACATACACATATAGATAAAGTGGAAAATGGGAAACAAATACAAATTTAACACAAAACATTTATGATTAAGTATTTATAACATTTATTATATATTATTACAGTTAATCTTTGTTTCAAAAAATTTTATTTTTAAATATTTTTATTTAGCATAATGACGGATTCTAATATTTATGTAGCTGGCACTAAGGGCAAAGAACAGGCCATGTTTACAACTAGAAAAAGCAAGGTCAACATTTATAGGATATCATCAAAAGAGTATTCTGATTATCAGGGAAAATAAATAAGTTGAACTTATTATTTTTATCCGTATAAAGTATCCCGTTTACTTTCTGTTGTCTTCTTGTATTTAGATATGTAGTAATTATAGTAAGTAAATTTATTATTTATACATATTTTGAACTTAATTCTGTTAAAAAACTTTATTGTCTTTTAGTGGTGGGAGAAGTGTGTACATTTTGCTCGTTTTCAGTAACTGTGTACTGCTTCAGTATTGTTTATTTATCTTTGTATACTTTAAAGGTGCTACAATTAAATTGGCGTTACTGAATAATGTTGGGTAGTTTCCTCTATTGAGTTCATTTATGTGAGTGTTTTTAAATTTACTTATTGTGTGGATAATATATCAAAAACGTTTTTTTTTTCAATAAAAAAAAAAAAACTAAGTACATATAATATTCAACACTTAATTTGCATACTGTATATAATAATAATAATTGTAATACAATTGTAATATATTAAAATGGATAAATGTACTTATGAGGTTAACGACTCAAAGATAAAATATACTAAAATGTTTGTTGATAGTATCTATATGTTAAAATTAATTCGAGACTTGTTTCAATTGCACATGCATTTTTTTTTATTCTCAAGCGTTTCGATCATGTATATTAATTATTTATTATAATAGTGAGTCGTTAGGTGTTATCTGTTATTGAAAAATGAACGATTTATTTCAAACAAAATGTGAATGCCTTATCATGCGGTTGGTGTAATCTTACTTCTGTTATAAATAAAAAACATATACATCGGCGTTCAGTTGTATCAAAGCAGTTGCTCGAATAACACATAATATTCCGATTGCATTGTGGTGTTTAACTTTTACCTGTGTATACAATTAAATATAGTTTTATAATTAAATTCTAAGTTTGATATTGTTTTTGGTGCAATCAATTTTTTTTTTTAATTCACATTCTTATCTTTTTACATGTACAATTCTTATAATTAATTAATATGTGTACCTGCAATATAACAAAAGTTCTATTTTTAATCTCTGCTTTTGGTTTAGTGAATACAAATGATACATTTACAGGTATGTTTATCAGAAATTGATTAATATTGTAGTTTTTTATTTTAGTTCCACATAAACTTATTTCAATTTCAGCCATCGCATTGTAATATAATATATGTATACGTAGTAATTCTCATTAATAAAACTGCCAAACAAATACGACTCGTAACAAAAATCTAAATACTGCTTGAATCAATAAAAAAAATACAAGTAATAATATATTTTATATGCTCATATATAAAATTAATTAACCAATTAGATGTAGCTAAAACGTCTAATGTATGAACAAATAATAAGTTAGTTAAATAAGCCTGTATGTAAATATTAGTTTTATATTAGTTTTTTTTTGTGATAAGAAATTCGATAAAAGATATTTATGTTTATTCATAAGTATTTGTTTAAACTATTAAAATATTAGTTTTTATTCTTTAAGTACGGTTTGAATAAGTAGTGAATATCGAATTTAAAACTCAAATGTTACAAAAAAAAAAAAAAATCGTATCGTAATTGATTTTATCAAAATTAATTAATATAAAATAATAAATATTTATCTTATTACATTTTGAGCGAGCAAGCAATATATTTTTTGTTTTCCTTTGTAATAGATTTTAAATAAATATTATTCAATAACATTAATTTTCTTGTGAAGTTTTGTTATTATTTTGTTTTAAAAATATTTTTTAATCAATTTCTTTGATTTTTTTTTTTTTTTTTTGAATACATTGTTATGTTAATTAATAAAATATGTGAGAAATACTTATGTTGTATTACTTTCCACATTATCTGATTTACTTCAGTATAGTAATAATTATAGAATAATATAACTGTTAATTTATATCTTATATGTATTAAGAAAAAAAAATAATAATAAACGATTCATTTTTTAGAAAAATTTAAAATCCTCCCCGCAAAAAATTTTAAAATACGCCACTAAAAAATGGGTTAGTAAACTGCATCCATAGTACAATCGAGTCGACATAACTCAAACCTCTATTACTCGAAAAAACATGACAAGTCATATTTTTTTTATTTCCCTACAAATCCTTATAACACTCAATGTATTATTACTTAATGACTTAATTGGAATATAAAATTGTGATAAATAGCTTAGTCGAAGTACCTATATCCTGGATTTTATCGTAAGCATATTATGTTTTATTTACTCGACTATAAAATTAAAATAATGTCTCCCATAATACGAGTACATACATCGAAGCCAATTTTTATCTATATTTTACTCTTATATAAATTAAATTAATAAAAAATATTTTTAATAACTTAGTATACTTAATATACCCACCAATATTATTTAATTAATAAAAAAAAATAATCTTTTGGAGGACAGTGATAATGGTGTCTTATGGGTAGTAACTATTATAAAAATAATAAATTTAACTACACATAAATGTATACTTGAAGTTTATTTGGCGAAATTTACTGTAATGTAAATTTATACCTGACATTTTTTTGGGTGCGATTTACGTTTGTCCATCGAAATCAACCTCGACAGCGACAGCCATAAAAATAATAGTTCACTCAGGATAGGATTAATCATACAGCCATGGTGTAATTTTATTTGTGCACAGTGATACACGTAATTAGGATAATATTATTATCGAATGCGCATAGGGTTGACACTATTTTCAATTCGGTTAATAGATGCATATGTTATTGTTTACATACGGATGAAAATGGATAGTGGGTTGTTAATATTTATACACAGTATAATATAATGTATTGAACGTGTTATTGTGTTTAAAGAGAACGGTGACATGCTTCGTCAGAGACGTACGCCGGTGGACAAATTGAGAAAAGACTTATTGAGATACTACGATAAACATTCAAGACCGGTTATCAGTAATAATCTGACCAATGTCACAGTCAACACAGTTTTGAAGTACATTGACTTAGTAAGTAATAGCTTTTTCTTAAGCACGTTTATTTTTAGTTCATCAATAAATTGGCAATACGTGTTTTGGAGTTTAAAGTGGTTTTTTCTCTGGGGCATTTTTGGACAGGAAATATCGTCAGAATATGCTAGCAATATTCCCTTACCATTTAAATCCATTTCTCGGGTTTCATGCATATGTCTCACTACTCATTCTAATGCTATATTGAAAATAACCGAGGGTAGCGCATTCCTTTGTTTAAATCAAACTTGATTTCGAAGTCGCTTGACTCTCTTCCCAACCTTGCATGTAGTATTAGAGAATTGTAGCTTTCAACTAGATTTTTTAGTTTTTGGGCAATCCAAAATTCTGTAATACTATCCAAGGGTGCGATCTGTCGATACTACCGTACGCTTATTTAAAATCTATAAATATAATTTCGTAAGTCTAATTCATAATATTTTTCCATTGTTTGCCTAAGCGTGGAGATAAGGTCACTGGCGGATCTTCCTTTTGTGAAGTCACGTTGATATTTTTCTGCTATGTCGATTGCAAATGCTTCTTGTAAACTTACATTGATAAAACGTAAATATAATGTAATTTTTAACATTTGTGTGTTCGCAGGACTTCCAAAATTCCATAATGACCGTTAATGCCTGGGTATCAATGGTAAGCAGTATAATAAATCGATTTGCATTTAACTTAAATCTCTAATTCTATGGCAGTGGATCGACAATCGATCTTAATATTTATTGATAATGTGGTTCTATATAAATCCTAGAAAATTTCTTAATTTTTTTTACTATCCCTCTTATATGTCCTTTTAAGAAATAGTTTTGGGTTTGCTATAAAGAACATAAAATTAGACCAAAACGGTCTTTGAGTTTGCCATTCCTATACACAAATCATAGATAAAAATATTCTTTTGTACTCCTACTTTCGTAGACTTGGCAAGATGAAAAACTTCTGTGGAACGTATCGGAATACGGAGACATTAAATCTATAAACATGGCTTATGGTGAAATATGGATGCCTGATATAGTGGCCTACAACAGGTAGGATAAGTCTGTTATAGAATATTGCGAAACCAAATTACTATAAACATATCTATACACATATCGCTTAATGATTATGCTTTTATCGAAATAGGTATTATAATAGCTTATTATATTACAATTACTACAATATTATAAATATAATACATAATAGATTAGTAAATTGAGCATCAAATTGTAAGAATATCGGCTTCAAATTATATATTTTTTACTCAAATTATGTAAAAGACGATCGAATCGTTTTGGAAGATATATAAGTATAATAATATTATCCAAATACAATACACCTAAACTAAAATCTTTGTTGTCCAATAGTTAGTGTTCTGAGACTATATTTTTTTTTCGTAAAAATTATTATTTTACATGTATATTTTGAGATCTCATCTGTAAAATGGAAACAAGTAAAAAAAAAAAAGTAATAATTTTATAAAACGTGTTTTTCTCTTATTTTATACGAACCCAATTCTTGGCGAGTTGTTCAAAATTTATCTTCATCAAAGAAAATTCGAGCGATTTCCTCGTGTTAATTTTGGCGAACTTAATTGTTTTTTTTTCTCAAAAAAGTCTTTTGACGCTTATAGCAGCTGTAGTGTGGTTAGAATAGAAGTTAATGTATCTTATAGTTCTACTCAGTGGCGTATTTACGGGGGGGGGGTATGGGGGATAGATCCCCCCCTTGACCTTTTTTTTTCCTAGGTAGCTATAAGTTGTCTCATTTTCTCTAATATTCTTAATATGATATTACTTTCAAGCATGTATGTTTTCTGTTTTCTAAATGTTCTAGTCGTGGTAATTGTACCGCTTTGATAGTCTGATATACTAATCGCCACTAATCGTTTATCGTTGGCGGCATATACGACTATCAGGCATATACCTATATTATGGTGTACTGTATTTTGTACGTTTCTGCGAATTATTTTTCATGCAAGAGTGTTTATAATAAACCCGATAAGCAATCGGTAAACAAAACAAAATGACCATGAAGACCGTGGATTAACCATAGGGCGGCCGGGCGGGTTTATTTTTTAGAAAATTTGTTACTAGTAGATTTATGGCTAATGTATAGCTATATATATATATATTTTATCTTATGATATCGTGATTCGTTAAAAGTAGATATGTACGGTCATTGGACGTTGACGGATAGCGACGCCGCGCCATTCCGAGTACTGACTTACTACCGAATTGACTATTGTTCGACTTTATTTTTTGCGTCTTGTAAGTTGTAACTGTGAAGTTTTAAGACAATATGAGTAATATTCAAAAACAAAAAAAAACTTTATTTTCTTATTTTAGTACAAATAAAAAAATTTGTTTGGAAAATGATGAGGTAATTATAAAGATTAATTCTTATTTTGCCTTGATCCACACTAACCTCAATAGGTAACAAGTTAGGGGATTTTAAAAATGTATATTATGTACGAATTAATGGGTGTTAGGATGTATTATTATATATTTCATCCCCCCCCCCTAGAAAAATTCCTAAATACGCCACTGGTTCTACTACCATTGTTATAATTTCCAAAGGAGTTGATATACGTTACAGATATTTTACGATTAAATTATTATAGATTAACAGTTAGTTGTTATCGTATAGTAAATGCACAATTAGCAATGATTTTACAATTTTTCAACGTCGATAGAAATGTTGCTTAAACGTAATTTCTAACGACTCCGTTGAAAAGTGCAGTCGAGTAATCGAGAGCAATAATATTTTTATGATTCGCAGTGCCGATGGACACACCGACGAAACATACGGGAAGATCAACTGTGTGGTCCGGTCGGATGGTAAGGTCCATTGGATACCACCGGCTAAGTACCGGGTGTTTTGCGACGTGGATTTCACCAGCTGGCCGTTTGGAGAACACACCTGTTCACTGAGGCTAGGTTCGTGGACGTATGATGGCAATTCCGTCAGCATGCAAATCAACGAGAAAATAAACGTACGGTCATTTAATATTTTCTTCTTGCAGTAGAAACCTAGTGATGGATTATTCTGTAATGTTTTTGATTATTATATGGGCAAATATTTACTGATACCACGTGAGAACCGACTGATGTCACCGTTGCGTACGATCTAAATCGAAACTGGGGGGGACTTATTTTCGAAATTTGTCGCATTCGATAAAAATAGAACTCGATCGATTCGTGTTTAATGGTATTCTCGAAATAAAGTGACATTGCTCGCACGAAAATCTTTCGACATTTTGTCTATTATCTATTTCGACTTCGACATAATTAATCCGAATGGGTTTTTATTTGCTAGTGCCATAGATTCAATATATTTATAAATGTTCAACTGCAAAATAGTCATTAGTAATTAGTCACTTTGTATTTTTTCGTATACATTACATTTAAATTTAAGCATATAGTTACTAGTTAGTTTTTAATAAAAGTTAAATTATTAAATAATTATAAAAATAGCAGACGATTATGAACAAGCTGTGATGTTTGCTAGGCTAAACGTTAAGAGGCTAGGAGCTCTGCAAAATGTTAGAAAACCTTTTGGTTTTAAGGCCATTTTTTGCATTGTCGGATACAGCATTTGTCAAAACTTATAGTTCGAGTAAAAACTTGACAAATTATTTAATCCAGTTAGTCACTCCATTTATAGAACCGTTAGAATGTTATAGAATGTTGAAGATGTCTACTGGTACACAACTACTTGAACCTACCTAGTAAAAGTAACAAAATAACAAAATAAAGTAATACAATTTACTGTCTATAGAAATAGGTAATGAAGAAAATAAAGTATTCTCTGTATTTTAAATATTTTAATAACCATCCGATGATAATACAATAAGATTTTGATTAGTAACAATCCAACATATTTTGGCGTAAATATCTCTGATATAAATGATTATAAATCAATGTTTGGTTTCACCAATGTGGTTCATTTAACAAGATTATGATTTGTCGACTTAATCTCAAATGCGACTAATATTTGTCGGATGATATTGGAGGTAGCCTTTTGTAGTCGACTACGACAAAATCGATTGCGTTTACTCGTATGCGACTACTTGTGGTTCGATTTCGAGAATAGAGCCCCTGGAGTATATAATTTCCATAAATCATACAAATTCTAAAAATAAGGGTTTGATTTATATCGTCCTATCCAAACACTGATTATGGATAACCATTAAAATAATATAATGAAACGCTAGATTTCAGATAATTTATTATTATAATTATTTCGTTTTTTTGCAGGGCGTCGCTTATAGATATTTATCATGTATTGTATAATGATGTATCAATACTGATCGAGTTCATTCGTGTGTTTAGACTGCAGACATGATCAATTTGGACGAAGGGTGCAAATGGGACATTACGAAGGTGACTCAAAGACGAAGAGTCGAGAGCTACTCTTGTAATTCAAATGACATATACGAGGACATTCATTACAGTATCACCGTGAAAAGGAACATACCGACGTTCCATAGTGTGGTCATCATTCCGGGATTAGGTATTGATCCAATTGGTTAAAGAATACACACTATTATCATTATATGTGTGCATTTGTTATGTGTGAAATCGAAAATCTAATTGTAAATCTACTGCCGTTAACAGTCGTGGTGTTCTTGACGCTTTCCGTCTTCTGGCTGCCCCCGGAATCGTCGGAGAAATTCATGTTGAGCGGCGTCACACTAATCGTGATCTGTATACTGTTGACGATGTTATCTAACCATGTGCCGATCATGAGTGATCGTATCCCGTTAATAGGTTAGTATGAAGCTGTACTGGTGTTCATACAACGATACTGCGACCAAAGTAAACGTCGCGAACACAAAACGAATCCGATCGATTATCCGACATCACTTATATCAGCGGTTCCCAAATTGTAAGGCACACCTCCCTTGGGAATTATTGGGGGGGGGAGGAGGCACAAGTCAAATATTTATATTATATATCACACTTATATATATTTATTTTTAGATTGACAGTCATTTTATTATATTTTAATAATAAAATATTTTATTTTATTTATTCGTGGGAGGTGTGATTAATTTTTTATTTGTTTTGGGGATGTGTGACCTAAAAAGTTCAAGAATCGCTGGTTTTCATAGTTTCCATTAACTACATGTACTTTTTGGTGTTATAGTACTCTTCTATTCAAACTCGCTGGGCATGGTCACCATATCGATGGTACTTTCAGTACTGTTGCACAACTTGGCTAAATCCACAACACCTGACCATAAGGTACCTAAATATATTACAAACCTGTTGAACACAAAATTTGGAACAGTTCTGCGACATACGTCATTCGAGGTAAATATAATAAAAATTATTGTACAAAAATCATGCTGAACTTCTGAATTATTTATTAATATTCGTATACATATTATACATAATATTAAAAATTATGTTTATTTTTTGTAAATCCAATACGAAATCTATTTCCTTTAAAGCTTAGACAATATTGTTTGATATAAAATATTCTTCAATGATGATGGATCGCATGTAACATGATAGTAACATGTAGTATGATATCACAAAAAAATACTTTATAACTGACCAAAGTAGAAAACGTTTTTATGTGATTATAGAAAGAAGACACGGAAAAGCTTTTGGACGAGTCAATTGGAAATGCGTCAAAACATTCACATATGAAACAAAGCCAATGGTATTACCTGGCGTTGATTTTGGATAGATCTATGTTTATTATTTATATATTTATATTCATCGCAATGGTAATATATTTTTTAAAATAGTATCAAAATATTAAAGAATTGAAGCCTTACATGAGAAAAGAAAACATTTTGCATTGTATCAGAGTTAGTTGATATGAACTTTTTATGATTCATTATGTTTTATCTGATAAAAGGATTACAAATATTTTGACTAAACATAAATGTAATTACTTATCATGTCTTCACTGAATTCCACCGTGAAATAATATTTTTATATCAGTCGTATTGATTTATATATTTTTTGTACCTCTTATTTTTATAGAAAAAAAAAACAAAAATAAAACAAAGGTATTTTAGTATATATTTATAATATATTTAATCCTATAATTTAAACGAATATTAATCATTTGTAATTATTATGTTTTATTTATAAGTAAATATATTTTAATTTTTGTAATTTGAAATAATTTCTATGAATACGTGACATCAGTTTTATATCTAAAACGGCGTATAATATTTAAGATTTGAAATAAAAAAATATGAGGGCTATTATAATGTATATTTGTTTAGTTAAATTGTACCTCCATAACTACATATAAATAAATACAATTCATATATTTGAATAATGTAGATTACTCATTTTTCAATTTATTGTGTATTAGGTATTTATGTAAGATTAAATAAAAAAAAAGTAATGAATACATGCTAATATAACAAATAACAAAAACATAAAATCAAAAACATGAACAAGATTTAAAACAAATAATTGAACAATTTTTCATATTCGTAGTAAGTATGTACTATATAGTATATGGAAAGATAAGGTAAGTAAATTTTATTTGCATTTTCAAGAAAAATTCTAAGAATCTACAAAACATTCAAGTTTCTTATGATATTTAACACGAGTAATATATCATTAATATTCTATAATAATGATAATTATAAAAAAAAAAAAAGATGATCCATATATTATCTAAAATGTTGCAAATTAATTATTAATATTATTATAATTTAAATATTAATAATATAGTTAACATATATTATTGTTATATGTTAATTTTAGTTATATGTATTATATATATATATATTTTATATATACGACGCCTATCTAATGATGAGGGATAACTTAATTTTATATGAGTATTTTGAAAAATGTGGTTTAATTATAGTTTTTTTTTTTTTAATACCGTTCGGTCTCACCAATCTTACCATACTATTAAGTTTACGCTAAATCCGGTTGTTTATGGTATTTGCATTCGTTCCGCTTTTTTGAAGGGCTATAATAACAATACAAATAAGAATAATTATTATTGATGACATAATATTAAAATCTGATATTAAAGTATCAATAGTATTATAATTGCTATTTCAGTAATTTAAAGTATTGTGATCAGGACTGTGAATTTAATACATTCATGTTTTTTTTCGTTGCTTTATATAAGAAAACTAGTTCGGCCAGTATTCTTTTATGTTATAAATGAATTAAATACAAAATTATAATTCACATATTTTTATATATTTAAGACTTATCTAGATAAATTATTTAGATAGATTTTTTGTCGTCTTTTATCTTGTCTAGATCAATAACGCGATGCTATCTAATTACTTATCTAAGATAAAATGTTTACTTATCTAGATCATTTTATCTAGATAATTGTCTGTATTCTTGCCAAGATTAGAGTTATTTATATTTATTTAAGAAGACGAATCCAACAAATCAGAGATCATCAAAATCGGTCCAGCCGTTCTTGAATTATAAATTCTGTAAATAACTTGACTTTTTTTTTATACTATTTTTTTTTTTATATTTTTTTTATAGATTTTGTATTCATAATCATAATTTGTGTATTATTAATAACTGATTATTATTTCTTGGTATGATATTTTGTTTGTATTTTCATGTCAGGAAAATATTTTTGGTATTTTTAAACTTATTTTTCAATGGATATTCCAAACATATTAGGTGTTTGATTTTAGTATATACATGTTACTCATACGCTGAATAGTAATTCACTATTGGAACCCGTAAAGTCGTAACTACTTATAGAATAATGAAAATCATCAAATTAATATTATATAGAAACAATATTGTTAACTTAAAATTTTTTTTTATGTATTCTGTATTCATCCTGTTACGTACAGAACAATTTTCTTTTTTTTTTTTTTTTTTTATGTAACATTTTAGTGATTAACTATCATATTGTACATTATATATAAATACTGCTTAATGGTACACTACATTACTACAATAAACATTAAACGCCTAAGTACCTATTGATAATAATGATTATAATTGAGTCTTCATAGATATTATGAGAATATGAAATATTGACCAAAAAATAAAATTTTTTGAAAACATCTTTTTTTTTTTGTCTAGATAAAAATGAAATTATCTTTTATCTTTATCTAGATATTTTAATTTTTTTTATCTGTTATTTTTATCTAGATGAATTTAGACATACTATCTTTCATCTTTATCTAGATAAATTTTGCATTAACTATTCCCAACACTGGATGTGTCACATAAATCCATATTTTAACAATTATTCGTTTTCATGTATTTTTTTTATGTTTTAGTATAATTTCTAATCTTCTAATTTCAACCAGACACATAATTAACGAATATTTCTGTTAAAATAATTTTTGATTTTAATAGAAATGTAGGTAGTTTGTTAATGCTTGCATAGTTACATGTGAAGAGTTATTATCTAATTTTTCTGTGCATTGCGACTGTACTATAATACAGTAATACTTCTATATATATATATATAGTAGTATTGATGAGCATAAATTATTACCCGATGATAATCATTATTATTATTCCGATATTTTTAAATTCGAAAAATTTTTCAAATAAGAAACATTAAATAGGTTCCCACTATTTTAACAATTTAGTTACATGGTTCTTCACCATGCGTTTTTGAGAATTGTCTTTTTGTAAATAGTTTTTAATTATTAATTTTAACATTTTCTTTTTTTATAATGAGATTTTCATAGATAAATTTTTTGGAATTTTTACTGCAAATTTTTGCATATTTTGGAATTTTAAATTATAATTCTCCTGTTTTTAATGCACAAATGCATGAATTTATAACACTTATTGAGTGCATTAAATTCAAAGCCTTGATAATGACCAATCAAACGTCAAAAACAGTTCGAACTTACCGCATAAAATAGAGAAATACGGCAATTGCAGCAATCATCATCATCCCAAATCCAAAACACAAGGCATAATCGACTATGCGTGGATCATCTTTGAGTTGAACCCAAGTAGTCAATTTGTCACATGTTAATTTGTCGTCTGGCATACAGATGTCCTTGGTGCATATATAACTTCCTTGCAGGGTACTGCACATTGACTTAGGTCTTTCCGATTCGTTACAAGAAGCTACAAGATACGATATAGAACGTAAATTAATAATTGTCTCAACAAGGGAAACAATAAATATTATGCATGAAGATTGTAATTAAATAATTGTTTTTAAATGTAACTAAGTGCATTTTTCAAGTTGAGGTTTAAAATATGAAATATTATAATAATATAATAATAAGTTGTTATTAAATCGTACCAAGTTACAGTTATTAATAACTAATTAGGTACACGATAAATCAATTGGAAAACTTGGTTTATTTGTAATTAAAGCAACTACAACCATGTTTTTGATCCCTAATAAGCTTTACGAATATTTTAATATAGCTGTCGAATAATCGCATATTCAAAATGTCCCTACATATTTTCTATATATATAGGGAAAACATGTAGTTTTGGGGATTCAAACAATTTAAAAATTGACTTTTTTAATTTTTAGTTGTAGAGTTTAAGCTTACGTTAAAAAATTAAATTTGCACCAAAACAAAACAACCCTGGCCACGCCCCTGCGTACAGATGTACATAATATATTTTTATACTATTTTCAACTCACATTCTGACACTACGAGTCCGTCAGATCGACGGCAGATAACATCAGCGTTAGGAGTGAGGGCCCAGTCGTAGGTCATGCAAGGGGGTATTCGACAATCTCGGGTCTCCCACAGGGGGTCGGTGCACGCAGTGGTGCCGGCCGGCGACTGCGATATTACTGTTCGGGACCTTGTTTCGTATCCGATACTCTCCTTCTGACAATCACCGTGGCAATGTGACCACGGGCTCCACTCGGACAACGTGCAACCGGGGCCGCAGGATACGTAACAGTTTTGCCAGGACAGCGGTTTCTGCTGACCTAACGCGCCACAGAAAGAAGATTCTACCGTTTCACCGTCGTTGGTCCGCACACACGTCACGTTTCTGGTGGTCACGCCATGTCCGCATGCGGCTCCCTGTACGGAAAACACGCATACGATACAAACGGCCGGTAATAATTTGCAGATGGGCGTTGTAACGTATTACGTATTACCAGGGGTGGAATTAGAGGGTGAAAGACGGGGAAATTTATCCCTGAGCGTAAAATTTTAGAGGTTGTAATTTTTGTAATTATTAACAACTAATTTTATATTTTTAACTTTGTTAAATACTGATATTAGATTGAAACTCAATAAGTATGATTGTATATTAATTGTTAGAAAAAAATTTTCGAGAAGAGTATTTGATTATTGGTCTATGGTAGGGTGGAATTTTAACATTTTCTCCGGGCGACAAAATTCCTAGCTCCACCTCTGCGTATTACGCGGACGCGTTTTAACGGAACACTTACATGAAGCTGACACGCAGACCACGGTCCGAGGGACCAAGTGTAGCATGGTACAGCCGGGCAGGGTTTCCATTGTTCGACGGTCATAGGGCATTGTCTGCCCGTCGGACTCGGGTTCATGGCCGTGTAAGCTCTGCGTGATACACCTTTTGAAGTAAAATATATATGATAATGTCAAACAGCGTGATGCGTGGATTATTGTTTCCCGACCCCAGACCGGAGTCGATGGGTTCAATATATCATGTCTATACAATCACCTGTGTCGTTACAAGAACAGCTCGCGTTCCACGGCGACCAGCCTTCAAGGGCGCAATCCACGGGGCAATCGATGTAGCACCATTTTTCCAATGGATTCGGTTTGGGATGGTCAGCACAAAACCTTGTGAAAAAAAAAAAAAACGTTTTACCTCGCCGGAATCAACATTTATCGTGCTCTGTAATGATATACTATATGGACGGAATAAAACGCGAGCATTACCGATCAGCGACAGTTCTACCGTCACTTCGCTCGCAGTATACCGCTCCGACCGTCATGCCTTCACCGCACGGACTTCCGCCCAAAGGCAGACACGATACATTCGTTATGGTTTTCCACGAATACTTGAAGCAAGTGAAATTCAAATGGCACGGTTGCGTTTGTATAGCTATTGGACAGTTTGCTCCGGTAGGGCTTTGACTTCTAAGCAATAATCTAGTGCGTTGTTGTTCCTGCGACGATAGACAATCCTGAAAATAATTGTTGTTTCATCAATATGTTTACTACTCATATGATATTTCCTATGATATGTGTTTAATGTACACGATGAATCAAGCTTGAATAATTGCGCTTAGAATTTATGAATGTATATTTACTTTTGGACAAGGTGACCAATCTGACCAACCACTTAGCACACAATCCCCGGGACATGCGATCGTACACAAGTTCACTCCGTCTGGTCGTATTGTCCAGTCGCAGTATTCTTCCGACATCTCGATTCCGGTGTTCACGTGTATGCATCTGTAACATTATTCATTTAGTCAACATATCTTATTATTTGCAACGAATGGCGGTTCAATATGCAATAGTCGTACATCGTTTAATGTATGTACTCGTTTGTTTCATTAAGATCAGAATTTCAGCATTATAATTCAATAGTTTATTAATTACTTTACTAATCTGAACATTTCTCCTTCGCCGCAGCCTTTTTGTTTATCTTTATCTGGTAATTTACATTGGCTCCACGGGTCCGTTGTCCACTGGAAACTATTGCATGGCGTGTTGCACACCTTTGTCTGTACCGTCTCACCACACGGTCGTCCACCATTGGTCGCGTTCCGTTCGATCTAATTGAAAATGTGTTTCGTTATTATAAAATAAAATAAAAAAAAAAAACCCTTAAGTTAAAAAGTTTAAATAATTTACGCTTCTATAGCGGTGATGTATTCCTGGTCCACACAACCTATTACACACACCCCATTCGTTCCAATCGGACATTTGACAATCAATTGAGCACGGTACTAAACAAGGTTCTTCTTCGATGCCAGTGCCACCACCGCATAATCTACATATACAATACGAGACGCATGAGAAATAATTTTTGTTTTCATTTTGCGAAATCGGTTATCTTACGATGGATCAACGAGATGGTTGTCCATGTTGTAACATCCTAATGATCTGTATCGCGTGCCAGCTCCGCATCCGTCCGTTTCGTTTGTCAAGCAAAACGACCACTCAGAAGTAGGTTCCAAGAAATATTCAGAACACGGGCATTGCGTTGTTTCGACCTGACGTACTCCTTTACAAGCCGGGTGCGATATGGAACCTCCGATTAGATCTCGGGTTCTCGTACGCAGACCCGAACAAGGTTGTGGACATGACGACCAATGAGACCATTCAGTCATTTGGCACGGTGTTTGACAGTCGACGTGGCATCGCTCAACACTACTCGGTGTGATATTCTGATACTGCAGGCAGTGTTTCAGTTCAACGTGAACGGGTGAATCGTCTTTTGTACACCAGAAATCTTTAAAAAAAAAAAAAAAAATTAATGAATTAAAATAATTATCTATCGAAAAATTACCTCTTGTTCGCAGACCATGACCACAAGTAACGCTTTCCGCTAGTTGACAATGCGACCAAACACCTAAAACCCAGAAGTACTTGGGACAGACATTATTTGGAATTTGACATGTTTCTTCTTCGAACACAGGACCGCAAGATTCACCACCAAGAATAACTCTGTTCCGTTGTCGTTTGAATTTGGTTAAATCTGTGTGTTCTGTAAATTACATATTTTGTACGAATTCAGATTCTACAAATTTGAGACGTGTATTGTGAAATATTAAAAATAATACGTATGTTATTATTATCAAATAAATAAAAATTTGTTGTGTCCATTCAAGTATAACCATAATTAATATCGTAAGAACAAAATAAATAAAAAATGAATAATAGCACGCGACGTACAGGTGATAAAAACAACCAAATTAAAATAAATTACCATTAATGCAAGAATCTTGAGGACATTCCGACCAATCACTCCAGTCTGATAGAACACAGATTTTACTCTCACAATCCTTAAAACATTCTCTCGAAGTCACGGGTTTTTGTAGTTCCATGCAACTATAAACATTTTGCGTTAGTATTATTCGTTTATTTTCCAACAGTTTGATAAAAAAAAAAAAAAATTAAATATTTTATTTTTACTTTTCGTCTTCCACATGTTGATCGTTGCCTCTCATGCACCAAACGTCTCGGGTCTGAACGCCTCGTCCACACGTTCCATTGCAATCCGTCCACGGCAACACCAACCAGCTGTATCCGTAGCATCCATGAGTGTTGCAGTTTTCGAACTGGACCATGTCTTCTTTGGACGGGCACGGGTGCCCGGTTGGTCCCGGAGGTCCGATGACCGTACGGTTCCTGTACCGAACACCTATGTCGAAGTTTATCGAGCATCCCATCGAACATTCGCTCCACTCTGACCATCCGGATACCACGCAATCCTCCGGGCACGGCACGGAACACGGTTCCGATTCCGCCGGTTTCAGTTTGGAGCACAGCGAGTTATGCACCACCTCCTGCGAATGCGTTTAGAACATTTTGGAAATCGTAAACAACAGCAAAATTACGAATTCTAACTGTATTCCGTCTACCTTGTCGTGCGTGGTACAGTACACCTGTCTGTTTCTCTGTCCGGTACCGCATTTCTCACTCGGGTCATCGAGCATACAACTTCCCCATTGGTCGTAATCCCAAACGTAACACTGGGGATTCTGACAGGGTTGAACTTCGCTAAGGCTGGGGCATTGTACACCGTATTCGCTTGGCGGTATTAACACTGGTCGGACTCTTTTCCTGAACCCGTTTTCTTCGAATTCTAATTTAAACATTTTTATCGAACACGTGACAAAGCGTCCAAACAATATATCATAACATCAACAGTAAATAATATACCTTCTTGAGATTCGTTTTCAAGTTCAACGGGACATTTTGATGGCATGCAAGGGCTCCACTCGCTCCACGGTCCAACTTGACAGTCCCTCGGACAAGGTATTTCGCATCTTTAAATAATTATTCAAGTTATGTTTCACGAACAATTTATATACAAGCATTACGTAACAAGTGTTTAATTACGTGTAATGTTAACTGTATTTTTATTATGACTAACCTTTGGATGGTCGGAGGTGTCTCCAAAATTCGACAAACTGATGGGTCCATGAATTTTCCATTCATAATTTCAATACAAGTGATATTTCTGTACTGAAGTCCACCACCACATTGAACCGATGCATTGGATACGGGTTGTGAACATTTGCTCCAGCTTGAAATTAACCATTTGTACCTGTAACACATGCAAATGTATACAATGAGCTGCCTATAATATACTGAATCATTTTGACTACATAAAATTAATTAATTAATTAATTAACGAAGTACAAATTTTTATCGTTATTTTTCTTTTCGCTTTCTAAATTGATTATATTTATGATTTCTTGTTCCGATAATAATATAAAATTAAATTATACGTTATCAAAATATTTTTAGATTATTATTTTACATACCCATTTTCCTCAATTAAGTGTTAGTATAAAAATGTATTTTTTCTATTAAGTTTATCTTGATTTGTGTTATACATACTCAGGGCCGTAGCAACCAAATATCGCGCTCGGAGGAGCGAAACTCCAAAATACACCCTTAAGTATTTTAATTTATAAAAAAATTCCCACAAAAAAACTGTAATATTTTTTATAGATGTAATATAAATAATGATTTTTTTTTTTAATTATGTAAGCGTTATTTAATTTTATTTAAATCAATAACTTTTTAAAATATAAATATATATAATAATTATAAGTAGGTTCGTAGGTATAACATAATAATATTTATAAGTTATATAAGTAATTTCATAAATACATAATATTAATTTTACTTATAAGTAACAATTAAATTGCAAATTTTTCATTTTTGCGCCCTCCCAGAAATTGCGCCCTTGCTACGGCCCTGTATACACTAATAAGTGATTGATAAAATATTTGAAAATAAAAGTAACATAAACGTAAAAAACCCATATATTATAATTATAAGTAAACAAAAATAACTAATTTTATATATATATATATATATATATTTATTATGCGGTCTCGTAAAAGCCTGATCACATTTATATTATGTTTCTATTGATTCAAAAATAATAACATTGTAGAAACCCAAATGCGTTTGATGTATAATATCGTGTTCAATTAATAAAATATTATTATGTATAAATGAAAATAACAATAGAAAGCGGGGCTCGTATGGCCGCTTATTTAAAATGTTTTAAAATGAAATCATCAATTTCACGAGTTCGGTGTAACATAAACAACGTGTAATGCCTGAAACTAATAAACTAAATTTTGATTATTTATTAATTGATGCAATTAGATTTAGTATAATCTTAGAAAATTATTTTGTGCTTATTCTGAGCAATGCGAGAAATGTATTAATTTTACGATATTATTTTAATCTTGTAACACATTTTTTTTGGATAGTAAAACTGCATCGAACGTGTCACACTGATCAACAATACAGTATGTATAGTACCTCATTTAATCAAAAATCGATATACTCGTACTTTCGTTCTATGTATAGTACTCGTATACATTGTATACGTAAAATATTTGAAACATATTTCTTGTGTGATGAAGTCGGAATATCGAAATGTAAATTTTAATTGAACTTACTTGTCTGCACATAGCGGTAAATTTTCTTTTGTAGTTCTTGTTTCGACGAGATGAGGACACGGCGAACCTTGTCCTTCGTGCAGCCGTAATATTTGACGCTTTCTAATCGCTTCCTCAGCACGAATCTGTGATCAAATTAATTAATAAATAGCCTTACATTATCCTAATAAAATTATAATTATCCATCGACGTACTTTGCCACCAACGCTAATGCATCCACCTTGCGTTACTTCCCAATCTGTCCAATCGCTTACAACGCAATCTTGCGCAATAATACAAGCTCTGGTGTTGGTAGGCAACTGTTTGTCTTCGCAAAAGCTAAGAGAAACAAGAATGCCAGACTCATCGAAACAGCTCATCGATCGTTTTTGCGTGCCCACTTGAGGCCAGTGTTTGTAAAACGTGTCTGAATGCGAGCCCGAGTTGAGTATACCGTCGGTGTCACCCATAGTGTGTTCAGAGAATGGGACGCATTGTTGCCACTGGTTGACTTTAAGCTGATATCCCTTTGAAACGTTATTGGTGCACGATTGGTCGTCCGGCTTACATGAACGTGATTCAGTCAGCTAAATCGATCGAAATATAAAGATTTGTTGAGATAGTATCGTAATTCGAGTAAAACAACGCATACGATATAAATATCTTCTATTAATAATCGCGAACGATAATAATATTATGCCCATTTTCGTTATTTATACAAAATTATTATCAGAACGGTTGAAATAAAGTCATATTAACTAAGAGTTGTACTATTCATCTAATAAACAGTGTTATTGTGGAATGAATCTACTACTGTATTAAAAGTGGAACTTGGTCATGCCCGTGCCTAAGTACATGAATATATCCATGAATCATAACCAATATAGATAAATTAGTGTTATGTAGTTTTGTTTGTAAATAATGTATTTACCGGTGGACATTTAGCTCCGTCATTTTTCTGCTCGATCACGATACTCCTGGTTCTGCGTTGTGTCCCTCCGCAGCAAGCTGTCCAGTTCGAGTACTCCGTAACTACGCAGTCTTGGTTCGGTTCAAGTGAACACACTTCTACGGGAGGCGTTCCCGGGGATAAATTTTGGCAGCTTGTGTCCTCGATTTCGATCGGTTCCTGTTCACAGTGCGTGCGTATACGATAGTGTTAAATCGTTTTAACATACTTTTATTATGCGAGACAAAAGAACAAGGAGATAACGAGAATCAACACGATTCAAAAAACGCGAGAACAATATTAATTATCAGTTTTTCGTGGTTTAAGATTCGACTAACCCATGTACATTTAATCATATATTTTTCTGATTCGACGACGATCGCGATTAGAAAACACAACGGGTCGAAAACATCCCAGTCGAAAACAAACTGTATGCATCTGAATATAAAACCAAAACACTTACCTCGAGTTTGATTCCATCGTGTATGACCATAACGCACGATATCTTCCTGCGACGTATACCCTGGTTTTCGTTCAGACCGGTGTCCTCAGACCTAGTGCACGGTTCCCATTCGCCGATTCGCCATTCCACCGCGTCTACGCATTTGAACGAAGTCAGAACACGCGTGCAATAACAACTGCATCGGCAACGAACACAAAATATAAATAATTACCGGTGTTCCATAGAAAGTTTTGAGTGATTTCGTTGGACGGCGGCAACCCGCATCGGGACCACCCGATCTGCAGGACCAAGGTGATCAGCAATGCGACGCCGGAAAGCAGCTGCATCGTGCTACGGTATTGTTAAACTGGACGGTGTTAACTCGGACGTGTAAGCTAGACCGTGGAGCTTCTCAAACGACGTTGTTGTCGTTCATCTGAAATGTGTAGGAGACGAATAGAAAACGATTCAAAAACGCGATCTGCGATGAAGTCATACGCGTCGTTCTTCCGGACGTGGTAAGGGACCGCGCGTTAAACGTACCTGTACAACGGACGGACGGGCATCTTCGTTTTTTATCTCTCCGTACCCCGTCTCGGCTGGGCTAGTATCCTCCGCCGTCGTAGTCGCTTCTGCCGCTGTTGTTGTTTCGGTCGTCGCGACGGGTGTACGCTCTCCGGGCTGTGTACGCGCTGTGCGCGACGGCGTAGAAACGTCTGGAAAATACCTAGAACGGGCCCGCCGCGGACAAATCGATTCACGGGGGGAGCGAACGATTTCCGTTGCCGGGGAAACGCTTTTGCGTCGACTTTTGCGACTGCGTTCGGTCTCCTTTGTGACCGCGCGTGTAACGCACCGCCGGCGCTCCTGCCCCTCTCAACCGTCCCTTACGCCATACCACCCCCTACAAGGACGTATATATATGTATAAGTATGTCGCGCCGGGCGACCTGTGCTAGAGATTCGCCGCTAGGGGCAGCACAACGCCCATGATCCGCGTTTTCCAGCGCTTTTGTTCTCAGGTAATTAAAACGACGCAGTAACAGGTCATTAAGCGATTTATTTTTATGGACGCGGCGATCCTGCGCACATTACACAGGTTTGTGTGTCTGAGTGTTTTCGCGTGCGTGTAACGAGAAAAACGGGGTGGGCCCAGATTGAGATTTCTTCGTAACACGTCAACATTTGTATTATAACTATAGATGTGCGAAGGCGAATGATACTATGTGTGTGTGTGTGTGGATGTACACTGTGGTGGTGTTGCACACGAAATCACGCACATCGGTTTGGGGTTAATAATGTTATGAATTACTATTATTATTATTATTATTATTATTTTTTTTTACGAAACGACAAGCCGTTACCTATACGTTAGTATTGAAAAAAAAAATAAATGATATTTCGTGCTATTCGGTTGTAAATTAATGACGATAAAACAATAATTCGTAAAAAATTGTAATTACGTTCGCAGAAAATAATGCAATATCACTAAATGTATTAAATAAAAATATTTCGATTGCGTGAAAACACTTTGGCTCTCGTATACAGATTTTAGATTATTTTATTGAAACGAAAATTTCATATTTATGATAAATTGTTTTCTTCTACATATAAAACTATGTTAAATCGTTTTAGAAAATAATTTTGAATTCTATGATGCCTTCACTTTCAATCGTTGCCTTAAAATTAAAGGTATCAAACAATATATCTACTAAGATGATAAAGATAATTTATAAAATCTGAAAAATTAGTTTTTTTTATATATTTAATGTAAATTATAAATACACATTTATAGTTTTTGCTTACAAAAATGATTTGTATTATAAAATATTTTAAATATTCAAAATATATTAAACTAGCTGAATTATCCGTCGTTGCCGGGTTTAAGTATATAAATGTATGTAACCTGCCAAGATTAAATTTTGTTAAATCTATTGAAATTTAAATTAATTAAGATTTTTGAAATAATATTTTATACATATTAAATTAGTTATTATCATAACCTATTCGATAAGTTATAGCTTACAACTACCTGAACCTCTCTACAGTTTGGTATTCTGTTGAATACATATAGTATCTCACTTCTCCGAATATTTTACTTTTGTCAATAAGTTCATGGTCTTTTTGACTTTTAACCGAAACACTCTTGCAATTATATCATGTCGATCATATGATCTTTGACCGGGAAGTAAGAGCTCTTTTATCTCGTCCCAGCGAGGGTTACATGTAAAAGTAATAAAAAGGTTAGGACGACCGTAATGTCTAACGTAGGTCATAGCATCTTGTGTTCTTTCGTGCATGTACCTTGGCCCACCAGTAAAAGTTGATGGGAGTATAACCATTTGGCCTAACTGATTAGCTTCTATGTCTCGTCGTCCAATCGCATCTTTTAAATGCACGCAATTTGGCTTGGTTGTTTTTGATGTAATTTAGTCTTTCAGTTTCAATTTTGGCGTATTCATCTACCAAATATTGACTGAAAAGAGAACGATAATTAACTAAATAGTTGTCTTCCCCTTCTCTGACCATTATTCTATATGAGTAAAAACTTGATGCAGAGACAGTTTTTTTAAGCGGTAACTTGGTTTTTGGATCACGTTGTGGTATATTGATTGCATACCCATCATCCCCCCAATAAAACATTAAAGGATACTGCAGTGCGTCGTATGCTCGATGTATCTCACTGATACGGTGAAATGAGTTACTTCGGTTTTCGAAGATGATGTCTCTTCGATCAAACTGCTGATCTACTAACACTAAAGCAACTTCAATTGCCGTTGGTGCATTATACCTGCCTCTATGTTCTTCTGGTGGTTTTTTATCTGCATGTATTACAACTTTAAACGACTCTGAAGGAGGTATTTTATCGATGGTAAATTGTAATGATCAATTGTAAATTATGCGGTGGCATGCCTAGTAAATCCAATGAGTTTAAAAACTCTGTTGGATAATTTACAACTTCAGTAGCATCGCGCAAACTGTATCTAGATTTGTATGACACCATGTTTTCTGGTAATAAATTTTGTATCTTGAGATTCAATTCGTTGACCTCCACATTTTTTGCTACTAAAATTGCTCTTTCTGCCAGCCACTCATGATTTGTGTATTGTCTGTGTACACTGGGACATATCTGGTCAATGAGAGCATCTTGCGAATAAATGATTGTGCAGAAATCGTTTGGTACTTTTATACATCCCGTTTCATCTCTTTCCCATCTCCAATATCTAACAATTGTTTTGAGAATCTTTTGCACGCAGCTTTTTTTGATTGAATCGAAATCGAAGTATCGAAATCGTTCGCTATCTATCTTTATATATATTTCGACCATGAATTGTTGACAAAGCTTATGCATCGAAAAATAACTTAGTCCTGATCGCGTCTAATCATCAACCGATATGCATAATAATTTTTTGAACTAACATTCTTATTTGTTTTGGCACCTGTTGCGGGATCTTTTTGTTTAATATTTATGCAACTACTGTATAATATTGTATAATATTTATGCATTTACTACCAAAAATAAAATTAATAGTTTTTAAATAGTTTTTAATAGTTTTTTAATAATTTTTTAATAGTTTTATTTAATATAATTCATTTTCAATAGCGCAGTTATCAACCTGGTCAAAAAATATTAAACCAATTTCAACCCTTTAAATTAAAAATTTCGAAAAATTCTTTCTTAACGCACGTCTACATCATAATAGCTATCTGTATGCTAAATTTCAGCCAGATCCGTCCAATGGTTTGAGCTGTGCGTTGATAGCAGTCAATCAGCTTACTGTTTTATAAATACAGAAGAAGAAGATTATCGTTATTAATATTATAATATTAATCGCAATATTATTTTAAAGACATAATACAAATTTATTTACAATAATATGTATTTATAATATATTTATACATAATAATATTATTATATTTATTTTTTGTTATTTTTGATTTTATTTTATGTTACGATTATTCAGATTAAATAGATGTAGGAAGTTTTTTATAACATTTTTGTCAAACAAAAATTATTCAACACAACAAGTGGATTTTATTTTTACGATATTATTTATATATATTTGGTACAATGAATAAACATAATATAAATTTATTCATTTTTTTATCAATAAGTTATATAGGCCGTTCGAGTGTTTTATCAGCATTATTTTAAAATAAACTACAAGAAAACACGGTTCATATTTACTATTCATTTTTTAACAAAATCTTTGTTTTCTTAACATTTTTTGATTTACATTTTATTATTAAGCATTGAACTGGATTTAAAAATTTAAATAATATTCTTATAAATAAAAAAAAAAAAAAAATTTTCTGTAAACGAATCTGTATTTAGTCAATCGTGCTCCCTTTTTACGTATACTTAATTTAGCCCATTGGAAAGTTGTGAAGCACTTCAACTAGAGGGAGCTAGAATGATGAATGTGGTGTATTATATTTTGTGCTAATTTCAATTTTATTTATCATAAGATTATTATAAAAATATATGTAAATAAAAAAATAAAAATAAAATTACGGTATTTTCAAATATTCTGCTAAGTAAAAATAAATAATTAATAATTTTTTTTTTTTTTTAATATTATTCATAATATAATAAAGAAAATGGTAAAAAAAAATGTATATTATTATTATTTTAATATAATTATATATATATATATATAATTATATTTTTAATATCTTTAACTAAACCATTATTTTTATTCATTAATTCAAATTATAAAAAAAAAATATTTTATTTTTCTGTTCTAATAATAACACCATTTTTAAAATAAAAAAAAATTTATTAATTTTATTTCTACATATTTCAATTGTTTTTGTTGAGAACAGTAAAAGTTTGCGTAAAGCTAATAAAATAACTTGGTAACGAGTTCGTACTTAATTCAATATATAAAAATTTTAAAGGTATTTTATACATTATATTTATAGAAAAAAATATTGATAGAAAAATGTTCAAATAATTTTTTATACTACAAATCGTATAGTAATGTAATTATAAAAATGTAATAATGTTTAGTGTGGGTTTTCATTTTATATGGCTGTAAGCTGTTGAAAAGGTGGTTTATGGATGCGAACAATTTCGTATTCTGCTCAACTCACAGCTGTTTCTCTTGTTTCATGCTGAAGAATATATATGTATACAAGTATATGCTTTTTCATCTCGCTCTCTTTTTGCGTCCTCTCTTTCTACAGTCCATAAATTTTATCTGTATTAATTAAACGTCGACCCAAAAATTCTTAGGATATACAGGCGAAAAGCATTGCCCAAAGAATTCTCATATTATATTTCCCCTCCCCCCCCGTTTGGTATCCACTCCCCTAAGTCCTCTGGTGTTTGAAAGGGAAAAAGTTCGCCACGTTATTACGAATGTTGAAAATTTGTAGATATTGTTAGAAAGGCAGTGAAAAATAAAAATAAATAAATAACTGGAAAAAAGTTTAATGAAATATCACAAAAAGTTTATTTTTTCTTTACATTATAAAACGTGTTTTCAAAAGTTAATTTATTACTCGGTATTGAAGAGTTTGTTAAAAAATTTAAAAACTAAAATTTGTTCATAACAATCGGTAGAATTTCTCAAGGAATTAGTTTTTAATATAAAATTATGTCAAATCAATAATGTTTATCTGCGTGTATATTAGAGAGTCAGGATGGAAAAAAATTGGATTCTAACTGATAACATAATTATATGTAATTAATTGAACCACTATTCATATATAAAAAAATTATTATAATAATACAAAAAATTTATAATTCAAAATAATAATATTGACTTATTTGTTGGAACAAATTTTTTTAAG